TGATTAAAATGTGTTTAAATGAAACGTATAGTAAAGTCCATATAGGTATACGTTCGTCCAATAAATTTCCTATCCAGAATGGTCTAAAACATGGAAAAGCTTTATCGCCACTCCTTTTCAACTTTGCTTTAGAATATGCCATTAGGAAGGTCCAGGACTGTAAATAAATGAATGAATGAACAGCAAAATGTCATAATGAAAAAAGCAATATTCATGCAGGCTATCACCAAACAGTGTGTACAATACATTAAAGGAATGCAAGGAACAAAGGAACAGCTTAATCTTCNACACCTTAAACTTCCCTTTAAAAATAGACAAACAGACGAATTGATTACAAATGACATGGAGAAATTAACTAAAACAACCATTTAGAGAAAAGCAGTTTCTTTTCAACAGTTAAAACTTCCAGCTGGTGTTAATGACACTCAAAATAAAGGATTATTTTTCTTAAGTTGGAATCCAGCAATGCAATTTGTGGTCAATTCAATTTCTGCATAGTGCATTCACTACTATTGGTAATGTAGATGCTAAATGAGTCACACATTGCTCCATCCATTTTTATATTTCCTCCAGAATTATTGTGAAATTATCATAATCATACACATTCTCTTGTCTCATTCACAGCTAAAAACCTCTGCACTTCATACGCTGTAATTAAATATGGTACACAAATATCCAAACATACACACAGAAAAGCAGATACATGTATAACATCTCTTACTTCACTCGTCTGGCTAACTGTAAATTTTACATACTTGTAACACCTATCCACTGAGTTGACAAAAATTATGGATTTTCCCCGTACAAGATGCAACTTCAGTAATGCATATAAAATAGCTGCCTTTTCATCTTCTTCAGCAGCTAAATGGTAGTGTGACAGCTGTGAGGCTGGTGCGAGTTCCGGTTCTTGAAGTTTCAGGATCACAGGATTGTGTAATACTAAGCTTTTCAAGCTCAGCACATCTTCTGATAGAGTAGCACTGGCCAGCGTTGCTTGGTAGACATTAGGCAAGTAACTATAACATACACAAGTAAATGCAGTGTTATGTTGGTTCATCCATACCTGCTTTGAAACAGGCATATCAAATGTAAGATTTGAGGTTTTCACGGCAGTGACTATGAAGAAAGCAGTCTTCTGGGATGTGGCACTGTGCAGATGTGGTGTTAACCGGCGTTTCGGAGGAATGTATCGCCTCAATCTTCAGGGTAGAAGGAAAAATAAGAAATCCGCAAGGGGGGGGGCAAGTCTACATGGGAAATCAGTGGTGAGGGAGGGGGAAAGTGGCTGAAAACAGAAGCAGGGTTTTGTTGTGTCAGGGGAGAGAGAGGCAAGAAACTAATAAAAGAGAAAAATAAGTTTCAAACTGTAGATCTGGTTGTGCCAATAAAAAGTATAATTCAAAATTCAGTCACAGAGAAACCAACTTCAAAATCTGATAAACGAAGAACACAGATGGTTCTCCTAATTACTGCTATTGAGCCGAACAAACTCTCTGATAACAGAACCAGGATTAATACCAGAAACACAAAAGCAAAACAATTAACAATATCCTGTGACAGTTCAATCCATTTAATCCCATGCACATTACCTTAACCCTTTAAAGCACAGTGGTTATGACTAGGGCCCAGATCTTTATGCTCTAAAAAGCGGGGAAAATATGCACCAAAAATAAAACAATATGCACTTAAGAAACAGGTCGCTTTATTCAGACTCACCTACTTACATGTATCATTCACTGCAGAAAGTAGCATCACAATAGGCAACTAGAAGTCTTTCAGTGTTTTCTGGAGACAAACTACGTCTATTGTCTGTCAAAATAAGTTTATAGGCTGAGAATGATCTTTCTGCATCAACTGACGTGATTGGACAGTATTTATATACTGTCGCCGAAGGTTAGGAACATTCATTTGGCAAAGATACCCTAATTCCACTCAAGTACTGACAAACTGACTGAATCTTTTTTAGTCCTGGGTTTGAATTCAACACAATTTCTAACTTGCATTTAATCATCTCTGAAATTTCGCCTGGAGCAGAATTCAGTGAACAAGTTGATTTCTGAACGAGTTCAAGTGAGTCATGAAGGAGTGCACCACAAGATTCTAAGCTCTCAATGGCTTTTGAAACTGTAGAAAAATGTGCATGGATAAAACTCACATCTTGATAAACAGTATCACTTCCAAACACAACTTTTGTTTCACGGACACATGCATACTCATCTTAAAGTTTTGCAACCACTTCTTTTACTTGATTGAAATTCTCCTGATAAAATGAAACTGTGGATAACAATGTCCCCCACCTAGTTAGGACAGGTTCAGGTGGCAGAGGAACCTGAGGTAGGCAATCTTTGTAGAACTGGACACGATCCAGTGCTTTCAGAAACAGTTTCTTCCCACTTGCAATTAAATCATTAACAGCTGGAAACTGTGCGCATATTTTTTCTGCAATACTGTGTAACCCGTGCGCTAAACAGGTTACGTGTATAAGATTTGGATAAAATACTTGTAAGGCCTTCACTACATTCAGCATATAGGAAGCTCCATCTGTGAGTAATACAAGCACCTTACAACAGTTATTCTCAATTTCAGATGGCCATAGTAGTCGCAGACAATCATTTACAAATCTTATTAGTGTGCTATGTTTGGTTTTCTCTAGTACTTTGCAAGCAAAAAGATGATGCTTGCCGGGTTCGTCTGGATGTAGCTTACAAACTACGAAATTTCCTATGTATCGGCCACATAAATCGGTTGCCTCATCCATCGATATCCAGATACAGTTCCCTCTAATGTCAGAAAGTACACAATATTTCTCCAGAAATGATCACACAACTGGACTGCTTAATTTATTCCATGGAATGTTGCTGCATACTAAAGCCTTACAAAGATCGGCTGAAAATGTATTAACAGAGGACTTGGGTTTGACCTGTGTAAGAAGCAGTAGTTGTGGTGTGCTGTTCTTCTTCCCCTTCTTTGCCGTAATATGTGCAGTCGTTCTTGATTGTTGTTCAAATTGAAATTTCTTTTTACATTTTACTTCCTTTGTGCAAACTTGACAGTACACCCGACACCCACCAATTTTTTAAATATCTACTGCTGCACTTTTCTTTAGGCATTTTCAGTATGCAAACACTTTTTTTATGCAGACTATTAAAGAAAAGAGTAACATATTAACTGAAGAGGTTTCTCTTGAGACCAACCCTCTGATGCTACTGTCTGCTGTGGTGGTCAGTGGAATCCCAGCCCATCCCTTTCGAAATAACCAAGCTACCTGCTTATATTGTAAGTGGTAATAGTGCTGTTACTCAGAGAGTTGTGAATAGCAACTGGCAAGTGATGTCCAAAACACAGGAAAACCCGATTTTGTTAGAGAATATTAAAATTATCCTTAATTTCAAACATATATGCAGAAATATGCTCTTACATTTAGAACATGCAATAATGACCAAAAACCCACAAAATATGCATTTAAAAAAAATCCGGGCCCTAGTTATGACATATATCACCTGCTTTAACATTAAGGAATTCTGCATTTTCCCACAATGTATCTGGGTTTTCTATGGTTCTCAGAATAAACAGTGATTATTTCCATGAACAGCATGGATCGGTTTGTCTTTCTAACAGAGATGCAGTGTGTTTTCTGTTAGGTATGAAATGAACTTCTAAATATTACGCAGATGAACATCAGGCTTAAAACAGTTAACTATTAAGGAAAAAAACACAGGATGCTGCACAAGAAAGTTTACCTTAAGACCTCCTTCACCTCAGATTCATATCCAAATGAAAACACAAGATCAGCTTCATCCACTACCAAAATCTCAAGCGAGTTCCTCAGTTTGAGATTTCGAGCCTTCAAGTGAGTTAATACCCTCAATGGTGTACCCACAACAATATCGGGACGTTCAACCAAAAGATGGCGCTGCGCAGAAACATCTACCTAAGGAATTGATGGCAACATATTTTTACAAGTTACAAGAATGAACAGGACAGCTATACAGAGTGTCCGAGGAGGAATGTGCCAAACTTCAGGAGGGTGTTTCTCATGTTAAAGTATGCCAATATAACCCAAAACACCTATGTCCAAAGTTGAACGGTTACGGAGATAATGCCCAGAGAAGTGTGAAACTTTGACCGGTGTTACACACTTGTTGATTATAAAATACATATTAAAACTGGCAGGAATATGTGGTTTCTGTAATGTTAATAATGTACATAACATCAAACTAACTTGTGAGTGACATGAAGCCATTAAATTGAACTACAAAAAACTCGCACGCCATGTCAAAGTTGTCGTTAAGAGTTCCAAGCACTATACATGACACATAAATGGCAAGCGCTGACGTAACATTGCTGACTGCGCGTTCTGGTATGCGAGTGTATGGGGCTAATGTAAGCTGCCATCACCACACTCAAGGACAAAAGTAGATAAGACATGCCAGCTGACAGGTACAGTACGTGGACTCGCCAGAAGACCACACTTTTCTCGGGCCATTATCTCCGTAACTGTTCAACTTTGGACACAGGTGTTTTGGGTTATATCAGCGTACTATAACATAAGGAACACCCTCCCGAAGTTTGACACATTCCTCCTGGGACACCCTGTATATAGAGTTTAACACTTCCATGCACACTATGTAGATCTCTGCACCTTAGTACAGTAGCTTGCATGTTATGGCACAACTGACTGCTGATCTATTACAAATTTTGCATGTCTCTCTTATGGTAGTATATATCAGAAAAAATTATAGCAAAAATTATTCTAGCTTGTGTTTACCTATGTTACTCAGCATACAGAAGAGGCATGAGAAATCTGAACTACAAACTTTGTCATAACATGTCAGAAAGGCCATACTAAGGTGCAACTGTGACATGAATATGAAAAGTTAAGACTTATTGACTTTTCATGCTGTAGAAATCTGACGTGGGAGCTGAAGCTGTTCAGTGATACACCCAATCATTAACATTATACATAATCAGGTAAGACAGTACATCAGCTATTTGCAGACTACAGGAGCGCCTATGATTCAGTTAGGAGGGAAGCACTGTACAATATTCTGATAGAGTTTGGGCAACCATGAGACCAGTTAGGCTGATTAAAATGTGTTTAAATGAAATGTATGGTAAAGTCAGTATACGTAAACATTTGGCCGATAATTTTCATCTCCAGAATGGTCTAAAACAAGGAGATGCTTTATCACCACTCCTTTTCAACTTTGCTTTAGAATATGCCATTAGGGTCTAAGAAAACCAGGTGGGACTGAAATTAAATGGGACACATCAGCTGCTGGTCTATGCTGATGATGTGAATCTACTGGGTGATAGTATAGATACCATAAAGAGAAACACACAAACTTTAACTGACACTATTAAGGAGGTTGGTTTAGAAGTAAACACAGAGAATACTAAGTATATGTTGCTGTATTGTCACCAGAATGCAGGACAAAATCATGGCATAAAGATAGCTAACAGATGTTTCTGAAATGTGGCACAGTTCAGATATTTGGGAATGACTGTAACAAATCACAACCTGATTCAGGAGGAAATTAAGAGGAGACTGAACTCGGGTACCGCTTGCTACCATTCAGTCCAGAAACTCCTGTCTTCTCATCTGATGTCTAAAAAACATAATTATTAGAATACACAAAATTAAAATTTTGCCTGTGGTTCTGTATGGGTGTGAAACTTGGTCTCTGATATTAAGAGAGGAACACAGACTGAAGGTGTTTAAGAACAGGGTGTTGAGGAGAATATTTGGACTAAAGGCAGATGAAGAGACAAGAGGTTGGAGAAAGATGCATAATGAGGAGCTTCATAACTTGTATTCTTCTCCAGGTGTAAATGGAATGATCAAATCAAGGAGGGTGAGATGGGCATGGCATGTAGCACAAATGGGGAGCAGAGGAATGCATATAGGATATTGGTGGGAAAGCCGGAAGGAAAGAGACCACTTGGAAGACCAAGAGGTAGGTGCGTGGTGTAGCTGTTCTTTTGTGTTACTAGCGCCGGCAGAGAAATTCAAATAATCTCAGGTTGAGTTGACTGGCCATGATTTAGGTGATTAGGGGGGCTTCAGCCATAGGAAGGTCAACACTCAAAACCAATTAGCTGTTTAAAGTCTTTACTCGAATTGCACTATTCAAATGATAACTGCGCCGTAGTGATCCACTTAACTGAATGGTGGACTTGGGCTCCTTTACTGGGTACTAATACATCTAGTCAATAGGAACCACAAAGTGTATATACGGGGGTCAGGACACGTGTACCCCCAGTGAATGTAAATTTCAGAGTTCTCCACCAAGCATGCTCTCAATGGTAAATATTTGCCCTGGTTACCCAGAAATTCGGGCAAAGGACGTCCCACTTCAGATTTTGATTTGCTAGACCAGGCAAGCTGGGAGGCTGTGTAATCCTTCCCCTCCAATTATAAAATGGAATACCCATGCGTGCAGGGTTTAGGGGTGAACTTTGCCACCTGCTGTGTGGCTGTCAAACTGGAACTGGGGGCAGCATAACACGACTGCTAAAATTATTACTTCCCCTGTCAAACTTTAGAATTTCTAAAGAACCCAGTCTCATGTTATACATTAACTTGACTGATTTACTGATGGGCAGCTGGCTTCAAGCTCGACCCAAGCCACCTGCTGCGTGTCTCAGGAGGAATTTGGACAGTTGGGGCAACTAGTTAGTTGCAACAGTGCTCAGTTGATAGTCAGGTGGTGATGAGAAGACTAGGAGGTTGGTGTGAAATGCCTGCAAGTTAGTCACAAGAGTGCTCAGTTGAAAGTCTGCCTGTAAAGACAAGAGAAGATTTTTTTTTGTGTGATATCTGGAGTGTGTAATTCAGAGAGACCGTTGTAATTCCTGTGTTAAAATCTGTTGCCAGGAGATGGCTAGTGGAGACTGTAATAGACTGAGGACACTAGTCTGTGTGTGTCAGTGATCTGTAAAGTGTAGGTACAAGTTGTGGGTGTATAAGTGCTCAATAAATCAAGTCACCAATCCAAACCCCATCTACAGTCATACACGCGATAATACATAAATGTGTTACATTAAAATTTAATTTAAATTAAATCAATGTATGTAGGTCATACTGAAAGTGATGAGCAACAATTTTTTGTAAAGTAACATGCTTTATTATTGACAAACCAAATACACCACCTCAATCTACAGACCTTTCTTTATTTTTCCACATAATCTCCACTTCTTTGTACATATTTCACCCAGCAATCTGGGAGTTTGAAAATTCCCCTTCTATAAAATTCTGTTCCAGCCATCTGAAGACACTAACGCACCGCTTTCTGAATTCAGCGTGCTTATGAAGTGTGCGCATGGGTGCAAGCAGTGTTCGAAAATGGGTGAAACATTTTAAAGATGGGAACACCAGCATTGAACGTGAGCCTCGGAGCAGTCGTCCTCGAACAGCCTCAACTGAATGCAACAGGGAAAGAGTGGATGAGATCATTCAAGATGACAGACGTGTGACTGTGGACATAATAGCCCAGAAACTTGGAATAGGGCACAATGCAGTACAGGAGACGATTGAAAGCTTGGACTATAGTAAAGTTTGTGCTCGTTGGGTCCCGCGGTTATTGACCGAAGACCACAAAGGTCACATGGAAGCAATTGCAAAGATGGGGTGGGAAGTTCTTCACACCCCTCCTATAGGCCTGATCTGGCACCCTCCGACTACCATCTTTTTGGATTTGTGAAGGATCAGATGCATGGACGTTTTGAGACAAGGGAGGCAATTCAGAAAGCAGTGCGTCAGTGTCTTCAGATGGCTGGAACGGAATTTTACAGAAGGAGAATTTTCAAACTCCCAGAACGCTGGGAGAAATGTGTATAAAGGAGTGGTGATTATGTGGAAAAATAAAGAAAGGTCTGTAGACTGAGGTAGTGTCTTTGGTTTGTCAATAATAAAGCGTGTTACTTTATAAAAAATTGTTGCTCATGACTTTCAGTACGACCCTCATATTAGAAGTAAAATTCTTGATCACATCAGTTATTACTTATATATATTGTAACGTGTTTCCGTTACTGAATACGCCGTAGAGATCGTTAACTGGTTTATTGAACAATCTACAACTAACGGCTATAATTAATGATCACAATNGATAATAAGTATAGTGGTGTATGAATATGAGGGGTGAGCCATAAAAACTGGTCCTCACACTGCGACCTTTAATGATCTATAAGCTATATTGGTGTACATGTATATCAAATATGAGGGGAGTAAAAAAGTTCCCGGAATGGTGGTATAGCACTAACTTACAATCTCACTAATGTTACTATGGGCCCAAGCAAGGCTAAAACAAATAGCCAAACAGTAACTCACTGTATGTGTGACCTGAATAAAGCTTATATACAACATTATGTAGTGACTACAATACACCAAATCTTTGACACACATACGTATTACCTCAGGGTCAGGCTAGAATACAGTACTTCAATCAAATATTTTACAATTTTATATGATATAAAATATTTTATGACATGAAAACCTGTATTCTAATCTATACTTGTAACATTGGAATAACTGTAATTTTAAGAGGAATACTCTTAGACATCTTCCTCAATGGGATCCAGAGGGTAAAATATTCAATTATTTTACATACAGATAACACATTTCTTGTTTACATTGTTCATGAGGATAGGGTTTTAATGCTGCATCATGTCACTCCATTTATAAACTGTGTCAATAAACATAGGTTGTATAACTGTATACATATGGTCTTATACTTGATTAGCATTAGTCTACGGTCTTCAGGATGAAGGTCTACATACACCTTTCAGAAAACATAATTGCTAAAGAACAGAAATGACATATTCACTATAATACTGTAATTACTCTTGAACACTATTCACAATAATTTTAGGCCTGTAAGCCTATAAAGACCAGGAACAACTTTCCTGAGGAAATCACTAAATTTACTTCAAGTTCAGATATTTTATAATGTTTTAAATACTAACACTATGTAGTATCAAATGGAGCAAGACAAAATAGTAGTGAATGGTGAATATGGGAGGGAGCTGTCATGATGTTTGGAGGTACTAACCTGGTATTTGCCTTGAGGGACTGAGAAAAACCAAAGGAAGTTCTGATGATACAGTTGATCCCAGGCCGGGGATTCAAATTGGGCACATTCAAAAAGCAAGTCACCATATCAGTCCATTAGGTAGGTTACTTTAAGACATACCTCCGAACTACCATGACATCTCAAGTTAGTATAGGAGAAAAAATACAAGCTGGTGGATTAATGGCCTACAGTACAAAGATATCTCCATACTTAGAGACGAACAGAATTACTTACTTGAGGTGATATATCGACACAGCAAATTTCACGGGTACATTTTGTAGTTAACTCCATGAAATTTCTATGTATTTGTTGACAAAGCTCTTTACTTGGTGCAAGAATGAGGGCTTTTGTATCTTGCTCCTTTGACATCTGAAACATTTAAAAATTACAAATACCACAATATGTCAATTCCCAAATTATTTCACTTGGGTGGGGACAGGGATAATCTGAACAATGTAAGATGTGAAACTAGCAGGCATTTCAGGAATAAAAAATCTGAAAGACAAAACTGATGAGCTTGCAACAGACAGCAAGAACAAGAACATTAGGGACCTATATAGAGGAACAAATGACTTTAAGAGGATCTACCAACCTGGAAGTGAGGAGTTCCTCCCCTCTTTATGTTACTGAATTTCCAGGAGGGGGATCGCTGCCATTGTCCCTGATTCACTCGTGTTCCAAATCCCCCCCCCCAAGTAGAATGGGATGTCCAAGCTAGCAGTGATTCAGAGAAAGGCTCTTCCTCAGTGCTAAGTACTTAATAACAAGGACGACAATAACACAAAATTAAATAACAGTAACTAAACACTCGTATCAACAAATCCAATATTATTACACACTCTTGCGCTAGGCTGCTTGTAGAGTACAAAATGAATCACAAACAAAAAGTACAATAATATGCAGTTGACAAAAACTCGGAGCATTGGACAGCCTCTTGTCTAGAAATACATGACTACCTTCTTATAATCTCATTAACTAGCCCCAGCAACACAATCCTGGGGCAACACCGATCAATACAAAAAACCATAACATACATCTAAACTCGAATCAATTAACAATGTACATATGCAGAAGAAAATATTTACCATACAAAAGGGGCACTAAGTAAGCCCCAGTGATATTACAATATTTAACCGAACGCTCAACATTTATCTCTCTCCCGCAAGGCAGTCACAGCCCCAGACGGTCAAAACAACAGACCAAAACAGAATTTTGAGTATTCTTTCGAAACTGAATTTTGACCTACCTCTGTGACTGCTTGTAACCCACTGAGATAGGTCCTCACTCTGTGTATCTGGACCAAGCTGGCAGAATATACTAGAACAGCTGGACAAAGGGGGGAGATCACGTGATATACTGGAATGCAGAGCATATTATGCAACATAGGAAGCACCGAGGGGAGGGGAATAGGGAAAGGTGAGTGCCCAGCCGTCCAGTGGTACCAAAACAACTCTACCATCAAGCCATATGTAAACATGGCTCAGAAGAAACTTATTGATGGATGAGACTGGTGATCTGCTTGCAGATTCCCACATTTTGAACGGGTGGAATTACTACTACTCTCAGTTACTGAATGTACATAGGGTCCATTATATTAGGTAGGCAGAAATACATACAGATCAGCCATTAGTCCCTGATCCTAGCCCTTTTAGGTTGAAATTGCTATTGCAAAATTGAAAAGGTATAAATTGCCAGGTAGTGATCAAATTCTGGCAGAACTTATTCAAGAAGATGAAATATTATATTTTTAAGATCAATAAGTTAATTAATTCTATTTGGAATAAAGAAGTATAGTCTGAGCAGTGGAAGAAGTCTATTATTGTACTAGTTTACAAGAAGGGTGATAAAACTGATTGTAGTAATTATCGTTGGATAGCACTGCTATCAACTTCATACAAAATTTTATCCAATATTCTCTCAAGGTAACATGATCATAACTGTATAAACATAAACTCGTCCCTATGCTTAATTACGCAATATGCTATGAAGACACATAGGTGAACTAAGATATAGCTCCGACCGCAACATAGCTCAAGCGATTAGTCACTGGCTTCCAACTGTGGCGGCCCAGGTTCGACCCTGGGTCTGGTCAAGTGGGATTTGTGGTGGATAAAGTGGCGCTGGGGCAGGTTTTCTCTGAGTACTTCGGTTTCCCTTGCCAATCTTCATTCCACCAATTGCTCCACAATCAACCTTACCTATCATCTGGGGTTGGTACAATAGGCCAGAAATGGCCGCAGTACAAGGGACTTAGTCCCACCCCACTAGCACTAAAAAAAAAAGATATAGCTCCACCATTCTTGATCTTGGTACTAGATGGAGGAGAGCAGTCAGTTTCACGACTTGAATGCCCCACCTCCAGGGAAAGACCCAGGTAGGTTCCAGAGACAACCTGGATGGTATGGTGTACAGAAAAATCTCCCACCCCTGCCAGGAACTGAACTCCATCCGTCCTGTCCACAGCTACTGAGCTATCCCGACTCCTATACACATGCAAGAACTTAAAAAAGAAAAAACTTTGTCCGTCAATGATTGGCCGAGACTTGCACTTTGTACCTCTGAAACACAAATTAGATATGTGAACAACTGGGCTAATGTTTAATGTTTACTGATACAATTTAAATAAATCTCTTATGTGCAAAAACCTCAATATGAATATGTATCGCTGAGCAAGCTGGCTCAAGCAATAATGCTTTCAACTTCTACATGGGAGGTACCTGATATGAATTTCAGCTGAGGGACCCACTATCTTGAGGAAGTTTTCTCATGGTTTATTCCAGTTTTCATGGAAAATGCTGAAATACTATCTCTAATTAGGCCTTGTCTGTTTCCTCTCAGATTATTTCCAATTCACTTATCATAGCACCATCTGATGCTATATAATCTAAAAATATGGACTGCCTAATTAAACAAACCACATAACAAAAATACAAATACATATCAATGTTTCTTTTCCACTGACAAACTATACTAGTCTCATGCTGTGTCATGAGTACAATGATCTCTTCTTATTCTGTGCTTTATATGCTGGAGACTGTGACAAACTGAGCAGTGTTTCAGGCCCATCTGAAGATTTGTATGGTAGAGCTTGGTTTTCCAAAACAGGAAAAGATCTTAGTGCAAGTTCCATTACACTTTGTACTTTTCTACATTATTACCTCTGGAAACCTGCTTATTAACGTATATATATGCATCATTTCTAAACTGTAATAATTATAATTTGCATTACTAAGCTGGCACAGGCTTACTTACTTGTTTAGAATTAAGAATCCTCTGAATAACAGGTATAGCAAATGCTCCAGTCTTTCCTGAACCTGTCCGCGCTCGCAAAAGCACATCTTTCCCCTCCAAGAGAATGGGAATGGCTTTTTCTTGAATTGGTGTTGGTTCCAGCCAACCAAGTTTCGCAACTGCCTGAAAACCAAATAAACACGACACCTGCTTATTCAGATCAATTTATTTGTTGAATCCAAATCTTGTCACGAACACTACTCGTAAAGCACCCACATCAGAATTTAAGAAAATGATTCAAGTGTTCCATTCGATTGCTTAATTAACCTTACGAGTTGATATCAAACAACCTTGTTCCCACACACATATTAACCTTTAATATTCTGTCATCTAGTTCCATTTCATGAAAGTTACGTGGTTTAACACCTTCTTCTGCCATTTTTAATAACTTGCCTACAATTGAATACAATCACATGTACTAAAATAACTGGCACATGTATCTATTCCAGCGGACATTTTACACCACGGATCACGCTGTGAGCCGTTCTATTCTTGTTGATGCGTGTCAGAAATAATTATCGTGTTAGATACGTGGGCACACCAGGGATACGGAACAAGCGCAATTTCCGACAATTATTATCAGTCTGAGTTGAAAACATGGTACTGAATTGAGCAGCGCAAATTGAGGGATCTGAGTCGCCGTCTCCACAATTTGCGCTGCTTCATTCGCTAAAACGGGCACTTCTATCTTAGAGATTCGTGGCAGACACGGATCAACACATGGGCGGCATGCACGTCCCAAATCCTAGACTTCCATAAAAAATATGATCATTGACTCGCCAAATTGAAGACTAACCATGCAAGTTTGCGCATGTATCAAACGTATAATTCTGAATGTATGCTCCGATAATCTTTGATTTGATTTCCGAACGTGATATATATGATCCTTATCAAGATAAGATATTGAAATAGGGCTATACCAAACAAATTTGAAAGCAGCTGCATGGGTAATCTAGTCTTAATTTTTGCAGAATATTGGCACAGTGTATGTATGTAAGCGAAAATACATTGTGCAGTTCTCTGCAATAACATTTGTCGAATACAAGAATAGGTGACGTCATTACCGCTTCCACAGAAGTGAAAGAGGAAACGGCGTGTGATTTGCGATTGTGGAAGACATTTTTATAATATTGTCTTGGTTAACGGCTTCTAAGTATTGTCGAAATGTCGAAGCGTAGAATAGAGGTTGATTCTTACGCAAGGAAAAAAAGGTAAAGCAGTGGTAATCATTTTTGCTATTTAAATGTCTTGTGTTCTAAATGTTTTGTATGGGGTTACCTCTAGTTTTCAGCCTAGAATTATATGTTTACGAAGGCATTATTTCGTGCTTTGTTCCGTCGTTGTGTATAATAAATGAACTGGAGACTTTGTTGAACATTAAAGGGTTGTTAATTTTTTTTTTTTTTTAATGTTTGAAGTATGACTCGCATGAAACTAGTCAGACCCTAATGACATTTTTCCAATGAAGTGCACTGCAGTATATTAATCCCTGCCACTAGATGGATAGCTAGAAGTATATGATATGCATTCTAGGTATAGATTATTTGCATGTCATGTATGGTAGTGTATTAGCATGTTTGAACAAATCACCAGTGTAATCAGTGTAATCTGCTGACAATTTCTATATCCAGTGGTCATGTACCTGAATGGATCAATGAACGCTAATAAACACAATATAATACCACAGTAAGCAGATGACACAAGACACATCGTACCCAACATTTCACATGAACATTAAAGTTGCTGTAATTTTATGATAAGCATTGTAGTTGTATATAATTAAAAATGTGCTGTTATGTAAGGTTTATGAATTTGTCAGCAGAGTAGAAGGTGTGAAACAACAATGGAATTTGTGTTACTAGTGGACAGACGTTTAGTTCTTGTTGGGAGTTGGTTGTACTTTTTAATTTCTGTATAACATACAACTTTTTGGTGGACCTTAAGATGGGCAGTTGGTGTGTTGAGATCATGTCTGTATCTAGTGTTAACTTCTTGAAACTCTGAATTTGATTTAAAATTAACTATAAATGCCATTAAAGCAGATGTATACCAGAGGCAGCTGTTAATATTTAGTGCCTTAAATAAACCTGTACACAACCTGGCCATAATTCTAATTATTTTCTTTTGCCTTTAGATTGTTAGTTAACATTCTCTTTTGTTAGAGAAAGTGTTTATATTTGTTATTACTGATGTGTTACATTTCTACATTTGTATAATTTTCTTCATACACATATGATGGACATCAGGTTTACTGAGTATAACTTCAAATGCACTTAATATAAACAATATATTCTGACTTTCACTATTGTTCATTTTCAGCTGTGATCGAGAGAATGACAAGGATAGAGATCGGAACAAGGAGAGGTAAGCTTCTGTGTTTAAATGTATGTCAAGTTGGTTAATAACTGGTATATATTTTGAATGAAATTGGTTTTTGGTTCCTCCCTCCCCCCCATTTAATCACAATATCTATAAAATCTACCAATTATAGAGCCTCACATTCTGTTTCGTATTAGGGTGGTATAATGTTAAAGTATGGAGTGTAATTTCACAATGTATTATAATGTTGAACAGCAGTGGCTATTGTAGATTCCAAATTAATAATTGATTGTACCATAATACACCATTAACCGAAGACTAAATTTCTCTTAGTTTTATGGGTTGCAAGGCTATGCCTGGATATAAGTACATACTGTAATTGATTTTGCATATGACAATTGTATATTGATTTTGCCATCTTTGCACAGTTTAAAGTGAGCAAGGGCTCGTGGAGAGACATTTGTATACCTGTTTTGATTAGAGGCTGTGATGATGTTGTGATGTGTGTATTTCCTCCTTTGCAACTGATAATCTGTTACTGTTAAGTCTGCACCGTGTGACATGTGGCTCGTATGAAAGCACTCCACCTACATATTTCCTCATACATTGCCACCATCCACTTATGACATTGATATGAGTGTGCCCAATGAGTGATATGTGTTACGATCACAAGTGACAGTTACGTATCAGCTACTGGTGAGAGCAGTTACTGATACATACATACATACATACATACATACATACATACATCAGCATTTCAGAGTATTCACAAGTGTGCAACTGGCACTGAATATAAAACTTGTCAAACAACAGTCACAAGACAGTCACAGATAAAATTGCAGAAACAACAATTCAGCCATAGTTAAAATCTAAACTGAATACCTCAAATAAATGGATACAATGTTACGCATACAATTATACCGACAAGATAATTAGCAATACATAATAATTCTCTTTCCTTAACTTACACTTACACTTAATGTCTATATTAATGCCTGCTGTGGGACATGCATGCATTTTATGATACTCAACAATATTGTCTTTTGTCTTCACAAATTGCATGTGGTAGAATACTGATTTTTTTCTTAACTGCTTTTTCACTCCTATTATGGTCTTCTCAATTATGACACCATGTCATAGTCCGATAGGTGGGAGACTAATGTTTCAAAGGAACATGCTGCTTCCTTCTTTAGGATTTAAGATGGAGACATTTATCACTTTTACACAGTATGAGCTATAGTAAGGTTCGTGTGTGATGCTATAAGCTGCAGGTATTCTGGCTTGCCTTGATGAATGAATGTAAAAGTCACTACATTAATTAATCAGTTACATTTGACAACAATGTTTAATGATATTAAACCAGCTGGCTGAGAAATAACCTCATTTGCATTCAGGAGACACCCAGTTCAAATCATAGCCAAGCTTTGGCTTTGTAAACTGAAGTGTTTCGTCAGGTCTAATTTTATTCCTTCTGGTCCATCACATTAGTCCGTACTATATAATGATTTGGTTACACCATCCAGTGTGACTCAGAAGTGTATGGTCAGTTAATGACCATCTTCAGAAGGCAAATAACACTTGAGGAAACTACTATTACATAAACCATAGTACATTGAGTTCAAAGTTGTCCAAAGTTTTACATATAAAAATTTTAAATTGAGCTAAACTGTGGTGAGTTAAAATGTTAATAAAACTCTCAATATTTAAAATCTTAAACTGCTAAGGTTCGTGTCTTTGTGCCCCTTCTATCGATGGGAGATTTGATAGATTGTCACCCTTGGTGGTCCAGCCAGTGTTTTCTTTTCTTCTTTATATAGTTGGTTAAGAGTTTGTGTTTGTTGTTGAGCTACTGACCACACATGTAAAGGCATCATATATATAGACACACACACACACACACACACACTCTCTCTCTCTCTCTCTCTGTAATTAATGCCAATTCACATGATCATTTTTTGTCTCATTTGATGCTAAAAAGTCTGCAGTTGATACCATGTCATCAAACAGTCAGTAAATCTATCAGCTTGCAGTGAACTTCTGTGTTGTATTTTGGTGGGGCATGATGTATGTAAACATTAAACTGGGATGATGCATATTAACTTTAAAGGATATTTGGTGGTATGATTAGTAGACTGAAACCACGTAAACTACCATACATGAGATAATACAAATTCAGTGTTAAGTAGATATTGTAGTATATTGTGGTTGTTATTTACTAAATATCTTTTTCATGATGTTTTTATTCAGTGTTAAATTTATTTTCAGAGACAAGGATGAGAAGAAAGCACCAACAAATCTGGGGACGCCTTTGACCAATTATCCTAAGCAAAACCTTCAAATAAACCCATTTACAGGGTTACCATACACACCACGGTAAGATAAAGATATGTTTTAGTGTGTTCTTTCTGTGAATGTAAGTGATTACAAGAACCAGTATTGAATTTGTATGTTCTCAAAGTTGGTAACATATTGGAAGTTGGCTGTACTTCTGTCCTCACATGACTGGTTTTCATTATACTAACATATTTTAAATACATTATTGGTGTTCATTATATGGTCAGATAATTTATTTAACCCTTTCACTGTACATCATTTTCTCATCATTTTCATAAAATAATGCAATTTTAAGATAAAAATATGTAACAAATGCAACAAAAATGCATTTAAGCCCAGAGAATGGTGATCTTGGAGATTTGCACATCATTTTGAATAGGTGAAGGACTGCTTCCCTCAGCTATTGAATGTACATAGGGAAGGATGATAAAACTGACTGTAGTAATTATCAAGGAATATCACTTATCAGCTTCACCCAAAATATTATCCCATATTGTCTAAAGGTAAAGTACATCCAAAATTATTGGGGATTGTCAGTATTGGTTTTGACATAACAGATCAGCTACTAATAAGATTTTTTTGATTTGTCAGATACTGGTGTGGGTGGGGTTTAGAATAAGCCATTGGGAAGGTCCAGGAAGACCAGGTGGTACTTGAATTAAATGGCACACTTAGCTGTTCATCTATGCTGATGTAAATCTGTTGGGAGATAACACATATATCATAAAGAAAAAGACAGAAACTCTAATTGATGCTAGTAATGAAGTAAACACAAAGAAAACTAAGTATATGTTCATGTCTCCTCACCAGAATACAGGGCAAAATCATATCAAAATAAGCTAATAGATATATTAAAAGTGTGACACAGCTCAAATATTTGGGAGCAGCAGAACAAAATTTGGCTCAGGAAGAAATTAGGAGGAGATATAATTCAAGTGAAGCTTTCAACCATTCAGTCCAGAACCTTTTGTCTTCCTTTATGCTGTCTAAAAATGTAAAAATCTGAATGTACAGAACTAATTTTGTGTATGGTTTTGTATGGGTGTGCAACTTAGTCTCTGACATCAAGGGAAGAGCATTTTTTTTAATTATTATTAGTGTGAGCCAGAATCCACTTGGTACTGTGGCCGCAATTGGCCTATTGTACCAGCCACAGATGATAGGTGATGCTGATTGTGGAGCAATTGGTGTAATGAATATTGGCAGGGAAAACCAAAGTACTCAGAGAAAACCTGCCCCAGTGCCCCTTTGTCAACCACAAAACCCACATGACCTGACTTCAGGCTTGAATCCGGGCCACCATGGTGGGAAGCCAGTGCTAACCGCCTGAGCTATGGCATGGCCAGAGGTGGAGCAGAAAGTGAGAGTGTTTGAAACAGGGTGCAGAGGAAAATATTTGAACCAAAGAAGGATGGAGTGACAGAAGGTTAGGGAAAATTGCATACATGGTCTGACAGTAAAGTTTGCAAACTCATTGTGGTAAAAGCTCTACATACCTCGTTACTGAATATCACTGTGGTTACATTCAAAATACTCCCCTTGGGAAACTATGCACCAATGCCAGCGCCTAGTCCACCCTTCAAAACAATTTTGGAACTAGTTTTGTGGAATGACCTTCAGAGCTGCCATCATATTACTCTTCGTGTCATCAGTGTCAGAAAAATGCCTTCCTTTATCTTCTGGAACAGAAAAAAAGTCATTGAGGGCTAGATCCAATGAATAGGTAGGGTGTTCCAGCACAGTTATTTGTTTACTAGCTAAAAACTCCCTCACAGACAGTGCCATGTGAGCAGGTGTATTGTCGTGATGCAAGATCAACGGGTTGTTGGTGAAAAGTTTGGGTCGTTTCTGTCTATTTCATGCAGCCTTTTCAGTGCTTCCAGTTAGTAAACTTGGTTGACTGTCCAGTTGGTACAAACTCAAAATGAACAATCCCCCTAATATCAAAAAAGTTATTGATATTATTTCAACTCTTGATTTGGACCAGTGGAACATTTCTGGTCATGGAGAATTTGTAATCTTCCATTGTGCATTTTGCCACTTTGTTTCAGGGTCATATTGGTAGTCCCATGTTTCATCACCTGTAATGACATGGCCCAAAATTTCAACTTGTCTCACCAAAAGGTCTTGGCAAATTTTGACTCTTCTTTGTGTTTGTTCTTTGGTTAGTTCCTTTGGGACTATTTTTGCACCACCTTCCTCATGTCAAGATCTTCATTTAAGACTTTCCTGACAGCTATTCTGTCGATGTTTGCTTGCTCTGCTGTTCTCCATATAGTTAACGAACAATTTTGATGCACAATTTGACAAACTTTTGCAATGTTTTCTTCAGTGCTGCTCGTTTTTGGCTGTCCTGACCTCTCTTTGGCAGTGACACTTTCTCTTCCATCAGAAAAATGTGTCACCCACTTGTAAACTGCTGTTTTCTTCATAGCATTATCCCCATAAACTTGCACTAACATCTCTTTGATTTCACTTCCACTCTTGCCAAGTTTAACAAGAAATTTAATGTTCGTTCATTGCTGTAATTCAAGCTCCGACATTCTTGCTACAGCACACCAAGATACACTCAGACAGTAATAGACACCACTCAGAAAGAGACTGCCATAGGTCAGCAACATAGCTCTGAAACACTTATACACCAACGTCAGTAAACCATACTGAGGTTTCTGTCCACTGCTACCACAGCAAGCACATGGTGGCGACTTCACAAACTTTATTGTCAGACCTCATAATGAGGAGCTTCATAATTTGTATTCCTTGCCAAGTATAACTAGAAAGCTTAAGTCAAAGAGGATGAGATGGGCAGGGCATGTACAAGTAGCATGCTTGGGGATAAGTGGAATGCCAGATGGAAAGAGACCACTAGGAAGATCTAGATTTAGGTGGGAGGATAATATTAAAATGGATCTTGGAGAGATAGGATGGAGTGGTATGGACTGGATTGGTGTGGCTTAGGATAGGGACCAGTGGAGGGCTCTTGTGAACACGGTAATGAATTCCATAAAATTGTCGTATGCCACACTGTCGGGCAACAGAGTGGATACTCGTACTTGTGGGTTGGTCTTGACAGAGTCGGTCGAGCAGCAAACGTTGTCCGGCGTTTCAGCGGAGATACACTGCTGGAAGATGCTTAATTCAAGAGAGTTTATTACACAGTAAATATGTACAACTGTAACAACAGCAAGTCTGCTTAAGGCTTTAGCAGTGGCTGATTCCTTACTGACAGAGTACCATCCTATAGACTAAACTTCGTAATCAGATTAGAGAGCGTTTTGGGCGGTTTGGGTCAGGGTTCTTATAGCTTTGTCTGTAGGGTGGGGATTGTGTGAAAGCTTCCCTGGAAGGTACAAATTGCGTCAGATAGGAATGTTCTAGAACATTCTATTGTTATTTCATATGGTGGGTCTTCCTGCACCTTGGCTTGTTTTCTCGGACCTTAACTGATGTTTTCCAGTTTCTCTGTGAAGCAACGTGACTATTCTTATTTGCTTCCCTTAGCTCAAAATAAGTCTTGTTTTCCCTCTGGCAGATAACATCGGTGAAAGTCGAGGTACAGTATGTGACAAACCAGTGCTGTTACATTTCATAATTTCCAATAGATATTACATTCGGATTCAATAAAATGTTACTTATAAACCGTAACCATTGTAATTATTCTATCCACCAATACCTGTTACATTAATAATATCTAATGCATCACACCGTCATATACAACAAAATGTTGGGAAATTCTTGAGTAACTGCACAACTGTCGGCTTTGGTGAATGATGATAAATTACACCATGATGCCATGGAAGATTATTTCTTTGTTTGGATTGAAGCCTAGTGTTTCACTGTATTTTATTGGATGCTTGTTTGACTTTGGTTGAATGCCACAGCAATAGGGTTAAATAAATTATTTTTCATTATAGCGGCAGATGTCCTATATGTGTAAAAACGTTTTGTGTGCACTGTGCATCACACTCTCTTGAGTGGAAACCTACGCAAGTTGCGTAATTTAAGTGCTGTCAGATTGACAGCATGTGGGCTCTGTGTGTTCCAGTAGTTGATTCTGTGCGCCCTTTGAGAGTATCCTTTCTGTCACCAAAACATATTAACACCTTCCCTCTGTTTTAGAAATAGTAGTAAATCTTGCTGATAAACTGTACAGAATGAACTTAAGAAATATCCAGTATAATTTTTCTTTTGATTTCACGTAATACTTAATAACTAACTTGGGGAAGTGTAGTGGAGTAGTGGACTCCGTGATTGTATCCATTATTAGTACAATCTAGAACACCTTTAGCAGATAGTTTTTAAGCATCAGCCTGGAAAGATTTAATTTGTATAAATATTTTTTACTTCTTTGGGTCCATTTCTTTTTAATGTGTTTGTGTTTAGTAGGTATGATCAGTTCATGACAGATATTTGTGTTGGTATTTGAGAAAAATACATTTTTATAATGTGGCTCATGGGTGGGTACCTAAGTACATTTTGGCCCCTTAGTGATTTGATGTTGGACAGCCCAGGTGTATAGTAATTGATGTATAGTACTGAAAATTGTTGCTCATGAATGAATAAAAAATATTGTAACTAAATTCATAATTGTGACAGCATGTGTATACCTTTAATATTTATTGTCCATGTGTTGTACCAAGGGTCAGAAAAGATGGCTGGTGACAAAATTGCACTCTCATTATTCAGGAACTGGGTTGTAGAATTCTGACAGCCCTGTTCAGCTTATGATAGAATATTTGGTCATGAGCTCTTATGGCATGCCCTGTTCAGTAAATTTGGTTATGAGCTGCTGTCCAGAACAGCATGTCAAAGTAAGTTTTATGTTTGGTTTTTTAGACCATTACCAAGCTCAGCGCACCAGAATTTTTGAAGACAAGTGACGGGAGTCATCATCTAACCATAATTTTCAGTCTTCTACACGGCAGCTTGAGTCAGACTTTCTCTTCTGCTGCACACTATATATTAGGCACCCAGCATTGCTTGCATATTGTTTTGCCTATCTTAGAGTTTGAATTGTGTGTGCCCGTAATACATTTAAATGACCATATGTACTCGTGTTTCCAGTTGTGATTGGTTGTGAGGTGCAGTGAGCAGAAGCCACAACATAATGAACAACTTTTTTATGACAACCAAAATATTTGTCAGGCTGTTAGATTAAAAAAATTTCACTCTTGTGTTGCATATTGTAACAACATATGTACATGGTCCATTGGGCTGAGCATATTTTTTTAATACTAATGAACATGTCTGCCTCTACTTGAAAGGTGCACATTGTAATTTGCAGTCAGATATTACGTGTCTTAGCTGTTATTTTTCACAGTCGCACTATTCAGATTCTGCGAGAATGCTTCAACTTGTAGTATGTGTCATTTACATCTGACATACTGAAGAACCTGCACAGTATTCAAGGTTTAAAATTTGATCGTGATCAATTCCTAATGATGCATGTCTTGCCATATTTCATTTGACACTACACAGCTGTTGTAGTCTATAGAATGTCATAAAATAACTGTGTAACCAATAACTTCTAATGACATTTGCAGCTGTGGTCAGTTTATGCATGACTTGTATCTTTTAGATATCAAGAATTTCTGCGCAAACGTATCACACTGCCAGTGTGGGAATATCGAGCCCAGTTCATGAAACTTTTGGAAGAGAATCAGTGTATAGTTCTGGTTGGTGAAACTGGTTCAGGAAAGACAACGCAGATACCTCAGTGGTATGTATCTCTCTTTAACTGTGTAGTGAAATCCCTTTTCAGTGTTCCTTAATTTAGGACTTTCAAGTGTCATTCAGTTTAGGTGGTCTGAACCAAATTATCTGAAATTAGTATATAATTTCTATGGCCCAAGACAGTGGAATGAGCATTTCATTGTTCATGTCTGATTCCCCGAACTGAATAAAAGTCTCTTCCATGTAATGTAGTGTGAAGAATGTCTTGTGAACAAAAAATACTTCAGTTTCATGGCCAGTGTCAAATTTGATTACATCTGGCTAAATACTGAGTTATTTTTATAAAGTAGCCCACATTCAATTCATCTTTTGTTCTCTTCAGTTCACAATCACTCTGTCATTCATCTGTATAGTCTTTGCATTGATAAAGCTAAATTAAATAAACCAGCAGACAAAATGTGATACATTTCAACTTCAGGTGTGTGGAATTTTCAAGAGCTAAGGGGAAGAAAGGTGTGGCATGTACTCAACCAAGAAGGGTAGCAGCCATGTCTGTTGCCCAGCGTGTATCAGAAGAGATGGATGTTTGCTTAGGACAAGAAGTTGGCTATAGTATTCGATTTGAAGATTGCTCCTCAGCTAAAACCCTATTAAAGTAAGTATTTACAATGAATAATTGGTTAAAGTTCAAGTTGTTTGCATGTAAATACAGTGGTGTAGGAGTTGGAGTATTTGAGTGGATTGCATGAAGTTGATGAAAGTACATAAAGAAATTATTGTATGAGTAATGTTAGAGAAATTAATCAGCAAGGTAATGTTTTCAAGGGACAAGGAATTCTCAGACAATTTTTAAATTTCCTCTAAAGTTCCTAGAACTTGAATCCAAATGCTTATAAGTTTCTTGGAATTCCTCACAGAGGAGTTCCTATCAGAATGCTGTAAATGTTGTCCTTACACATTTTAGTCCTGAATTTGTGTGAAGAAAGCTGCAGTTGTTGATACAAAGTAGGAAGATTGATTTCATATGGATGATATGAATTTCTTGAGTGTAGATTTAGATGAAACGGTCTTCAAACATGATTACATTAAAACCTGTTCGCTTCTGACACAGTAAAGTAAAGGAACAAGAATTTTATGTCACTAATTAAGGACTTTTTGTTGAAAGTGGGCTGTAGCATTCATTTAATGTCAGGAACTTGACCATATTTCCTTTTGATTTAAGTTATACCATGAATTTACTTTATTTTCTATTTAGGTACATGACTGATGGTATGTTGTTACGAGAAGGTATGTCTGACCCTATGCTAGAAAACTACCAGGTGATTCTGTTGGATGAGGCTCATGAGAGAACTCTAGCAACAGATATTCTTATGGGTGTATTGAAAGAGGTCACTAAACAGCGTTCAGACCTCAAGTTGGTTATTATGTCAGCCACTCTTGATGCTGGAAAGTTTCAGGTGAGACATATGTATTGACTTATCAGACATGTCAGTTGTATGTAAGTCTATATATGATACTTGCTCAAATCCTTGCCATACTATATAGAGTAGAAAGAATGTTTGATATTGCAAAATTAGGGTCCATCAGTCATAGTATAGCTTCTGTTTTTTGCACTTAGGTAAGAGTAATGCAGTAAAAGCTGTATGCAAGTATCATAAATGGCATACAAGATGATAAAAGTTAATCATGTTCTGAAAGAAAATTTGCCCAATAGTTCTGTCTACCCATGCAGGAGCATGTATCAAAAGAGAGAGAGTGGAACCTTGTGTATTAATCTTGGATTGTATGAACTCCAGTATCTGCTGTTCTTTGCGAATTTATTGTGCTGTATGAATACAAGTTTTGGCAAGAAAGAAAATCAGATGAGGGGCAAGTTTACCAGTATGAGCAACCTGAGGAATCCAGTTTTAAAAATTCCTACTGTTGTTGTGTTCACAAGGTTGCAGATCACATACTAAAGATGCCCTGAACAGTTTCTGGAGTTATGCAGCAATTCTTACTCACACTTGGGAGTGTGCAAGGGGCTGAGAGATTTCCGATGACAACTTTTGAGTCTAGTACTGATTTTACAAAGTGTCTGGATTTGGTTTTCATGTTCAGTAATGGTCTTGTCTGTCTTAATCTGTCTGCAATTCTGTGAACAGTTGTGGACTTGTAATATCCTGATATTTACAATGGAATCTTCTCACTTTTCATGTAGAACCGCTTTTCGCGCAGGTCACTGCAGTACAGGAGCAGAAGTTGTAACAGCAAGGTGTTTAGGATATTTGGTTGGACAGGCACCCTATGCTTAAGCTTGCTGCTTTCCTGAAAAGTGTTGAAAAGTCATTCTTTAGTTTAAATATACAAGTATGTTGAAACTTATTCATGCTGTTACATACACAGAATGACCACAGAAGTATTAATCAGAGATAAATGTAATTATGGAACACAACTAATATTCATAAAAGAAAACTCTATAGAGCAAGAGTAGAAAACATTTTCCATTCAACATGCCAGTATTAAAAGAATAAGGGGGTTTGGGGAAGGTTCAGAGAATTGTCTTTATGCAGGTCTATACATTTAACTGATTAAATGGCACAGTGGATTTTTGTTTTTTCAGTGGTTAAGGTATTGCTGTAATCTGGATAAATTTTATTTGTAATGTATTAGGCTGTAGGTTTAACAGTTTCACTAGCAGTTCAAATCTCCATGGGGATAATTTGCTAGGGGAATCTTTTGGCGTCTCTGCCTGAAAGGTTCAGCAGCTTGCTGGGCTCTCGAAAAAATTTCACTGTATAATATGTAGTTTGTATGTTTAATTAAATTTCTTGTTCCGTTAATTCCTTCATAAAAAGTTCCATGATGTGTAACGTTTCAAAATCTGTTTCTTTGTCTTGCAGCTCTATTTTGACAATGCACCATTGATGAATGTGCCTGGTAGAACCCATCCTGTTGAAATTTTCTACACACCAGAACCTGAAAGGGACTACCTTGAAGCTGCCATTCGAACCGTGATTCAGATTCATATGTGTGAAGAAATTGCTGGTGATGTCCTCCTCTTTCTCACAGGCCAAGAGGTCTGTATTTATTTATGTTCGCATATTCTCTGAAGACATTCTTCATTCTTGATCTTTTAAAGAAAGATCAATTTCATTACAGTAGATGTACCTAAAATTTTTACTGGGGCTATTTGTGTGACCAAACAAAGTGTTTGTACTAATGACTGCAGTCATTATATTTTGGTTTTTTTTTTTTTTTGGCCCCATAATACAGTTTATCATAATTGTCTTTTTATTTATATATTCTATAGCAGTCATGTTTACTCTTACTGTCTTAAAATTGATATGGAGTGAACTGATTCAGTTTCAAAACAAATTGTCCATTCACAGACATGCTTGTAAGCAGCTGTTATTGAGGATTATATCAGTTTTATTAAAGCAGCATTCCTCATACTTTTTACTTGCTGTGTTGTAATATAATATTTACAAGAGCTTCATTGTTCAGTCACACTTGTATGACATATCAAGATGATGAGTACTTTCTTCGTGTTCACCAATTAATAGCAACAGGCTGTAATGAGATTTCTGTGAGCAGGAGGCATAAAAATAGCTGAAATCCACAGACAATTGTCAGTAAGTTATAATGTATGTGACTTGATTGAAGATGAATGTGTAGGTGAGGCACCAATTTTTAGTCATGCATTCAAGGTTGGAATCACTCCATCAGCTGGCACAGGCAGAATGTTGGGGTGTGTTTAGTCACAGCAGTAAAGAAGCTGAAGTGTATAAATTGTGCAGTTAAATTTATGGTCATTTTGTAACAATGTAGGGGTTCCAGTCCTGAAAATTGCTGCATGTGTAAATGGGAAACACTTAATGAATGCTGAACACAGCAGAGAAGAAATAGAAAACTACATAAGTAAATAAAAGTGGTGGGGCAAGTCAGAGAAATTGCCCACACAACTCACTGGGCTAGTGCAGCAGCTTCTGTCATGGCTGCAGATGTCAGTGCTCTTCATGAGATCAGACTAAACCCTTGAGTCGCCAGTATCTGCATTCACTTCAGATCATTCATGTTTTACTTAAGAAATCTTAAAGTATTTCATGATTAATACTTTCTCTTTCAGGAAATTGAAGAAGCCTGTAAGAGAATTAAACGTGAAATTGATAACCTTGGACCAGAAGTTGGTGAGCTGAAGTGCATTCCTCTCTATTCCACACTTCCTCCCAATCTTCAGCAACGTATCTTTGAGCCAGCACCACCAAATAAACCCAACGGAGCAATTGGACGGAAAGTTGTTGTCTCAACTAATATTGCTGAAACATCTCTGACAATTGATGGTGTTGTATTTGTGATTGATCCTGGATTTGCAAAACAGAAGGTAAATAATATCTTACAAGTGTTTTTGCAACTTAAAGCCTCCATATACAAAGGAAATCTGAAGTCCCTAAGAAATACAATGCATCCGTGTTATCAGCTGGTGGTCAGTGGGCTTCTGTCACTCTGCAGCTTAATTAATACCAGTTTTGATTCTCCTCTCTTCTCAACATCTAAGTTGTTTTTGTTGCACGTAACTTTTGTTCCTATATTCATTTTGTAATCTGGGGGAGGGATCTCTTTTTGGTACAATGTAGTGCGGAAGAGGATAAACTTGTGCTAGTCTACAACGTGTTACATCTCAGAAGATAGTACTCTCCATAGTCACTGCTGAGAGAACCACATATCCAACAAGAGGGCAGAAGTTGGTTACTGCTTCGCTCAGAAATTGGGATGTCGAACCATCCTGCAGGCACCAGATATGGTTGGCAACTTAAGTCAGTTTGTGTGCTCTTGTGCGTAATTTAAATTGGAAACATTCAGTGTCGTTTATTACATGTGATTGATTTTAATATCAAACACAAGAGAAGCCAACGATTTTGTCATACATTTAAAGACCAATAACTTTTAGTATGTTCAAAAGTGGCTTTTATATGTCTAGGAACACTGCATTATTGTGAAGTTTATCAGGTTTCAAGTGAGATGAACTGCTGTGCTTTGCCCTCAACTCTGATGAATACTGATTTGTTCCAATAGGTCTATAATCCTCGCATCCGTGTGGAATCACTTCTGGTTTCACCCATCAGCAAGGCTTCTGCTCAGCAGAGAGCTGGTAGAGCTGGTCGTACAAGACCAGGCAAATGCTTTCGGCTCTATACAGAAAAAGCATTCAAACAGGAGATGCAGGATAACACATATCCTGAGATTCTTCGTTCAAACTTGGGCTCCGTTGTTCTGCAGCTTAAAAAGTTGGGAATTGATGACTTGGTTCATTTTGATTTCATGGATCCTCCAGGTATGTGCAGTTCATTTGTAAAGAAAAATTTAATTTTACAAAAACAAATTAAATGTCAGTGTGATGTTCTGTGTTGGGTTTGAGGTTAGTATTACATGCATACTCACAGTATGTCAGTATGGTCGTAAGAGCATTAAAATTGTTATAGCTTGTGCCACGTACTTAATAAATTTACTGTAGCAGATGGACAAATGGTTACATATGAAGGCTGTAACATATGCTTAATATACATTTTTAATGCAAACAATTTTTTATACCATGATTTAAAAGTGATATATGATGCATGCGGTAGTGTAGTTGGTTGAGGGACTATGTTACAAGTTAGAAGGTTATGGGTTCAGTTCCTGATGAGGTCATTAGATTTTTCAGTTTACCTAATCCTTCCAGCCACACTATGGCCCTGGTGTAGACTCAGTCTTTAACAGAAATGAATACCTGGAATCTTCTGGGGTAAAGGGCAGCTGGTGTGTAAGGCTCACAACCTCACCACCAACTGTAACCCTATTGTTTTGAAAATGTGGGAACCTTGAAGTCTTAAAACCTATGGGCCTCCACTGTCTGTTACAGGGATAGCTTATCTTTTATATGATGCTTGTCATATAGTGGAATCTGAAAAGATTAAAGAATGTCCATTTTCAGCATTCTATTACAGTAGGTTAACTAGCAAGTGATAGAAATTGTTTGTATTTAGCTCCAGAAACACTGATGCGAGCTTTGGAGTTGCTGAACTATTTGGCTGCATTGGATGATGATGGCAACTTGACAGACCTGGGAGCAGTCATGGCAGAATTCCCTCTTGATCCTCAGTTGGCTAAGATGTTGATTGCTAGCTGCAACCACAACTGCTCTAATGAGATTTTGTCCATCACAGCTATGTTGTCAGGTAACACTTAGTGTAGACATGCTACAGGTATTTGACATTACATCATCTTAAGTTTATGCAATTTCAGTTCTGGATGTGGAGCAGTAGTCTCACTGTTGTATAAAATTGGTATATATAAGGCAGCCACAACGTGAGAAGGGCTCCAAAAATTAGGGGCACTTTAAACAAGTAGGTGAAGAACCTGACGCAGATGAGACCGGATGTGTTGAAAATAATTTTGATTTCTATTGGAAGGAAGTACTATATTAACGTCATTATTTTTCTGACAAGAGTTACAGCTGAATACAGTATTTATTGAATTTCCCATGTTCTTGAATAAGTTGTGCACCTCATTTTTTTAGAAACATTAAGAAGTCTGTGAATTCAAGTATGAAAGTTTGCGTGTTGTACAAATATGCATACTGACTTGAAATTTGAACATGATGTGTTTTATTCGTATATTCCTTGTATTGTAGACTGAAACTGCTGCTGCTTGTGCATTCAAAAGACTGTTTATATATATCAGGTTATTTCACTTTCTAGCCCAAAAAGCCCACCAACTGCTGTTGCTTCATAGCGTTGACTCTTTTTTTCATGTCCTGTACAATTCTGACTGGCACTGTATTTTCTGGCAGAAGTATGATTTATGATTTGTTCTACCTCTTGAATTATTTTCAGTGTTTAACTGTGGAAGTTGTAAATGTACTCATGTTCAGTAGATCACATGCACAGGATCTAACAGATCCACTCATGCATTGCAGCTATGTGTGGCTGGGCATGTAGCCACATGAAAGGAAAAAACTATGAAAATTTTGATCATACCTGGGATAAGAAGTATTGACAACTTCATCATAAATAAACCACATAATCCTCTCCCCCTTCGTTTTTAAGGAAAGTGGGTGGGATATTGTAGAATATATGGTGATTAATTAAGAGGAAGTTACTCGTATTACAGAATAAATAAAAATTCATGTACGAGTTTGTTTCTGTGTACGTGGTCTGACAATAAAGTTCGCAAACTCATGGTGAAAGTGCTACATGCTTCGTTTATGAATATCACTTCGGTCGTCTTCAAAGTACTCCCCTTGGGAAGCTGTGCACTGATGCTAGTGCCTAGTCCACACTTCAAAACAATTTTTGAACTGGTTTTGTGGAATGGTCTGCAGAGTTACTCCTGATGTCATAAGTGTCATCAAAATGCCTTCCTTTTAAGATTTCATTTGTCGTCAGGAACAGAAAGAAGTCACTGGGGGCTAGATCCGGTGAATAGAGAGGGTGTTCCAGCACAGTTATTTGTTTCCTAGTTAAAAGCTCCCTCACAGACAGTGTTCTTTGGTGAGCTCTTTTAGGACCATTTTTGCGTGCACGTTCCTCGTGTCAAGATCTTCAGTTAAGATTTTCTTAACTTTTCCTGTGTTGATGTTTGCTTTCTCTGATATGCTCCTGACAGTCAGCTGACTATTTTCATGCACAATTTGATGAATATTTGCAATGTTTTCTTCGGTACTGCTCATTGCTGGCCATCCTGATCTCTTTTTGTCAATGACACTTTCTCTGCCCTCAGAAAAACATGTCACCCACTTGTAAACTGCTGTTTTCTTCATAGCATGATCCCTGTGAACTTGCATTAACATTTGTCTGATTTCACTTCCATACTTGCCAACCAAGTTTAACAAGAAGCTCCGACTTAACTCACAACAGCACACCAAAACACACACAGACAGTAATAAACACCACTCAGAAAGATACTGCTATAGATCAACAACAACACAGCTGTGAAACGGTGTGCCGACCTCATCAAACCATACAGAAGTTTCTGTCCACTGCTGACACGGTGGCTAGTTCACGAACTTTATTGTCAAAGCACGTACAGTATATATACACACAGTTAATTAAAGTTTCGGCTAAAATTATATGTGTGGAAGAGGTTTATCCTGTAGGAAAGGACCAAAAAAAAAACAGACTGCTTTGTGTTGTTCCAAGAAGGAAATTTATTATTTATTTTTTGTTGTAAGAGTGAACACTTCCGCAGTCAGAGTTAGTATAGTTGTGACTTCAGCTTGGGGCTGTAATTTTGTTATTTAATTTAAATTGCTGATGTTTAAACTTCTTGTCACACTTTAAAGTTGCAAGGAATTATTTGAGAAGATCTATCCTAGTGGCAGTGCAGGCAGTCTTCCAGAATGTGTTTTAAATTTCTTTCTTCCGAGATAAACTTTTCATTAAATTGTCTCTTTGAGTGCTGTTTGTATTCCACATAAATTATGTATGAAGGAAGGAGCTTCGTCTTAGTGACACTTGTGAGATGGGGTTAGTGCTTTTTAGTTATTGGAATAAACATATCTGTTAATGCTGACAAGTTTTATACTAGTACATATAGTGAACCAGTATATGAAAACATTTTCTGTGGCTTAGGCAACATATAGATATATATATGACAATGAGCCAGGTGGGGGAAGAATAATGATGGTGCATATAATGCTCACATACACTAAATGAAAATTTAGAAGCCATGGGGGGAAGTAAGGAAACTGCAGTATATAATTTGTACATAACAGTAATTCCAGTTCATATCAAACCATTATTAATGCTGTTACCCATATAAAATTGCAGAAATATGCAATATTCTATGTCAGAAATACACATACTATTAAGAATATAATGTTTGAAAATTAAAGGATGGATTAGAGTTGTGATAGTATGTACTTGTCATGTGGAATAGTTGTGGAGGGGCAATTGCATACACCTGTACAGAAATGTATGCTTCTATAACTCCATGAGAATGTGGACATTCCATTTGTGTAGATCGCACTCAAAGCTTCAGCAAGCTAGAATCTTCAGTACACTTCCAAGTGGTAAGCTAAAGCAAAGATTTTTGTCTGTTACACATTTGTCAGAATTTAAGTAAATGATCAAAATTTGTTCCTTTGTTATTGATTCAGCAGACGATAATGTGTAACTTAAACACAGACATATTAATTCATATTTTGTCTGTGTGTAACATGGAAGATTCTAACTTGATGTAGCTCCCATAGGTTGAAACAGAGCGAGCCACTGGCACTCGCTGCTAGTGCGGTGTGTGTGGACACTACTAAATTGGTTGGATGCGGGCTCCCCCCTCTCCTCCACTGTTTAGTCCCGCAGTGCTTCGTGCGGCCCAATGAGGCCAAGAAAGCGGCAGATGATGCCAAGATGAGATTCGCTCACATCGATGGTGACCACCTCACATTACTCAACGTCTACCATGCTTTCAAACAAAGTGAGTATTTGCTGATTTTACTTTATGTGTTTTAAGTGATGTGTAATATTGTATCATAATTTCTCTTCCCAGTATTAGATGTATTTGACCTATTATAGTTATTACTAAACAGTCTTTCCATGTTTCGTCAGTTCTGAGCATCATCCTCCACTGTGTTGGTGTTTTATAATTCTGTGGGAAGGATCCTCTTAGAAGTTCTCTAACATTTTCTTTCTCCATTTGTTATGTTTTATAAAATTTGTTATTGATGAGATTCATGAATCTGGCTGTATTTCCTTTTATGGTCGTAAAAGGGTGTAGAAATGTGTGTGTGACAAACAGTAAATGGGGTATCCCCTGGTGAATTTCATCCTCAGCAAAAAAATTTAAGAGTGTGTGTTAATATTTTGAGAGCATATCAGTTCCCTATTATATCTGTCATAATGGGAATCATGAAAAATTAAAGGTTTGTGAGCACCTTGCAATTTGCAGTACAAATTGAAGAAATTTTAATTTGAGTAACAAAATTGTCTTCCTGTTATTTCTTAGTTTATTCAGTAACATTTTCACTCCAGCATATTTTATATAGCAATAAATTGGAAGAGTCCCTATGAATGATTAATTGTGAAGGTTCTAGAAGAAGTGGATGTGGCCTGTTTTTAAGGTATGGTTACAGAATTTTCCTGGAGTGACTCAGGAAAACCACAGAAAACCATGTTCAGGGTAACAAGCTTCTGGGCTGAAAATGAAACCTTTGATCTCCTAAATAGGAAGCAGGAGTGTTGACCACTCTAGTGTTCGGTAAAACTGTCTTCTTACTTATTGCAGTAATATTACATTACTTAAATTCAGATATAAGTTATACAAAGTATTTTCTTGCTATTACAGTAACATGCTAGTGACAGCTAGTATGCCTTTGTTGTTAATCGTCTGAATATTGCAGCCAGACATCTAGCATGACAGATTCCTAGCCAGTGATGTTACTGAAGTTACAGCATTGCTTTTGCTTTCTGTAATTTATAAATTCAGTCATCCTGCTGTACAGTCTTCAGTACAAAACTGAACTCACAGCGTTCACACCTGATGCATGAAAGATGCAGCATGGTACATGACACATAACATAACATGAATGTTCACACCGGATGACACAGATACATTGCCTCAGTCACAGTGCAGCTGTTGGATACTGAAGTTCTGATGCTGTTGTTAGTAATTAGATGACGGAAGAGGTGTGGGTTTTTGTTTGATCAATTCTTACTAGAAAATGCCAAAAGTGCAGTGCAGGCACAGATCCAGAAATATTCTCAGGATGTTTTGAAGAATCACAGACCCTGGTAACCCCAACCATTGAAAAGGAAGATACCGATTACTGCTATGTGATTTGGTATGCTGAAATACTACTTATGCTAAGATTTGAAAACACATTTTTATTAATATTGATATTTATTTTATAGACTAGATTCAGAACAGTATGTGTCTGATTGTGAAGGACAAGTTTTCCCATGCAAGTCAATCATGTTAGAAGTAGAATACATTAGATCAGCAGCTTGCCACCTGCTTTCAAGCTGGTATCTTGCTCAGCTTATTCTTTGACCCTGAAGATGGAGGCGATGTGTTTCTCCTAAACATTGGTTGACTTTTAGTTGACTACATGGCATTATGTCCTGGAAGATAGTACTTTTCATAATTTTCTCCTGTTGAGAAAATGCTTTGCTACAAGGCAGTAAGTCTTAGAAGACTCAGATGCCTTGCTGCGCTTAGCCTCAAATAATTCTAGACTTCTTTCAGGCTTGTCCAGTTCCTTGTCTTAATGTGTTTTTTTCTTTGAGGGCCCTACTTGGACCAGGAACTGAAGTGTCAAATGTGCTCTTCATAGGTGTCATTTTAGGTTGGAACACCTGAACCTCTTTTCATCATTTTCATTTCCAGCCTTTTCTAGTGATGAATCAGTAGCATTTGTGGTTTTGTTGTTACTCAAAATATTTCCATTTAGCCTTTAAAAACTTTTGACTTTATTTTATATCTTTTTTTGTTAAAAACCACAAGAAGCTAATGGGGTGAGAACTAACATTCATAACAGATACTTGTTTTCTGAGGTGTTAGTCATGCTTTTATTCCCAATTTTGAATAAAAAATGGAAGAAAATTTTATAATAAATATTCACTTACATCCTGGACTTTGTAAGTCACTGCAAAATCTGTAGGAATTCAGGCAAATGGTAGGGCTTTTTGTCTCATGTTCCACTGTTCCTTAGGCTTTTTACATGTATACCTGTATCTGATGAAAGATCACCAATGTACTATTCAGAGTTTTTCACTGCTATCTCCTAGGACTTGAGCAGAAACAGGGATGGTGCTGTCCTTAAAAATTCTGCAATATACTGTGTCATTACTGAAGGGATGAATTTCTGTCCTCTTCATCTGTCACTAACAGAAGAAGGCAAATTCCACTTTCTGTTTGGTTGCAGACAATGCATATCTCTTGTCAAGTCGTATGGTGTGGCCATTGTCCAAAAGAGTACTGACAGGGGAGCACCGTGTTATTAATTACAGGCTATCTTGGGCTGGCATGAATGTGGAATGTGCATTTGATACGTTACATTCCAAATGTAAAGTTGTGGACATAGCAATGAGGTGCATCTTTAAAATTGTGGATAAAATCAACAATTGCATCTGTACTTTCCCCAGTTTTGTCAGAATAAAAGAAGAAAAAATGAGCCAACCATTGACAGTGGAAAATAATTCAGTGCTGATGTCACCACAATTCCAGACACTTTTTTGTCTGTTTGGACAACTGTGTTCATTCCCCATTGACACGTGTCATGCGTTATATGTCTGTGACATTCCATGTGAAAGCCCACTTACTGTCATAACTCACTGCAGTGGACAGGATACCACTAGATTAATTTACAGGTTGGATCTTGAAAGAATAGGATGTGAAGGTATGGATAAAGTTTATCTGGGTTACTAGTTCTGTGGTAGGCTTTTACTGACACAGTACTGAATCTTTGAATTCCATAAAAGATGGGGAATTTTTTAATTAGTTGAGCAGTGTTATTGGTTTCTCAAGAATGAATCTGTTCCATAGATTTGTTTGACATCAGGAGTAAGCAGGTGATATGTTGAACATCTTGTTATTAGTATTGTCATCCTGGATGCAGTTACAAATGAATTTATCATCTTCAGACTCGGAGGATCCTCAGTGGTGTTATGACAACTTCGTTAACTACCGATCTCTCAAGTCAGGTGACAATGTGCGGCAGCAGCTGTCTCGTATCATGGATCGCTTTAACCTGAAGAGAACCTCAACAGACTTCACATCCAAGGACTACTATATCAATATAAGAAAAGCCTTGGTTACGGGATTTTTTATGCAGGTATACAACTATAACCTGAGATTAAATTAATTTATTATTGCGTTAAGAAGCAATGTAATGTGTGTACTAATATTTGTATGATGAGGACTGGAGTTTACAAATTACAAAGCATTTCATTACAAAGATTTTGTAATGGTGATGTGGCTAAGCATAAATCAGTGGCCACATAGGTGACACACAGGAATAAAATTCACTCTATTTCAAATACTGAATGAGGATCTGTCTACATTTTAAAATGTTGTTAATAAAAAAACCTTGAACCTTGCATGATTTTACAGCAGTTCTTAAACATGTCCTATAATATTGACGCATTTTCAAATGTAAGATATTTTGACAGTAGTTGAATTTGTCTTTATACAATTCTGCTGTAAGTTTCCAAAGAGATGAATGAAATGTGCTCACATATGGAGAATGTGATAGCTGTTTCCTACAATTGTCTTTTTCTTCATCAAAAAGTCTGTCCTGCTGGAAATACATGCAACTGTTTTCTTCATTGTTCATTAAAGAAACCTGTTTTTATCAGCAACAGACCATGTTTGTCTCTTTTTTTTTATACCTGTGAGCATGGATTTTCTTCCTTTGTGACCACATATGTGACAGTTGGTACATACCAAATTGAGCAGTAATAAGAAGGTCACATCCTTTGTGTTGAAGAACTTGGTTTTGTATGAAAGAAGTTGCACCAAATTATAACTTTAGGCAGATTGAATTTGTGCTAAATCCTTGTGCAGAAAAGTAGGTATTCGCACTATTTACAGTGCTAATAATACTAATTCCTCCATCAAAGCATCTACAGTTTATTAATCAACGTCTCACAACCCTATGGGCCTTCACGGCCTGGTACAGGGATAACTTTACTTTACTTTTACTTTATGTTCCACCTAAGTTAATAAATTATAGTTGTGTTGATAGTGGAATTTGTATTATTAGTTGTACTCCCACAACAGGAGGCAAACAGTAAAAATATATATACATAGTGTTGAGTAAATTAAATGATAAAAAGAAACTAGAAATTACCAAGAGACACTGCAAGAAGTGTGATGGCAGTGAAAACCACTGGGCTTATCATCACTTCTTCACTGTCATCATTGATAAATCTCATATTCTCCAGGAAATAGTGTACAAAAGGTGTAATATTGCAATTGATTTCCTGCAGGTTGCCCATTTGGAAAGAACAGGTCATTACTTGACCATTAAAGACAACCAAGTAGTTCAGCTTCATCCTTCAACATGTCTCGACCACAAGCCGGAGTGGGTTATCTACAATGAGTTTGTACTCACAACAAAAAATTACATTCGAACTGTCACTGACATCAAACGTAAGAATCCATAGCTTCACTTGAGTACATAAGTTCCCTCTCCAGTTCAAGACTCCCCACCTCAGACAAGAATTGGCATTCATTCTTTAGTTTACATTACAATATGGGAGTGCTGGAAACTTGTATTTGCTTAAATTTTATGGACACCCCGGTTCTGAAAGGTTACATAGCACAGAGCTAGGAGATTTGAAATAAACTAGTTTATTTTCATCTTCACTCTGCCCTTCACCTTGAGTCATGAGGTGGGAACGTTACCCCTAGACTACGGAGGCCCCTTTCTAATTGTGGTAAGCGGCTGCCAGTTCAATATATGTTAAGTTCATACAGTTTATTGGAAAGTTCATATAAATCTTTACCATTCTTTTGTCATGGTCAGAGTAAATTCTGCTCACTTTTTCTGAAGTAGCAGTCCTATTACAAGGCTGGCACATAACTGGTAGTACTGTCTGTTGCTTTTAAGCTATTGTGTTAATAGAATTGAACATTTCTCCCGCCTCCACAAAATGTTAGGTATCAACAGAGCAAACATATTCTGAGAAGTTACTATATATACTAGGCTACATGTGTCTAGTACAACAAGGATGATGATGATGATGATGATGAACACTTACTCTGAGACTTGTATTTTCCAGCTGAATGGGTGTTAAAAATAGCACCTCAATATTATGATTTGAACAACTTCCCACAATGTGAAGCCAAGAGACAGCTTGAACTCCTACAAGCCAAGATGGAGACAAGACAGTACCAAGAAGGGTTTTGATGTAGATGTACACACATGCTCTCACTCACACATAGAACTTTTAGTTTAGCAAATGTACAGTGTTGATGACAAGAAACTTCATTCCAGAGTTAATTCATCATGTAGACAAAATGCTTTCATTGTGTTGATATGGGAAGTACTCATTATCTTTAAGGAATGCATCATGTTCTGTTATTCTATATAAATTCTTTGTTATGTTTCCCTCTCAACACAGTCATTAGAATCTCATTCACATTTCACTGTGTATAATGAGTTTATTGGTCTGAGTAGTATGGTAATACGCTATACGTTTCTTCTTATAAAGCCATCATCAGGCAGTATACATTAACAAACTTTTTCAAACTACTGAATTGCGCTAACTTATGACTTAAAATTACTTTTATTTTTATTTTATTATATATACATTTATATACATTTTTAAGCACCAAATTGAATGTAGAACCTTCATTCCAATTTTAATGCATTTTATAGAGATGAAAGTTGAATGTATTAACTGAATGCGAAGTTTGGTACATTGGCAATAATTATATTGTAATGTATGAATTATGTAAAGTACAATTCAGTAGTCTGAAAATGTTTGTTGATGTATACTGTCTGATGATGGCTTTATAAGCTGAAACATATAGTGTATTACCATACTTTTACAACCAATAAACTCGTTATACACAGCGAAATATGAATAAGATTCTAATGGTTGTCGTGTTGAGATGGAAACAAAATGAAGAATTTCTATTAGAAAGTATTCATTATTTACCTACTTTGTGATTAGTACTGAAATGATAATGTGGCAGATATTGAATAAATGCATGTTTGTCTTGAAAGGTTAATTCTGTTGTCACATTTCCTAGCATCAGAGACAAAAAATTACAAGATTTTCTTTGTGACTTCCTACATTGCTTACAGAGTAGTTCAGAGTAGTGACAGATTGATTGACATTCAGTTACACTTGTTCTAAAAGTGGATTCATCAGTACTGAACCTGCCACTGCAATATATAGGTACTAATTTTAAAAGTTCTTCCAAATGAACACAATAATGCTATGCCAATGGTACTGTTTTTAAGATACACACATACATACATACATACATGCATTTAAAAATGCAAATATTGTTGCTTGTAAAGCTGTGTACATGATACCAATTTCTTGCTTCTTTATATACTTTTTTGTTGGAGGTAGTTTGTGATAACTGGTTATTAATGTTTTCAGGTTGAAATTGTTATTTTTAAGCCCAGAAAAAACTGTAATTTTTTTCTGTATTTATCCACATCTCCATATTTAGATAGTTTTACAACATTTTCGCGCTCTTGTTGACAGTTGCGTCCAAAATATTGCAATCTTGTTCATGGTCCGTTAAGACAACTATGAGTTCATATTAAACTTGGGGCCTATAACTAAAACATACAGCATGTGGGCATGTTGAAGTCTAGCCATAGTTACATCAACATGTGGACTCTGTTAGGGTCTCCAATATTAAATACATGTAAGTTGACCTCTGCCTTTGTCTTCAGTTTGAATCAGATTCTTCTGTATAATCACTTTGGGTTACAGTTACTTGAATGGTTCCACACAGATATGTATGAAGAAATGTTACAGTATGCTATTGTAATAGTGTATATTTCAGACAACAAGATGTGTTGTCTTAATGCTGTAACTAAACTGTGTTCTTGTACTGTGGGTAAAAGAGAGTAGAAATGTTGACTTAATTCTTAATCATTCTCTTCCATCCCAGTGTCTGGACTACATCAACATGAAGTGTTTGCACCTGATGAGATCTCTTTGTTTTGTTATTTTTCAATTCAGGTTTAATATGAAATCATGTTCAATTCTTTGTCATATTTGTCAGTCTTTATCTATGAATTTGTTGTTTTACATTATGTTGCAACTGTTTCTTTTTGAGTAAGACAGAGCAGTGAGAGTAAAAACTATTTGATCATTTTGTTGGCAGTATTTTTTCACCCAGCTGCAGGAGCAATAGCAGTCTTATTCCGTCTATAAGTGATAATGCTGGTACTGTGTGTAAACAGGCAAAGACTGGCAGAGAGAAAAGGAGCAGGTCACCATGAACAGTGGATGCATTTCCACTGTACCTCTTTAAGGATCAGCTGATACTTGATAACGGGTTACTGGCCACAGACTTTTCCTAACCTGTTTAATTTACAATTGTGCATATATAAGATTTCCACTAAATATTGTACAGTGCAGCATTTTTGGTTGAATTATTAAGTTGACTGAAGGAGAAAACACTGTCAGGCTTACAGAATGCTGTATTATTGGAAATTTGATATTATTCACTACTGCATGCTGGTAATACTCATGGCTGGAAGAGCTGGCGAAGATGTGAATTTCAAAACAGCTTAACTTGTGGAACAGCAGTACATCCATGGAACATAGTAGGCCACTAGGGTTATGTTTGAAGTTGATCCAAGGTTCTTAATGTTGGAACAGTAGTAATAGTCATATTATCTCAGTCAGTAAGTGATTTGTTGGGACACTGGTTTCTTATTGGGAAGGGCTACTTCGAGAATTTTTGATGCCGCGGTTTCTAAGTTCCCTAATCATAAATTAATCGAGGCAGATGAGATGGGCAGGACATGTAACACCCCCGAGAAAAAAACAAATGTATATAAAATTTTGGTCAAGAAACTGAAAGCGAGAGCTAAGAATATGCAGAAATAACAATATTTAAGTTTGGTCATAAGGAAATTGTATGTGGATACATTCAGCAGCTGGTTGTTGAGAACATGATGAACCTTCAGGATTCATAAAAGATTGATGGGAGTGGAATTCTCTTAATTAGCTGAGTGACTGTCAGCTATTCAAGAAATCTGATTCATGGCATTAGCACCTAAACTAGAACTGAAAACTTGAAGAAAGGTGTTACACAAATAAACATGGTAAGCATGATTCAAATCAAGACATCTTTTAGTATTTAGAATATTGTAACGTTTGATTGAAGATAAATAAATGTTGGTGCAATATGATGATGCACTCATCAGTAATCTTACCTTTGAAATGTGTAAGATCTCTTCACATGGTAATTTCTTACGGTTTTCTTTCAAGAAATGTCACGATTTTAGTTACTATAGACATGTTTTGGATTGATCATCAGCTTTATTGGTCTCTTTCATATACAGTGCATGCCTGCACTTTACAGTACACTGCTATACAAACACACTAGTGTCCACAGTCATGTCTTCATTAGCCGTTGCTCAGTAGCGACTTCCAATTCCCTTCCTCTGGATTCCCAAACTATCCTCAGCCTCAGCTACCAGCTTCTAACAGCTCACAACTGAACCCCAGTGGTTATCTAAGCAACTCACCCACTAACTCATCCTGCTTACCAGGTTTTATCGGAAAGTTCCTGGACTGGGTCAAAAAATAAACTCTAGTTTAACTTTGTTTTAGCTGCCATCTCCTTCAAAATGGTCTCCTTGGGAACATATACGTGATCCCATCATTTTTTCCACGCTTCAAAAGCACCAGGGGAGTAATTTTCCTTAATGCTGTCGAGTACCGCTTGCAATTCCCTTTAGATGTCAGACACTTTCAGAATGTCATCCCTTTAGTTTCATTTTCAATTTGGGAAACAGTGAAATCACAGAAGCCTGAGTCCAGCGAGTAGGTAGGATAGGGAACAATAACCATGCTTAGTCAAATATTCTGTGGTTTTCAGGGACGTGTTATCATGATAGAGCAATGTGGTGCATGTTCAAATTTACTGTTAAGATCTGGAAATGAGTACCAAGAATATTCTTCGGGGTAAAGGGCGACTGGCATGTAAGGCTCACAACCTGCCGACTGTCTGAGAAATGTGGGACCCTCGTCTCTCAACCCTATGGGCCTCCGCGGCCTGTTACAGGGGTACCTTTACTTTTATTACTTTACTATTTAAGGATTTCTCCTCACTTCTCATTCATTTTCAATAATCTCATCATTTAATTACCTCCATTTAAAATTCTCCTTAATTTAGTGTTCAAATCCAATGCCTCCAAAGAAACTTTAAATGGGGGCTTCGCTGTGCTGTTAGATTTCCATGCCCTGGACAATAGTAAAATTAAGTATTTTAGCTCTAGATGTAGGTGACTGGTCAGCTTCATGCTCTGAGTGCAACTTCCATGGAAAGAATCCACACTTCCTGCTGAGCAAGGCCCTGCAGACCCAGGTCATACTGGGCATGGTGGTGTCCCTGCCAAGATTCAAACTTGATTGTCTTCCCCATAGACAGTTACTTTATTGACTGATCTGTAGTTGCATATTATTCACACTAAACCCTTGCAAGTTCAACAAGTTTTATGAACTGATAATGTAATCCTTATATACAGTTCATGATACAATTAACCAAGAAGTTGTGATCATAATTTACATGCCTTACTAAAAGGAATACATATAAGAAATACCGCAATAAAAATTTATTGCATCCCAAAAAAAGGAATGATAAAGAAGTGTTAAAACTAATTTTTGAAAGTGTTCTATTCCAAATTCAAATTATGTAATCTTGTTTCATAGGCATCAAAATATACTGTGTTAACATAGATGAAGTTCAAGTCACAATATGTTCACTTTATAGTCACACAGTTTTATAATACCAGTTCTGTTATATACAATAAATGTCTACATAAACATATTTCTGGCTGCTATGGTAATGTTTGCTGCCATTAGATTGTATTCAATTTAGGGACCTTTTGCAACCCCAACTAGAGCTGGCCGTATGACTCGTTCATGAAGCTTGTAACCAATTTTTGATACTACAACAATTGTACCAGGATCTTTCCCTTGCACCTCCTGAAAAGATTCACATTTATCTATATAGCTTTTCTTTGTTTCAACATTAAAATAAAATAACATAACATATAGTAAAGAGTAATGATACACATTTCTGTATTAACATTAATAACATTTAATCTGAGGGCTTGATTGACATTAAAATCATTTGATAGAAGTGCTTTCTTGAAACTGCTGCTCCAAGTGTAAAGACAGGGAGAGTTCACAACTAATTACTTTCAGCTTCTATAGAATGATGGGCCACGATTAGTCATGCCAGAGGTTATGAAAATGTATCACTCAAGCACAAGGAATTCATCAAATGGAACATCTACTACCACTTAACCTTTAAATGTCATAGATGGAAAACATTATTCCACATGACAGTTATATGTTATCTTACCTGTTGGAATAGCGCTTCATGTAAGTTAGGATCAAACTTTTCTTCTATTGGATTAACTGGAATAAGGCCATGCCGACTGAATACCTGTTAAAAGTTACATGGGCCCAGGCTGAGCATTAAAACATAAGTAGCATTCCAAGTTTCAGATGTAATTAATAACCAATATACTTTCCATAAATAAACACCCATTCAAATGAACATATTTAAAAAAATATCAAACACTTATCTTAATTTTTATATATTTTTATATGCATATAACATACCATATTCTATGTGCGTATGAAAGACATAAACTTTGAGCTCTTTAATCTAAGAGTGGTTGAAAGGTTATCATTTGTATAACTTTGCAGACAAAAGAGCCGAAGTTCTAACAAATTACTTCTCATTAGAAGTAATATACTTCAGCTTGAAATAACATTTTGGATTTTAATATCTACTGTGCAAGGTTCTGTATGATTTAGAAAACAATGTGAAATTCTCAACAACATTATTTTTTTTATTATTCATAGTCTTTTGGGTGAAATACTGAAATATTGCTATTTAGGATTAAATACCCATTGGCATGATGGTGGAAACTAATTTAAATGTTTTCATCACCAAGTGATTGACCTACAACATTGTTTCATGTGCTAAACTGTCATTTTATTCTGGATTTCAAATAAAAATGTTATGACACATGTTTACAAATAAAAAAAATCCATGGTTCTAGTCTGCAAGTGAACTATACCAACCAAGTGACTGCCGCTTGTCGGCAAAGTTAGTGCCAACTTCAGTGGATAGAGGGTATTGCGTGGTCAGCACAACAAATCCTCAAAGGCCATTAATTTCGGTTTTCTAGACCAGAGCCACTATTTCCTTGAAATAGCTCCTCAATTATCCTCACAAGGCTTGAGTGGACCCTGTTCCAGACCCACTACTTCTCAGAAAATCTGGTAGCACTGGGAATTGAACTTGGACCTCTGGATCTGTAGCCAGGAACTCTAACCACTAGACCACAGAGGCATCCGAAAATATCAGCCTGAAGCTCATACCACACGTAGCCCTCACCGTGTTACACATTTACTCGGATGTTTAGAAAATAAATGAAAGACCAGTTTCATTGTTAAAAGCAAAACCTCTGAAGGCATCATCACAATCATTCAAAATTTAGGCTTTCATTCATAGACATGTTTTATTGGGTGCTTACTTTGTTTCTGGACTTGGCCACTTCCAACGGAAAGCACAGTGGATTTTGTAAACACCACTGAGATGAAGACTGTATGGTGTGTATGGATTATACAGGGGCCTTAGAGTGCATCACCCTCACTCCCCATCACATTGCAGCTACAACTGGTGCACTGCTATAGTTAGTGCCTCGTAACTTTAGCCGTGTGGAAAGGTAAATGCTGTTGTGGAGCACATGAAGCTGTATGCTTGCTGTGGTGACGTTCAGAGCTACTCCCCGAGCGGAAAACATTGCCTACGGAGACCAACAACAAGCAACACAACATACTATACACCTGACCACACTCCAAGACGCTACATTTCAAACTGGTAGTACCCATGCTGACGTAAACTGATAAGACTGCCCCCCCCAGCTCCGCAAGAGATGGTATGACCCCTCTATCACGGCTAGAGTTCCGAGGAACTAACAGTACTTCTTGTGACATATCTCATGTGCAACCCAAAGGCCAAGAACATCTGATGAATGTGCAAGCATCTTGTTCACAGATACAACTCAACACACAAAAAATTGTGAGCGAGATAATTTTGGCCTGGTCATGGCAGGTGCATCAGCAATATAATTTGTGGTGTCATGTGTATGTGTGCGCGCGCACGCGCATATACACATTTATGTCTGTTTTGCAACAGCCTTTTTCTTAAATAAGAATTTCATTTTGAATTGTTTCATTTTGGTCTGTTACACTATTATACATAAAATCAATACAAAGTCCGTCGAGTGTAACAATGTTTTTTAGGTCACTTCTTTCTCACTCTTGCCTTACATGTTTCGGTTTTAGTAAAACCATCTTCAGAGGCACATGGTACTAACAAGAAAACACTGGCGTTGTTTAACTGTACACAGTATATATGCTGTGTGGGCACTGCTACAAATGTCGATGTGTAAAAGCACAACACTAGCTTGGAGTACTGAATGCACGTACAGAATGCACGTTCAACCTTCGCATTCCATCCGAAGTTGCCCTCGCGTTAAAACATCACTATTAAAATATTTAAAAAATATTTAAAAATTTNGTTAAACAACGCCAGTGTTTTCTTGTTAGTACCATGTGCCTCTGAAGATGGTTTTACTAAAACCGAAACATGTAAGGCAAGAGTGAGAAAGAAGTGACCTAAAAAACATTGTTACACTCGACGGACTTTGTATTGATTTTAAGAATTTCATTTTTCTTCCATTCTTGTCAAGGAGGATGAGATCAGTAGGACACGTAGCATGCACTGGGGATAAGAGGAATGCATATAGGGTTTTGGTGGTAAAGCCAGAAGGAAAAGAGACCACTAGGTACATCTAGACCATAGGTGGGAAGATAATATTAAGATGGAACTTAAGAGAAATGGGATGGGGTGGTGTGGATAGAATTCATCTGACTCAGGATAGGGACCAGTGGAGGGCTCTTGAGAACATGGCAATGAATCTTCTGGTTCCAAAAAATGTTGGGAAATTCTTAAATAGCTGAGTGACTGGCAGTTTCTCAAGCACTCAGCCCCATGGAGTTAGTGTTGTGAGTGTACCTGTATTTCTTATTTTTGTGATGGTTAAATCTAAATATTCAAAAAATTGGTTCAGCATTGAATAGTTTGGAAAAAATTTACCTTATGTAACTGGGCTTCTGTCATTTTAAGTCCTTCGTAGAGATTTTTTAAATGTGGATTGCTTTCCCTAACTTCCTCTTTTGGAACACTTTCTGTAGCTTTGCCCAGAATGTCTGCCACCTATGAGTAAAAAACACAAATGTTAAAGTAATGATAAACTTGTAACTCATGGAAGAAGTATTGTGCACATTATAAAATACTGATACTACCTCTAACAGATCTTTACAGAATCCCTGTATGCCAAAGAGTTTTGCATCCTCTATCTGTTTCATTAACCTCCGCCTCATATTTTCACCATCTGCTAGAGCTCGTTTGTATTTATCCTGTGAAAAAATCCAAAATCGTTATTCTAGTTTTATTCAGCTAATGCAGTCTGTATAACTGACACATGCTTTGAACTTTTCCCCACAATTCTTGTGTCTGAAGGCATGTGTCACCCAAAATGTTTAAGTTTCATTTTAATCAATCAATCCGCAAATTGCAAGCATGTGAACTTGACTGGAATGATTCAGGATATGTATGGTTAGGATAGGAAGATAAAAATATTGTGATGGGGCAGTCATATATATATATATATATATAGTGTGTTATTGTCATGGTTATATTGGACACCACATAATCTTGGAGGTGGTTACCAGTGTTTCTGACGAACCTGATCTCTTCCACTTGAGGGTACTATTTTAGCTAATCCCAATTAGGACTGAATCCACAACCCTCAAAAATACAAGTCAAAAGAATGTCTTTGATTAATCCAAATATACAGTCATGGAGTCATTTACAGTTCCTGAGTTCAAAATGTCAAAATCATGTGCCATCATTATTAGAGATTAAACTGACTTTGACAACTCAATATACCGTATTTACGCATGTATAGGCCGCACATTTTTTGTCAAAAATTCAAGAGGAAAACTGGGGTGCGGCCTATATTCGAAATATTCAAAATCACACTTCATTTAAAAAAAATTATATTCATAATTAGTAATACAGGATGTTCTACTCCTGAAATAATATTCCAAGAAAATTATTTTTTCTATAATTTCTGTCTGAAAATTGTGCTGCGGCCTATACATGCGTAAATACGGTAATCCATATTAAAAAAATACCTATTTCCATGGTATTCCATATGACTTTGCAGTCTTTTAAACAAAATCTATGTATCATTTTCCCATTAAAATCTGTATATTTTACATCCACAATGTGTTACATGACCAGCCAATTGCATCCCCACTTAACCACCAAAACATAAGAAGACTTGCAATCACGAATGCCTTGCTTCAACTTTCTTTATTAGTAATCATTCCTAGATTAAAATATTTTCCTTATCACTTTATTAAAAAAACTCACTAATTTACACCAACTGGAGGTAGGGATAGTCCAAAAGTCTGAATAATATACCATAACTATAAGTAAATATTTTCAGGTCACAGCTCTGTGTAAAAGTGGAAAGTTTTATTGTTTTCAGTAGAAAGTAGACATTATAGTGTTTCCATTATAAGATGTTGCCATACTGTCATAAGCCCACCGGAAATTTCCCCAGTAAACCCAGTTCAGTAGCACCGAAACTGTGATGTCTGCAGCGTCATAAATTGAAGACTGATAAGAAGTGGGAAATGTTATCATTCAGTTCCCATTTAGGAAAAATCTCCATTCTGTGTTCATAAAATACATAAAAAGAAGAATTCAGCTGGAATTATGGGGGTCTGAATAAGCAAGCTGTTACTGTACTCTTAATTTATATTCAAAGAGACCAAATTTCACAAGCACAGAAAATGATAGCAGAGCAGCAGCTTAATATTCTTTAATTTTCATATATTTCCTCCATAAATTCTGGACAATATAAATCTAAGCATTCATTCTTTCATAGAATAAAAGAAATGTTCATTTTATATAAAATTATATATTACACTGACTTCTAATTCCAGATTCTTTTCTGATAATAAATCGATTTCTTTGATGAGATTTTCATTTTCTTTCCTTATTTTTTTCTCATTCTCTGATTCTTCACTTGCAGCTGTTTCTGCATTTTGTTTTGTTTCTTCTGATGTAACACTCATTCCTCTTTGGCCATTGGGCCACCGACTTAGAAAAGATGTGTTACTCTGACATCTGTAAAAGAATTATCATATTTATCACATATACTTGAACTGCATTATAGTAGAATGCAAGCACGAGCAGAAATCAAACGACAGACTGTCAACCTGAAGATGGTATGTGTATGGCTTCTTTCTGAAGCTCTTTTAAATAAACTACTATGTAGCCTTTAATCTGTAGCATGTGCATCTCACATTAGCCATAACATCACATTACATAGCAGTAAGAGGTTATGTTATAGTAACAGAGTAAAGCTGTTCTTTGGTACAAAACCAAGACTTCTCTGTAATCTATATATCCACTCCCCACGCGTCTTCATGGCATAGTGCTTAATTAGTTAGGCAGAGGGACAACTTTACCTTTTTTTTTTCCCAGACTTCTCCACTTCGCACAGATTTCTTATACAGGGTTAGATTCAATTTCTTTCAAAATTGTTAATGGAAATGGAAATACATGTTTCACACTGCAAAAGACTTGTGGCAATACCTATGTTTACATCTAGCAATTATTTCAAAATCATGCTCATCATTTGAGCATGCAGAGGCATAACACCATTTACATTTTTAAGGGTACTTCAAGTTCGACCCCTTAAATTACTTTCATATGATAGCTGCTGGAAACTACCTTGGACAGCAAAACAGCATACTGATTGAAGACATATGCTTTATTTAACTCAGCTAGCATAGTGACTAAGCTACAGGATGATGGCCAAGAAACTGGCGTTCAATTCCGACCGAAGTAAGAGATCTGTCTCTTCTCCAGGTCATACAGACTGGCTTCTGACCCCCCAACGATCTCCTACTCACTGCATACTAGAGGCTCTTTCCCCAGGGGAATAAAGGCCAGGGCGTGAAGATGACCACTCACTTCCATCAAGTGCTGAGGTTAGGAATGCGTGGAGCTATACCTTCATTTCCCACACGTCTTCAAGACGTGTTGTTTAATCAAGGACATGGTCAACTTTAATTTACTTTACTTTATGCACCTGTATATGTAAAAAGTGTCTGAACAAGTTTTTCTAACATTTTCTTTGAAAAATATAAAAAATTAAATGCCTAATACCGATAAAATATTTTATTTCAGTTCTCCTCGGTACCCAGTTTCACTGATATCTATGGATGTGGGCATCATTCGCTCATTGCATCAGACACTAAAATGACTTTAAATACACAAACATATGATCCTTTTAAAAACATAAAGATTTTCTGCTAAATACTTAGACAAATGTCTGGCGCTATGTGCTCCTTAAACAGATAACTATTATTTCTCACATTTAACAAAAATAAACTGTGCTGATAAATTTCAAAATTTCATGACAAAGTCAAGCATCTTACACAATTAGCAATGTCATAAAAACAATTCTTACCAAAAGTACAACTTCGTGTGATAGAACCTGATAAACGTTTTACGAACCTGGTACTTCCGTATTTTCCAACACTTACTACATTTTCTGCTACTAACCGCCCAAATCTTAACAAAGCAGCACCAACCAGCGCCATTTTCCCAGATGATATTCGTACCGGTACGTACTATGATGACTAGCGATATCTGCACACAGACTATTGAACTTATGGAAACATCTGAAGCCGTTTCGAGCGCTTCGTATGTTATGGTTAAGGTGGAAAGTGAAACGAGTAGTAACTTTTTGATATTTTATGGCCTCGTTTGGAAAAACTAATTGTAGTAGGTAATTTTCCATAGTAATATGATTTAATCCTTATAGTATCTATTTTCCTAAAGGATTTTCGAGTATTTCAAAGTAATAAGATAAAATATTATGAGGGATTGCCGGTAAGTAACATTGTGGTTTTCTTGACAGTAATATAAGGAGAAATTCATTATTCAGATGTTCAAATATGAAGAATTCTCGGAAGATACAAACTTCAAGTTTCTATATTAGAGAATACGGTCTAGGAATTAACGTTTTAAGGTCTAATGACTTTCATGTATTAAGATCTCCAAGAAGGGGAGAGATTTATAAGGGCACACTAATTTCATTTCAGAAATGTTGGCATTGTAGTGATTGAGCAGTAGTTGGCAGTCGAGGTTGACACTAAAAAATGAATAGCCACAGTTTTACTTTAGCTGAGCGACTCATCCCAGCAACCTACCTGCAACAGGCTGCAGCAGCAAAGAAAACTCGAGAGAGTCTCATACGACAGCTTATAGAACAGGTGGGTTAGACACTCTCAGGTGTACAGAGGACAAGGTGTCTTAAGGACAGGACGATATTGGTACACCATAATGTTTGTTTTGTATAAGGGTTGAGTATATGTATATATTTTTATATCTTACCAACATGAATAGTGAATGTAACTCTACATGGCATATCTATGGGATGTGTTGGGAAGAAGGTTTTTTTTTTCCATAGAAATCAGACATTCATCATAGATATCAAAAGTTACTAACAAGTAAAACATCAAAATAGTTGAAGTAACCATGTAACCATTGGTGCTGACATTTGAAATCTGCAGTCCTTATTTGTTGTTATGAGTAATTTATTTATTTAATTATCCTTTTTATGCAAGAATATGAGGAGCACCATTAACAAGAGGGATTAAACACATTTTGAAAATCTGAACAGTGTTTAGACTGCAGTCAAACACTGAAATATATTTGAGGGTGTAACCTCGTATTATGGTTACAAATGCTAGTTACCTAAGGATTTTGAACAAGTGGTTGTAGCCTGTTTTGACGTTCTGTTACAGTATTCCTATGGGTAGACTAAGGAGAATCATAAAATCATCGGTATACTTACTAACCTGGGCTAGATTAAAAACATGTACCACCAGATTTCAAATCCTGAGCATTACTGTGTCATTATACTGTTTGATTATCTTATAATCAATCCTGTACATAATTAGCAGATGAGTTTTTTGAGAATTATAATTTTTATATGTTGATATCCATGAATCAGATGACAGTAATTCCATACCCATTTTCAAGTATTATAAGTATGTTAGCCAATGCTGTTAATTACCATTTTGGCCTGAAGACATGTCTGCTAATATCTCTGAAATGAATACAAACTCACTAGCCACAATGCTGTATTGTTGCCTAAAAATGAAAGCACAACTTCCAATAGATTGCTGCGAAAGTCAGCATTATTCTTAGTGAGGTTTGTTTGTAAAGTGTAGTAATGCTATGCAAGCATAATGCTATGTAAGGGGATATGACTGTGATCTATTGCTGTATTCTTTACGCCTTTGCCTGTATTTCTGTTTGTCTACCTGTGTGCACCTGTATGTTACCATTGAAGGATAAAGTGAACTGACACGTTTCCTCAAGTAGGAATTTTTGTGTGTTGGGTCTAAGAAAGGGGAAGTAGCAGGAAGGTGGAGGAAACTGTTTAATGAGGAGCATTATAATGTGTACTCTCTTCATAATGTTATTAGGGTAATCTAATCAAGAAGGATGACTATGTAGCATGCATGAATGGTATAAGAAATGTGTACAAAATTTTATTCAGGACACGTAAATAGAAGAGACCATTTGATTTGTTTCATTCTTGTCCGTCATACTAACAACATTACAAATGATAAAACAATTCCGTCCAGTGTGACTATTGAAGCTTTTACTACTTCACTTTTTACCACCCTAACATGCTTCGGTTTTATCATTTGTAAGAAGTAACCACTTGAGGGACCTAGGCTTAAATGTGACAGTAATATTAACATGAATTTTGAAGGACTGGGAAGTGAGGAGGTATGCAGGATTAAGTGGCAGACCCTTGTATTTATGGTAATAAACATTCATGTTCCATAACAGGCAGGGAATTTCTGTACTAGCAGAGCTACTATCAGCTTCTCAAAAAGGACTCTGCTGGATGGACCAGGAGAATTTTATTCCATGTTCATTCAAGTCAAAAGTTCAGACTTTAAGTTGTCATGTCACAAAAATCTGGGTCAGCTGTGTAGAAGGTATACTCGTATGGTCTTCATTTTTAGCCTACTTACTGTACAGAAAGGAGCTGGAATAGTGTGGTCACTATAGCCACTATTTTCTTTCTTATTGCTAGTGGGGTGGAACTAAGTCCCTTGTACTGCAGCCACTTCTGGCCTATTGTACCAGCCCCAGATGATAGGTGAGGGTGATTGTGGAGCAATTGGTGGAATGAAAATTGGCAGGGGAAACCAAAGTACTCAGAGAAAACCTGCCCCAGTACCACTTTGTCCACAACAAATCCCACTTGACCAGACCCAGGATTGAACCCGGGCCGCCGCGGTGGGAAGCCAGTGACTAACCGCTTGAGCTATGGTGTGGCCCTAGTATAGCCACTAGCTATGGGCTGGATGACAGAGAGGTTGGAGTTTGAGCCCCAGTATGGTCAAAAATTTTCTCAACGTCCAGACCGTCTCTGGAGCCCACCCAGCCTCCTATATAATGGGTATTGGGGACTCTTGTCTTGGGGGTAAAGCAGCCAGGGTGTACAGTTAAGCACTCATCTCCAATTAGTGCTGAGGTCAAGAAGATGCGGATCTATACATCCACTTCCCCATACATCTTCATGGTGTAGTGCTTATTTAGCTAAGCACAAGGACAACTTTACCTTTACCTTTCCTTACAGAAAAAGTATGCATAAGAGTTCACCAAGCTATCTGTGTGTGTGGACCCCCTGTCAACCTTTGAACCAGCTGCTTGATTACAAATTTCATGCCATTGGAGGCCACTCCAAACTCAAACTTATTGATTTTCTGGAGCCACACTGATGATGAGCTACAGGCTAGACAGTTGAGAAATCAGGGTTCAATTCTTGGCAGGGGTAAGAAATTCTTCTCATCCCCACATGTCTAGGCTAGCTTAGTGTTTCACCCACTCATTCACCTCCGTCTTTAATACAACTTAAAACTGTTCACAATCTCTCCTTAATTAACAGTAACATTAAAATCACATCAATTGCTACATGTTTTGGCCTCGCTTGGCCCTCTTCAGGCAATTGTTCATTTTTGAAGCCATTGCATTGCACTAGTTCTTAAGTCAATGTATTTCCGTGCTATTGCATATTGTTGTTCACACTAAAATGTGTGTGTCAGAATAAAATTCTCTCTCCATTCTGTATTATTTTCCTTTTGCAGCATCCATGTTTGTGCCCCCTTCATATATATGTTCTCACTAGTTGGGTGTATGTCCTGCCCTCTCTCCAATGGGTACCAAGGGTCCCCGGGAAAGTGGAAAATGAAACATACCTGATGAACGAACTTATGAGGTGGGAACAACAGTCGTGTGCTTAATTTAGGTTTCTGAAATGATGTGTGATTGTGGATGTGTTAGAAATGTGCAAGTTCTTTTATGGTAATCTTGTGAAAAAAGCAAAATGGTGGCTGAATGAAACCTATATTTAGTTTTCAGTTTGATGGTGGTAACTAATGAAGCTGTTGAGCTAGATGTGTGAAAGTCAGTTTAGAGAGAGCTCATAAACATAACTAAACATTATGTGTGAAACATTGTTTATAAGTTAACAATTTAAAACATGTAAGGTTTGAGGATTTCACAGTGGTGACTATGAAGAATGCCATTTTCTGGGATGTGGCACCATGTAGATCTTGTGTGAACAGATGTTTCAGAGGATCGTATCATCTCCATCTTCAGCGTAGAAAAATCTGCAAGCAGTCTGTAGCCACCTGCTCATGCTGGTTCCTCACTTGCAGATTTTTCTACCCTGACTATGGAGATGATATGTTCCTCTGAAACATTGGTTCACACAAGATCTACGTGGTGTCACATTCTTCAATTAAAAACATGGCAACAAATTTAACATTAAGTAATCGATTTCACAATAATAAAACAAAATAATTCTAGTATTAACAGTAATAGATATATAGAACTACAATGCTGTGCGGTATGAGTTCCATACTTTTATTACTTTTGTAATGTGATTTACTATAAAGATCAGCACCGTGTTTGGCAGGATACACTAAACAAACTAGATGAATTTCTATTCTAGAATGATATTGTCATGTGTTGGGTATGTCACGCGACAAATAACTTTACACCGTGTTGAATGAAGTGAATTTATTTCACTCGCCCTTACAATTTCACAATTTACAATTACACAACTTCTGCCCTCGGAAGTATCACATTTACTTCTCCTGCTTTAGTCACTCGATACAACCCGACTCGGTGACTGCTAGATTGAAACTGACTCAGCGACTTCACGATCCACATTGTTTTACTCCTGATCACACACTCACACACACACACACCGCTCAGCCTGCTTTTTATACCTTTTCCTGTTGCCTCATGTTACAACGGTGTCCCCTGTTACGTCACAGTGGGAAGTACTGTTACGTCACCGCGGGAGAAGGTGGCGGAGTGTTGACTGGCCTGTCACCATAGCAGCGACAGTGCTCCGATGCTGTTATGTCACTGCTGGCAGGGGAGGGGGTGTCCTGCATAGCAAAAATACGTCACAATATTATTTGGGTTGCAATAGCAGAAGCACCCATGAAGACATTATTTGGTGTCATGAGAGTTTTCTTCTTAACAGTTTAGTGAAAGCAGTGTAAAAATAAATATTGTTATAAGTAGAGTAAAGTGTGTGGATAACAGGATTACTGTGACTCCTCTGTCTTTACTGTTACCTTGTCTTTTGTCTCTGTACCCTGTACAGGTGGGAGATGAAAGCTGTCACTCTGTCATTCTGCTTGTTAGTTCAAGAGGTGGGACAAAAGACAGCAATGGAAACTTACATGTTTTTTTTTACTGTCACCAAAACTAATTTTCAAACAAACCATTCAGTATCACTGTACACTTTTTTATTTCAGCTACACGTTTGGATCATCATCAGGCAGTTTGTTAAATACATGCTTGTTACTGAATTGTCCTAATATGCATCCATATTAATATTATTTTAAAAATCCATTATCTCATTATAACATAGGTTGGTATTTTTATATTATAGTTAACCCTCAGGGTTAATTTTGTTTAAATTAATGTTTATTTCTTATTGATATGATGCGGGTTTATGTCATGTTTGTCATATATTAGAGGGTGATGACGTCTTCAGGGATTTCGTTGTTAATGTTTGTTTTATATGTTATGATTGCTTATGTACAGTTGTTGTTGCTAGTTCTGTATGTATTTCTTCCTGATGTTCTTATGTAGTATCGTGATGAAATCATTCTGTAATGAGGGTGGGTAATTTAGTTATTTGTAGGGTTGAAATTGTTAAAATTTATATTTATATCTTGTCAAAATGTTAAAATTTTTGCTATTCAGGTATTGTTTTTTTTTGTATATAATATACATAGATTGTAAGAGAATACACCCACATTATCTATGTAAACCTTTATTACAGTATAAATGAATTAGAAAAGTAAACAGAAATGCAGTTACATGTAGCAGTATTACCAAACACTATTACAATCAGTGAAGATAGAAGCAAGAAGTAAACACTGAATAAATGTATCTTTCAGTGGCAGATCACTTTATAAGAGACCTCGAGCAGAATTTCAAAAAGACGAACAGAAACTAAATTTGAGCTAAGCAGCCCACTTTGCAAGTGAAGTACATGTGTCAACTCAAGTAATTTTAGCCCATCTGACTCCTCTGTATAGACTAGAATATCTTGCTTCAAGCCTTCTGACCAGAATAGTTAAGTTTCTTGATCCATCACATTTAGACTGGAGGGGAAGGAAAGAGGTAGAGGGACAGCAGTGGTGGGAAAGACATGGGAGGAGAAGTGGGTTGCAGGTGACAGCGCCTCTCAATCCGTTGATGGTACTCTGCTCTGTGAGGCACTGTTCAGGAGAATTAAATGAGTTTGATTATCTTCAAGTTTTGTTAGAATTTCTATTGATAAAAGTTTCTATCGAATTCAGATGCCTCAGAACAATAGTAATATAAGTGATAATAGCTGTTCTTTAGCTCTTCACATGTTTAATGCACATTTATTGCCATGATAATTTATGGACACTGTGGAAGTTGGTTGTTTGTAAATTACTAGACATCGACAAGAAAATGTTCATGGTTTATCCATGACCTGTATTTTCCATTACATAACTCCCCCCGTTTGAAATTTTAGAGCAATTTGTACTTTATTTTCTTAACTCTTTGTCATACATAACTAAGAAACTACCTGGTAGTAAATCCTGTAGGTTCAGCAGTATTAGTTTTGAGAAATATAAATGCTTTGCTTGTGACTGATGGATTGTTCTTGGGTTCAATTCCATTACAACTGTAAGGATTATATGGCATTGACTGAGGTGGGAAAATGATTGCAAAAGGTTATTTACTTACTTAGGACTGAAAAAGAATGCTTTGGTGTATAACAGTGGTCCTGGTACTTAGCTGTAGAGGTTGAGAAAAAAAAAATACTCCCTCAGGAGTTATTCACATATAATATCAACTATACTGTAAGAATACTTACCACATTATAGTTTCTGTAGTGACAAATAACACCCCGGCTGTTTCTTTTAACAAAATGAGCTTTGTCATGTTTCAGAGAAAATGGCCAGAAGAAGGTTGGGATGACACTACAATTGAACTATTTCTTGCTGATCTGGCGCAAATGGACAGCAATAACTTTCCTGGAAACTGTGGTATAGGTGAAAGAGAAGCAAGAATTGCATCTGGTAAAGACTGCCGTTTTTAACTTCAGTTGCTCTAAGTTCTTTACAGATATAAAAGTTGCCATTAACCCGTTGCCGTGGTTCGTCGTGTATGTTTCGTCAGGGATTTAAATCGTCTGGGGGGGNTACGAGGTGCTATTGGAAAGTTCACAGACTGTTATTGTTGTAACTGTCTTGGTTAAAGAAGATGAGAGGGGAGGCCAAGGTCACACTTCTGCAAGCCTATTGCATCAGTCTGCCATGTGACACCACTCTGTGAACGTGAATTGTTTTAGACAAGTGCTTTTTTGACTTCATGTTTTGTTTTGTCTGCGATGGATGGCAAAATCAAGCAACCTGTCTGCATCAAGTTTTTGTGTGAAGCTTAGTAAATCTTCTACCAAAACCCTTGATATGCTTCATGTGGCTTTTGGATAGCATTGTTAAAGCCAGACAGCAGTTTTTGAATGGCATTCATGTTTTAAGGTAGGTTGAGTGTCATTTGAAAATGACAAACGTTCAGGGTGACCAAGCGCCAGCAAAATGATAGAAAATGTTGAAACAATTCAAGAACTCATCCACAAAAACCATCACTGAACAATCCATGAGCTTGCAGACACCACTGGGATCAGTTATGGATGAGATCTTAACAGAAAATTTGAGCATGTGTTGCATTGCCGTGAAGTTTGTTCCCTGACTCTTGACAAGTGATCAAAAACAGTGGCATGTAAATGTGTTCTTGAGCTACGAGAGAAAGCTGACGAAGACCGACCTTTTACAAGTATCTCTGGGATTATAACAGGTGATGAAAGATGGATTTATGGTTATGATCCAGAAACAAAGCAGCAATCATTGCAGTGGAAGAGCCCACAATCACCAAGAGCAAAAAAGGCGCAGCAGGTCTGCAGTTCAACAGAGAGCATGCTTATGGTTTTTCTTGGATATGAAGGGGATTATTCACTGTGAATTTGTTCATCTTAACACTATGGTCAACTCTGACTTTTACTGTGTGATTCTGAGGTGCTTGAGAGAAAATGTGCAACAAGAAGAACAGGAACTTTGGCGCAACCACAACCAGCTCTTTCATCATGACAATGCATCCACCCACGCATCCCTGAAAACCACAGAGTTTGTGACTAACAATGACATGGTCATCCTTCCCCATACTCCCTACTAGCTGGACTTAACCCCCTGTGTTTTCGCTTTGTTTCCCAAATTGAAAATGAAACTGAAGGGACGATGTTTTGAAACAGTGTCTGACATCCAAAGGTAATTGCAAGCAGTACTTAACAGCATTAAGGAAAATTACTTCCACGGTGCTTTTGAAGTGTGGAAAAAACAATGGGATCGCTATGTACGTTCCCAAGGAGACTATTTTGAAGGAGATGGCAGCCAAAATTGAGTAAGTTTAGCCAGCATTTCTTTTTTGACCTAGTCTGGGAACTTTCTGATAGAACCTCGTAGAGGCCATCAGAATACTGTGTCATTAACAGCACTCATACAAGCAAAGGGATTTCTACAAGAACTCTGTGTCAGAAGAACCTAGGGGCCATTAAAACTAAACAGGAACCAGTTACAGTGGGCAGCAGGACTACTTACAAGACACTGTCACCTGAGAGGACACCTTTTAAAAATGAAATTACGAATAATCCCATTTGCAAAAGGTGCCTAGATGAAGATGAATCAGCCACACATATCCTCTGTGATTGTAAGGCTACAGCTTAGTTAAGATTTTGTAACTTTGGATGCTACTTTATAGAGCCAGGTGACTGCCAGGACGTCCCTTTAAGTAAGGTGCTACATTTCAAAGTGTGGGATTGTTGAAGGGCTGAAACACAAAGGAATGAACAGTAAATGTCATGGTGCAAGAACCGGTTAAGGCCCACCCTTATTCAACCATTCATACCATTAATTGAAATTATCATATTTGAGTACACCTATAGTAAATCTATCTGTGTCAACAGCATTAGAAGTGCCATGCAATTTTCATAAAGGAGATATTAGAATAGCTCACAAATGTACAAGAATGTTAATTCGTTTAATACTATAATACGTACAGCTGAGTCATTAGTACCCGAGCCTAGCCCTTTTGAGGTTGAAATTGCTATTGCAAAGTTGAAAAGGTATAAATCGCCAGGTAGTGATCAAATCCTGACAGAAATGATTCAAGCAGGAGATGGAATATTATGTTCTAAGATCCATAAAATAATTAATTCTGTTTAGAATAAGGAAGAATTGCCTGATCAGTGGAAGGAGTCTATTATTGTACCAGTTCACAAGAAGGGTGATAAAACTGACTGTAGTAATTATCATGGGATATCACTGCTGTCAACTTCATACTAAAGTATATCCAGTATTCTTCTCTCAAGCTTAAGTCCTTATATAGATGAAATTATTGGGGATAATCAGTGTGGGTTTTGACATAATGGATCAACTATTGATCAGGTATTTTGCATTTGTCAGATACTGGAGAAAAATGGGAGTACAATGAGACAGTGCATCAGTTATTCGTAGACTTCAAGAAAGCCTATGATTCAGTTAGGAGGGAAATATTGTACAATATTCTGACAGAATTTGGAGTACCCATAAAACTAGTTAGGCTGATTAAAATGTGTTTAAATGAAATGTATAGTAAAATCCATATAGGTAAACATTTGTCTGATAATTTTCATCTCCAAAATGATCTAAAACAACAAGATGCTTTATTGCCACTGCTTTTCAACTTTGCTTTAGAATATGCCATTAGGAAGGTTCAGGAAATGAGGTGAGACAAACTTAAGGGACACATCAGCTGCTGATCTATGCTGCTGATGTGAATCAGCTGGGTGATAATATAGATACCATAAAGAAAAACACAGAAACTTAATTGACAGTAGTAACAAAATTGCTCTAGCAGTAAACATGGAGAAAACTAAGTATATGGTGCTGTTATCATCACCAGAATTCAGGGCAAAATCATGGTATAAAGATAGGAAACACATGTTTTGAAAATGTGGCATGGTTCAGGTATTTGGGAATGACTAATAAATCATAATCTGATTCAGGAGGAAATTAAGAGGATATTGAATTTGCATAATGCTTGCTACCATTCAGTCCAGAACCTTTTGTCTTCTCATCTGCTGTCTAAAAATATAAAAATTAGAGTATACTTGACTATAATTTTGTCTGTAATTCTGTATGGGCATGAAACTTGATCTCTGGTGTTGAGGAAGGAGTATAGACTGAGTGTGTTTGAGAACAGGGTGCTGAGGAGAATATTTGGATCAAAGAGGGATGAAGTGATGGGAAGTTGGAGAAAACTGCTTAATGAGGAGCTTCATAACTTGTACTCTTTGCCAAGTATAATTAGAATGATGAAGTCAAGGAGGATGAGATGGGCAGGACATGTAACACAAATGGGGGAGGAGAGGAATGCATATAGGATATTGGTGGGAAAGCCAGAAGGAAAGAGATGACTATGAAGACCAAGATGTAGAAAGATGGACTATTAAAATGGATCTTAGAGAGATGGGATGGATTGGATTAATCTGGCTGGGGATAGGGACCAGTGGATGGCTTTTGTGAACACGGTAATGAACCTTCAGGTTCCATAGAATGCTTGGAAGTTATTGAGTAGCTTCACAATTGATGGCTTCTCAAGAAAGGCTCAGCTCCATGAGTGAGTGAGTGAATATTTGTAACATTATCTTCAATGCCAGGTTGATTCAGGCAAGAAGCACAAATAAAATGAACACTGTTTTTTGTTTCACCTTAAATGGAACACATGTGTCACCATTATGCAGTGCAATATTCTGTAGTAGGAAAATTATTTTGTCTGGCCTTTCAGTCATCCATGCACTGCTGCCATACCTTTTCAGTTGACAAAAAGTGACATCATTCGATTGACTCTGTATGAATATAGGATGAAACTTTACCACAGCATGAGTTAACCACTAAAACTGCATAACCAGGGATATGGGTGTCCCCTCTACCCTTCTCAACGGGGAATTTGTTGTGTGTTACTTAATTATGTGTGTCCTTGCATATTTTTGCATTCCTATATTAATGCAAGAGTACTGCAAGTTGCTGTTATGTAAATGAGTGGGATTTTACTGGCCATTGTATTTTGTAATTACAGCCCTGGTTGCGCGACGTCACTATAGGCTTGGACACGGAATTGGCCGATCAGGAGATCTGGGGGAGGTACAGCCAAAAGCAGCTGGCTCTAGTCTCATGAACAAACTCACAAATTCTTTGGTGCTTGATGTCATTCGCTTCATGGGTATGAACTTTCATGCTGATGTATTTTAGCAAAGTATTTCATATCTTTAAAATTAAGTGTCTGTGCAGCAGAAATTATAATTTTATGCATCAGTCATGCACCACACTCTACTGAAATGCTATCAAACTTGGTTCCTTGAACTAAAGTACAATCGCAGCACATGATTCATCACTGTAAATCACTACTGAATTACCATTCATAGTGCTTATTACTTTTATTGTTTCTACATACAGTTTGTGAGTCCCACAAAATGTACAATACCATTGATTGTGTTTAATGTAATAAACTATTCTTGATAGGTGTGAAGACATCTGCGGGATGCTTTGTTGTACCTATGGCCACAGGAATGAGCTTGGTGCTTTGTATGTTAACTCTCAAACAGGAGCGGCCAGAAGCAAAGTTTGTGTTGTGGTCCAGGATTGACCAGAAAGCATGTTTCAAATGTATTATTACTGCAGGTTGGTATATATGTATTTTCCAAATCTGTTTATTGTCTCAGATGGATCTGTATTTAGGTATACATAAGGGTCTGTTATTCATACTTGTACTCTATACATCCACTCCCCTATATGCCTTCATGGCTTAGTGCTTAATTATTTAAGCACAGGGACAACTTTACCTTTTACTAACTAACTTCATGGAGCTGAAGCAAAATGTGTTACATTTAATTTCTTACATTGAAGCCATTAATTTACATTTTTTGCATACTTTCCACATTTTAAAAAAATAAAATTAGGCATATGCAATTGCCATGCTATTTGTGTGTCTGTGAATCCCCCCACTATCAACTTTTGAATGCCCAAGCAAATCTTTATCAAACCTGATATTTATACAAGGGAGAGTCAGTAATAGATTATAAATGGATAAATGGATGTAAAACATAAAGCATGTGATATTTGAACCTGGGATAAACATTTATTTCTTGACATATCCTCCATCAACATTGATACAGTTGTCCCATTGCTTTACCTGTATTTCAAAACTCACAGCATAATAGTCTTTTAACTGTTGTCTCAACCACCTCTGCATGTCCATTTCATCATCAGTGAAACATTTGCCACCAAGGTGGTATTTTAGTGGACCCAGTTGTGAACTACTTTATCTGACAGACACTTCCGATTGTAAACAGGAAATACTTCTTTATGAATCTTGAGGCTGTCGTGGGCTCAGCGCAGCAAAGTCCCATGACCATTAATCTCGCTTTTCTAGACTGGAGCCGCTACTTTTACTTTCAAGTAGCTCCTCAGTTATCCTCATGAAGCTGAGTGGACCCCATTCCAGACCCACTACTTCTCAGAAAATCTGGTACAATAGGCCAGAAGCGGCCGCAGTACAAGGGACTTAGTCCCACCCCACTAGCAATAAAAATAAATGTAATGAACCTAACTTTGAAGTGGAGTATAGTAATTCCTAGCCAATATTTTTTTCTCAAGATTAACTGCATACATAAACAAGATTATTAGGGACCATCAATATGGATTTTAGCATAACAGCTCAACTACTGATCACGTCTTCAGCCTTTGTCAGCTACTGGAAAAAGAAGTTAGAAGTGTATACATACTTTAACATTTTTGACCCATTCACTCTTATTGCTTTTAGAGCATAAAAATTCCATTTGTTCAATTATCTCAAAAACCATATTAGGTATAAAATGTGTGTTTCATATTTCTCTACAACTTTTGTTCAGAATATTTTTCATCCAGTAACTGTTTAGCAAGTTACGCTCCAGATGTTCACAGAAATGCATTTAGAACTTTGTCTAAGGTGTCTGTTTTATCTGATTTTACTCCAGATTGGAATATGATGACAAGTTACAGTAAAACTTCCAATTGTGAAATGTTAGAACATCCATTCAGCAGTTCTCAAGTTGTTTCATACATAGGAATAAATAGACAGATGGAACTCTTTTAATGGGCTGTCCACAGGGATGGTAACATACAAAAAAACTGGCTTACAATGGGGCAGTAACTCATGTATTCATAGGCTTTAAGATCGCATGTGATTCAGTAAAGTGAAAAGTATTTGATTGTATTCTCATTTAACTTGGTATACCATAAAAGTAGTTAGGTTAAATAAAATGTGTTCAAAGTGTGTTTAGGTAAGCATGTGTCAGATACATTTCCTATTAAGAATAGTCTGAATGAAGGAGATGCCTTGTTGTCATTACAGTTCACCTTTTCTGTAAAATATGCCACTAGGAAGGTCTGAGAAAACTGGGGGCTATGGGAATTAAATGCGGCACATCAACTTGTGGTCGAGAGTGATGATGTTAATGTACTGGACAGAAACGTGGAAGAGAGAGAGGCATTATAAACTGCTAGTAGAGTGAATAGTGTCAAAGAAAACAGAGAAAATTAAGATTTGTTCATATTTCATCATAAGAATAAGGATGGATTCATAAGTACATAATAAATCTTTAAAAAATTACATTCACTAAGAAATTAAGAGCAGATTGAAACTGGGGAATTTTTGCTGCCATATATTCTGAATTTTTTGTCTTTGAGTCTGATGCCATAGAACGTAAGGATTAAAATATACAAAGCTGTAATTTTACCTGCAGTTTATGTGTGTAACAATATAGATAAAGGATGTTGGAGAACAGGTTGCTTCTTAGAATATTTGAAGTCATGAGGGAGAAAGTGATAAGGAGCTGGAGAAAATTGTGTAATGAGGAGTTTAATAATTTATATTCTTCAGATATTGTTAGAATGATCAAATCAAGGAAGATGAGATGGATGAGGCATGTAGCATGCATGGGAGGGATGAGAACTGCTTATAGAATTTTGGTTAAAAATCCTGAAGGACAGAGAATACTTTAAAGATCTGAGCATAGATGAGAGAATAATATTAAAGTGGATCCTACAAGGATGAGGTCAGATGGTGTTGACCACTGTCAGCTCTTTTGATGAATGAATGTATGTATGTATAAGGGGTGGGCCATAATAATCCGGCCCTTGTACTGTAACCTTCAATAATCTATTGTGCTTCCCCTTTTAATTAACTTCAAATGAAATGTAGGCCTTTGTTTATGGGGGCATCATAGTAGTCAGTTGGTTCCATACAGAACTGGCCCAGGTGATGAAATTTTAAATAAGCTATGGCCTCACAATCACATATGATATGTGTGGCTGATTCATCTTCTTCTGGTCACCTTCTGCAAATGGTGTCATCTGTCAATCCTAGTTTGAAAAGGTGTCCTTTTAGGTGACTTATGTCCTGTAAATAGTCCTACCGTCCTTCTTAATTGATCTCTGGTTAATTTCACCAGCTCCTTCATTCTTCTGGAAAGGGGCCCTGGTATAAGTCCCTGCCTGAGTCCAGTTATGAATTCCCAATGTTTTTCGTGATTTATTTTCATCCAATCCCTGAGTGCTTTCTTGGCAACTCCAATTGAGATGCTGCAAGCTGGTTCAGGTCCTATGAACGGATGTTCAGAGCCTGTTCTTTCCAACTAATCTGCCGTTTCATTACCAGCAATACCCTCATGACCTGGCACCCATATCAGGTCTAGCCAGTTGTATGAGGGATTGGTGGAAGTCCCAAACCAATTTTGAGGTGATCTGGTATTTGCCAATTGCTTTAATTGCAGCTTGACTGTCTTGTAGAATGAAGAGGTTTATGTTTTCATAGTTCCTATCTAGATTCTCAACTGGTCATGCCTTAATGGCATCCACTGCTACCTGCAATACTGTTGTGTACTGCGCAAGGCTAAAACTAAGTTTTTGCCTTGTACCATGGCAATACACCCCAGTTCCAGTGCCTTTATTTGTCATGAAGCCATTAGTCCCCACGTTCTGTCGGGGTGAAACCCTCTTTCCATTCACTGCTGTCAGGGAAGGACAGAAGGACAGAGAACTCTTCAAAGATCTGAACGTAGATGGGAGAATAATATTAAAGTGGATCTTACAGGGATGAGGTCAGACTGTATGGACCAGTGTTAGCTTTTTTGATGATAGTGAACCTTCTGTTTCCTTAAAAGACAGGGAATATTTTGACTGAGGGACTTAATTTTTCAAGGACCCTGCTTCATGAACTTAGTTTGGTATTTATGACTATAGTTAGAACTTCAATCTAATGCTCTGTTTCATGTATTTGGAACATTAGCACAACTGGAAATTAGGGCTGCTGCTTATCATTTTAGAGTTTACATCCTTAAAAACATTACAGGTCTTCAGCCAATCATCATTGAAACCAGTCCATGTGGGGATGAGCTTCGGACAGACCTCACAGCAATGGAACACCAAATGGCAACACTGGGTGCTGAGAATATAGCCTGTGTTCTTACCACTACAAGCTGCTTTGCTCCCAGAGCTAGTGATTCTGTGGAGCAAGTAGCAGTTCTCTGTAGTCGGTACAACATCCCTCATATTATCAATAATGCATATGGACTCCAGAGCTCTCGGTGTATGCATCTTATACAGGAGGCTGCCAGGTAATGTGATTATTGAGTTTGTGTAATACAAGTTTACCTGTGTGAAGCATCAAAATGCAAATGAAGAACCACAAGTCTTTTAGGTAGTTGAAGAAAATCCTTTAGAAATCCATATTAGTGTTAAGAAACAGATTTTTTTTTAACATGGGTCTTCTGCCATTAGAGCACACCAGTATTTAGGAGTCAGGGTGATTCAGACTAATTGTTGGCTTCAGTCCTCATTGTTAATTTGATGATAAGTTTGTGAACTTAAATATGTATGTAATTATTGTTATAATCACCATTGATCTTTCCGTGAATGTGGATAAGAGCCTCTTCTTATGTGTGCACCTTTTCTAGTTTTGCCCACTCTTTCCTAACATGTTATGTATTTTTAGTAAGAGTATAAAATAATGTTATATGTACACACATTACTAGGCAACCGGTTGGTAAACAAGTTCCCGCAAAGACAGATTCGTGGTAAATAGTCCATTGCTAGGTCACACAACAGTAGGATGAATGTTTATAGCTCATTTCTAGGTAACAGTCAGCACGCCAATGGACTTGCAAGAAAGCTGTCACATGGCTTATTTTCAGTGAGGTCTGCACCATGCCCAATGCTAAGCAACAGAATTGTAAACAGGTCTACAGTACTGGGTGTTTTCTGTGGGTTCCGTGTCAGAGGTTTATAGGGGACAGTGATCGTTATTTGCAGTCAGTCATAGCTGAGAAACCGTGAGTCAAGGACACGAAGCCATCCTGGGAAAGAGTCCAGGAGGGTTCAGCAGTTGAGAGTGCAAGGACGAGGATGGATTGTGTCCTTAGTGAATGGTCAAGATTAATTGAGTATGCCAGAAGAATACTAGTAAAGATGGAGAATCCTAGTGCGTGTGCAACGGTGCACTGTAAATTGTGTAAATCAGCCATAGCCCTGTATTAATTGTAATTAAGAAAGAGAGAGTGTAACTGAAGTGCTAATAAATTCAGTCATCCAAACTAGAACCCATTATTTTCATCATGCATACCACCCTGCATATTACAATACAAATAGAAGGGATAATTGAGCACAGTTGTTATCAAATCTCTTGGGATTTCAGACCTCATGCTTAAAGTTTTTTTTTTCTCGCATAATCACCATAGCTGTCCCAAGACAACTATAACATAGATCTGAACCCATGTATAATGTCAGGATTTTCCATTTATCATGAGAACAATTAATCGATTCAGATGTACCGATAAGCCTCCATCTGTTCACTCTGTGGCTTTGGTACTGAGGTTTGTTTTCCTGTATATCATTCTCAGTACTGCTAATATAATGTAATATGTAATCTACATAACTTTTTTGTAATTATAAGTTATTTAAGCCTGTCTTAATAATTCCCATGTTGTGAAACAATCCAACACTTTGCTTGTGACATTGTCCATGGGATAAATTGTTAATGTGTTCAGACACTTTAATCTTGATACTACTGATTTTTAACTGGAACAAATATGTTTTGTCTGCAGGAAAGGAAGAGTAGATGCCTTCGTACAGAGTACAGATAAGAATTTTCTAGTACCTGTGGGAGGTGCAATTATTGCTGGTTTTGACAAAGGTCTTGTGGAACGAATATCTAGGATGTATCCTGGTAGGTTTTAGTGTAATTTCATTGGTATTTATTCAAAATTAACTCCTTGAAATTAAATAAATTTAAGTGCAAGATGAGCATAAGGTAATTTTTAAGCTTTAAAGTGAAATATTTCAGGAAGATGAATTAGAATGACTGTGCAAGAAAATGGGTAAGTTTTAATATACCAACCTAGAAATTTCCTAGCGGAACACAAGCAAGACACAAAGCGAGATACCTGGTCTCTTACCTGAGAATAAAATCCAGGATCTCTTAAGCGTGCTGATCCATGAATTGTGACGTGCAGTTCAAATTGTTGCTTTATTAATTTAAGTAAATAGAGATTTTATTGTAGTCATCTTGTGTTTCTGCAAATATCATTGTCATCTACATTTATTATGTTTTGTTTTTGTATAAATTCTGTCGTAAAATACATTTGTTCGTAGTTTCTAATTATTTTCCACTTTCTCCATAATCTGATAATTAAAATACTGTAGAAGGTGCTTCTAAATGATGACCTAAATTGAGAGCACATCCTAGTAACCGTTGACACTTTATCATAGTTCTCAGTTTTCACCTTAATTTTTTTTTCCCTGTGGCGCTACAGCTCCAATTTGGGCCTAGACCTACCTCCACGAAACTCTCCGTTTCAGTTCGGTTTACCAGATCTTATACATATGGTAGGACTCCTTGGGCGAGTGATCAGCTCGTCACAAGGCCTCTACCTGTAGACAAACAGAAAAATGCACACAAACATCCATGCCCTGAGTGGGATTCGAACTCACGATCCCGGCTTCCGAGCGAGCGAAGACAGTGCGCGCCTTAGACCGCTCAGCTACCGTGGCCGGCTTTTCACCTTAATTATGTAGTGTATTATTGTAATGCTTCTTTTACCTTCCCCTGAAAATGTACTGTTTGTGTTTGGAAATGTTAACTCTTGAGTTATAAAGGATAAAGGTTTCATCTCTATCCCATTCTTGTGAAATCCAAATGAAAAACTCAGTCCAGGTGGCTGCTTGCCAAGCCTTTTTTTTTTCTTTTGTATAAGGCTTCCTGAATATGAAGAAGGAATGCTGATCAGTTGACCAGTAAACAACGTTGTATAGCCATTAGTCAGAGCAGTCAGATGATGGAATTATACTGATATGGTATATAATAATAAAGTTCGAGCCATGGTCTTAAGCACTGATGTAATGTAACAATGTCTCCACTTTTTGTGTCATGCAAAGCTTGATTTGCTGAAACTCTGTTATCACTGCCTTTTGGTACATCATGTGTAGATTCAGTATCAGAGTTGTATGAGGTAAATTGTCATTCAGAGTTTGTTTGTGCATATGAAAGAAATCGCCAGTAATAAAATGGCAGCCATGTCTTTGGTGGGAATACTGCTAGAATCATTCAGTATGGCATCTTGAAATTTTGGATTGTAATAGATGTTTAAAAGAAAAATGAAAACTGAATAAGTTATTATAATTTAGTTTTGAGATTGGTAACATTTTATATATATATCTGCTATTACTTCAAGTTGCTCTGGTCTAGAAAACCAAAATTAACTGCCATGTGGATTCGTTGTGCTGACCATGCAACACCCTCTAGCCGCTAAAGTTGGCACTAACTTCGCCGACAGGTGGCAGTCACTCGGTCAGTATAGTTCACTTGCAGACTAAAACCACAGTTTTTTTATTAGTTCAAGTTGTAGTAATATCAACAAAATATATGAATCCTGACCCTTCAGAACACTAAAACATCACATGTTAATACAGTCAAACTTTGATTTCATGATCCTAGATTTTACGTTTTTCATGAATTTACACATTTTGTGTGATCCTGGCCAAATGCCCATAACAGTAATGTTAAACTTTTAACAGATTTTACTTTTTCACAACTTGACACATTTTCCCTATGTTTGCACTTCATTTTTCTAGTCCTGGCTACAAAAATGTACCTGATTTTGTTTTGAAGTTCAGTTCTCACAATTACTTATCTGAGGCAATGGACCTCATTCCTTGATAGCAGTCTGATGCACAGCTGTGAATGGTTCGTGTGCACACCATGTGACCTCACTATGGGCTTAGCATGTATAGAGGATATTTCTGAGGTCACAGTCCAAACAGCACACACGCACTAGACCCACAGATATGTCATAGTATAACAGTAACCCAGTTAGTGTAGTTTGTCTTGCCCATGTCTGACAAGTGTACCAAATAATAATCACTGCAGCACAGTGACAGCTGTATTTTTATAAGTGAAACCTTTAACATAAATGCAGCTGGGTTATAAAGAACATGAAGAAATTGAAAGGAGTTTTATACAGTGTGGACCTTTCTCCAAGCAACAGAAGTCATTGAAATGTTTGCCATTGGAGGAGCTGGAATCTGCATTTGCTGCATAGTTAAGCAAGCACTTGAAAATAATTCTTCCATAGATAGCACCTGCCTCAAGAAGAAGGGCCTACACATTTCTGCTTGTCTGGAAATAGCCAACTTTTTGGCTTCCAGTGGTTGGATCAGCAGATTTAAGAGGGAGGAAACACAGCACTGCTTACAAAAATTGTATCAGGTGAGAACAGGTGTGTTGATTCAGAAACTATAGAAGACTGTAAAAATTGACAACTGTTGCAAGAAATTTATGGATATGGTCTCTGTGACATAAGTAATGCTGATGAGACAGGTCTGTTTTTCAGTCTACAACCTAGCAAAATGCTCACTTTTCAAGGACACATTTGCCATGGTGGTACAAAATCTAAACAACAACTTGCTGTACTCCCCGCATGCAATGAAGATGGGAGTGATAAGGTATCACTCTGGTAGTTGGAAAATATAGAAGTTCACGTTGCTTCAAGAATGTCAAGAGACTACCTACAAAACATGAAGCTGATAAAATTCTTGGATGACCACTAAAATATTTTAATATTACCTCACACAGATGGTTAGAAAACCGGTTGCTAAAAATTGCAAAATATTTCTATCAGTCTGCTACTCATCCAAAGAACAGTACATTTCATAGCAACATCAAAGTTCTATTTCTTCCAGCTAAATATACCACCCAGCTACAGTCTATATATTTGAGAATCATCCATGTATTCAAATCCCATTACAGAAAGCAGCTGATTTCGAAGACTGTAGCCACAATAGATGGGGGACTGCTCCAAGATGCTGCACATATGAAGCTAGATGTTTTGTCTGTAGTGCATTTAACAGCAGAACCTTGGAGACTGATAATACCTCCTACAATCAAGAACTGCTTTATGAAATGTGGGTTCTTGAGTGACCATCCTAGCAGCAGTGAAGATGAAGAGGATGACTGGCATAGTTTAGAACCTCTTGGAGTCCAGTCTGAGGACTACACAACATTAGACAATGCTCTCCAGGTCTCTGGAGACTGGAATGTTGACCAGGTGTTAGATCAACATTTGACTAGGCCAGAAGAAAAAGAGGAAGTTACAGAACATAAAACAACATTCTTGGGTGCACTGAAAGGACTGGAAGCAGCCAAAAATTACGTAACATCAATTTGATACAAAGGATAATATTGTAATGTGCAGCTAAGTTGAAAATGAATGATATTGTAACGTGTTTCCGTTACTGAATACGCCGTAGAGATCGTTAATTGGTTTATTTAACAACATACAAATCACAGCTACAATTAATTATAACACAGTTGCGGGTTTCCACACTTTACAAACCCTACAACCAAAGTCTTCACGTACTAATAACGCGGGAGCTATACAAATCTCCCTGAATTACACACATGTCCGGTTCTTCTTTCCGTGACTGCTGCTATACTCCAACTGTAGTCGCAAGCTGCTGCCTTGGGAACTGTTGATAACACACTGGCTCAACTACTACTTAACTCGGCGACTGCTACGTTCCAACAAACTCCGCAGGCAGCGCAGCTCTCTTATATAGGGACTGTGTGGGCCTGTTACGTAGCAAAGCTGTTACCTCACGCCGTCTTACATCACCGCGCATTGCGCGTTACGTTACCATGCGGAGGGGGGGAGCGCTGACTCATCCGCCACGTCACTGTGGCCTGAGTTGCCACGTTGCTGGGTAGAGAGGGGTTCTCCGTTGCGCAACATGTCACAATATATATATGCAGCTCACAGGGAAAAGAAACAGAAGACTGAGTGGTGGAAGAAATAGTCTAACTAGGTATGTACCATATTTGCCAGTCATTCCAAGCAAGTGCTGGGGTAGAGCCTTAAAATAGGCCATTACCACTTCCTTCCACATCCTTTCCATTCACCAGTTATAATCACTGTCTCATCTTGCTGATATTATATAAACACAGCAGTTCATAAAGCATTGTAAAATAGATGAAGAACCGTGATTTTCCAAAGTTACAGTATAAAGTTTTCTTTAGGTTGTAACATTCATATATCGCTGATTTTACTCTTTCCTCAATTTTACATTTGTTTTAGGCAGCCCGTTGGAAAGTGTAAGATCAGTGTTTCACTGCTGTGTATAAATTTAAAACTTATTTATTTGTTTAACGAAGTATTGTATATAATTTAATATATTCTGTGTGTGTGCGTGTGTGAATGCAGCCACACACACATTATAACTAGCTTTATTTTTCTTTTGTAGGTCGAGCTTCATCCAGTCCAGCTATGGATGTTTTTATAACACTTCTCTCACTTGGTGTGAATGGCTACAAAAATCTCATCACGCAGCGGAAAGAGATGTACACCTACCTCAAGGAGGAGCTCACCAAAGTTGCCCTTAAACATGGGGAAAGACTTCTAGAAACAAAGAATAATCCAATATCATTGGGTATCAGATGTTTTAATAACAACTATGACTCCTATGCGCCTTTATTAATATTTAATATTTGCTTTCCTTTTAGTGGCAGATGTTGAAACTGTTTAAAACAAACTCATCTTAGATGTTGTGTAGTGTGTTTGCTTCAGATTTTATTCTTTTTAAAGATTACTTATTGTAAACGACAATTTTCACCTATCACAGCAAGTTTTCTTTTTCAATCGACATTTATTCTGTTTTTTTATTATTATTATTTCTTAGCTCCTCCCTAGAGTTTTTCTTCATGTTGAATATTTTTTGTACAAATATTGTTTAAAAAATATGCACAAAACAACTCAAACTAACTGACGGTATAAGTAAGATATGGAGAATGTAATTTACCTTGTAGATGTTATTTATACCAGCAGTACGGATGTAGTTGACTTGTACTCAGACATTTGTGTCCAACTTCCATGAAACCCTCATAGTCACCTTCTTATCCATTTTCCTTTACAATAAGGTGCCATTAATTTAGTTTCCTTTTTGCTTTCCCTCGAATCAACACAGTGTCAGCACATATTAATATTTCCAGATCTTGTCTTTTTGTTCTTTTTTTCTAACCTCATTACTAATTTCATTCATCATGACATTAACCAAGACTGGTGAGAAGATGCTTCTTTGTCTCACTCCATAATTTGTTTTGAACCACCCTGATAAGCTGTTTTGTCTTATCATCATTTGTTAGTCACCATTTGTGTCTTGCTACATATAACATTTAAATGACCAAATATCTGAGACTACCTGAAAAGACCATTGAATCAGAAGCATAAAATAGTTGTTTCCATACTGACCCTGAGTCATTCTTGGTATTATGCCACAGTGTTCAAAAGAGAATCCAGAATCCTTATAACCACAAAAACATTAAGATATTTACATTTGTATATCATATTTCCATCCATATATGAAAAAAATGGGTTTTAAAGAGCTTACAGATTTTTCTTAGTAAAGTAATCATGAAGCCTGATTGATTATTTTCTCGTATTTACTCTTTTCTGCAGTAGCATAGTTGGTTGAGGCACTATGCCACAAGGAAGGTCGCGGGATCAAATCCTGATGAGGTTATTGGATTTTTTTTTTTCAATTTACCTAATCCTTCCCGCCACACTATCGCCCTGTGGTTGACTTGGCCTATAACAGAAATGAGTACCAGGAATATTCTTGGAATGTTCTTGGGGGTAAAGGCCGCTGGTGCGTAAGGCTGACATTCTTACCACCATCTATGAGCTGATTGTCTACAAAATATGGGAACCTCGATGTCTCACAACCGTATGGGCCTCCACGGCCTGTTACAGAGCTACCTTTACTTACTTTTTTACTCTTTACTGAAAACAGATTTCCAAAACATGGATGCTTGTATATAATGACATATTGGTAATAGAAATACATTTTCCTGCACAGGCATGACACTTACTTCTCTAGCTGGCTCTGACAGCAAAACAGTGACTATGCTTGGCTCAATGCTGTTTCTGCGTTGTGTTTCTGGAACACGAGTGGTCACTGGAGCAGATCTTAAAGAAGTAGCAGGATATAAATTTGAAGGTAAAGAATATTTTAGTTGACAGTTTACTTATGATCATCATCATCTACTTCAAGGTAGGCTTTTTTTAGCCTGTTACATCTAAAAGACTATCCTTTCATCATTTTTTCAATTTGGTATTTCTTCATCCATTTGATTGGCAATTATTAACTTTCTTGGTCAGTCATGAAGAGTTAATTCTCAAGATGTGATTATGCCACTTGCTTTTGTAGTCTCAGATTCTTTCTCTTTAAGCATATATTTGTAATGCATTGCATATTGTTGTATTGTGTACATGCCCTAAGTGTATATCCAGAGGCACACTTTTAAAGTGTTAATTTTTATGTATTTGTTCTTTATCATCTTGTGTTATTTTTCACGTGTATATCATTTAGGCTGGGGCGCTCATAACAGTAACTACCCTGTGCCATACCTCACGGCAGCAGCTGCTCTAGGAATGCGAAAATCAGATGTTGATTTGTTTTCACATCGTCTGGATAAGGTGTTGAGCAAGTTGAAGGGACGTAGTGCCCCTCCCACACCTACCTCAGTGGAGGAGCTGGCAGTTATGCGGCGAGTGATGAGAGGTGGCGGTGGAGGTGGCTCCAGCACTCTTAATGGTGAGGGTGGAAGTGGCAGTGGCAGTGGTGGAGAGCAACACAGCCAGAGCAGTACCAGCACCTCACTCGCCAGCAGCAAGGACAGTCTGCGTAAGTGATAGCAAGGCTGGACCCATACTCTACAGACCCCAGTGGGCAGGTGAAATATGGCTAGAATATATGTTGGCAGGGAAATGTAGACTCTGGTAATTTACTGAAATATGTGAACTGTTACTCTGCTCAGTTTGCACTTAGTAACATCGCACGTTTTCATATATTGACTACTTTAAAAACACCCATTCCTGACAAAAGGTGGTTGGAATAAAGTAACTATCAGCACATTCTCATCAAATGTCTGGAATCTCAGAGTATAATCATATTTGTAACAGTATTCCCACCTTAACATATTGTCCTTGAAGAAAGAGTTCTGCAGCAACTGTGTGATGATCATTTCTGGCCTCCACATTGCAATGTAGAGGGCCAGAGAGAGAGAATATTAAAGAGTCTACATTTTTGCAAACTGCTCATATTACAATATTACAAACTGTATTCTTCCCATAATACACTCTTGCTTTGTCTGGGGCAGAAACTAATCAAAACCTTCATGCCCTATATTCATCTTGCACTCCCATGCAAGAAACACTGTGCTTAAATTCTTCTCCTCCCCCACCCCCCAAACACACACACACACACACACGCACACACATGTGTACGCACAAAGTAACAGCACCGACATACTGAAAACAAATATATTACTGGGATTATCTTAAGCATGTATGGGTACTGTGCTTTGTGCATACTGGATATGGAAACATTTACAAGGGTACTGCATTTTCAAATTGTACCCAAAAAGTCTTAGGTTAACAACTTTTCTGTGGTGCCTGGTGGTCACATCACAAGAACTGACTGCACTCATGGAATTTATCTTACGTCTATTTCATGATGCAACTGACTTTTAAATTGTTTTTATCATAATGTACAAATACCAATTACTGTTAGACATCAGAAACTCATGTCATCACAAGGAAAACATTTTCTGTTATGATCTAGGTAACCTCTTGTTATTGCTCGTATGGAATGATTCTGAACTCGTATTGAGCTTGCTGGTTGCACTCATCCGAAGGTGGGCTGCCGCTTGCTGGTAGAAGTAGGTAGCAGGAAGACATACTGTATTATGTAGAATCACATGTTCCAACTTTTTGGAACATGTAAGTGAACAGTGACATTTCTGAAATTGCAGTTACCTTTTCAAAAATTGTTTTGTTTGTACATTAAGCCTTTCCTATTATTTTTATTTGTGACCTCACTCCTGCCAGATACAAATTAATTTGTGTGAATGTTTGGAAAGAGAGACTTTGCTGTTGGAAAATATAGTGCTCCTGCTGTCTGTTGTTCCTATGTACAAACACTCTAAAAGATAATATTATACTGCAGCATGCTGTTGCACCATGTATTCTAAATTAGCATTAAAATTCACACTTCAAAAGCATTTGTCTCTTCCTGTTATTCAAACACTACATGTTTCAGCCCAACTGGCCATCATCGGATGTAGAGGAAACTGCTGCTCCTTTGTCATGCTGCTACACTTAGCATATTAATGGTGTAAAATACTTATACAATTTTTTAAAATATTGTGCCATGATTATTTTGTTGTATGCATGTGTTGTGGGCCTGGTGTATTTGTAAAGTATAATGATGAGCTATATTAGTGTTTTGTTTATGAAGTGAATTATTTTATGTTATATGCTGTTATTCTGTCACTGTAGTTGTAATGTTTTAATACATCGATGAATTTGTACAGGGATGATGAGAAGCGTTAGTACTTTTAAGAGATGTCAGAGAATCTTTATGGTATGCATTTAGTTGTATTTCATACAGTAGAATTAATAGGGCCATGTACACTACAATAATATCCACAAACAAAACCAAATTGATATTACTGTATCAACATTCATTTATTGGGCAAAGGTGTTTTGCTACATGTTTCAACCTTCACCACGTCATCATCAGGCAAATTTATAAGAATTCAATCTTAGTTCTTGAATTGAATTGAATTGATTGAATTCTTCTAAATTCAACTGATGATGACCTTTTGAAGGTCAAAATCTGTAGTGAGACACCTTTGCCCAGTAAATGAATATTGATACAGTAGTATCAATTTGTTTTTTTTGTGGATATTGTTGTGTAGATGACCCTATTAATGCTAATGTCAAAGAATGTAAAGAGTGAAGGTGTAACTCTGAGTACGTGTTTTAATATGGCAGTAAATTTGTAGGTGGTGTTGGAAGGCTTCTGGCATTGTTCTTGTGTGGGAAAATTACAATGTGAGGAGCCTTCCAACAGAATAGGAAAAGGGTAATTTAGTAACTTGATTAATGGACTGATATAACTTCCATTGCTATTGCAGTCAGCCAATACTGTAATCATAAAGCAGTTTGCATCCATCACGTGGTGGATTTTGCCAGCTGCATTGCCGACACGCAGTACAAAAATTGCTAGAATTTCAATCAATATACCGCACTCAGTGGCAAGCATACACTGTATATATTATATATAATAATGGTAAATTTGGGGAGGAGTTAAAGGATTATATAAATGCTGTTTAAGGAAATAACAGAGTAAGTTTGTTTTTAATTCATCAGATTAAAATGTCCAAACTGAAATATTGTGTTGCAGATAGAGTAAAGCAAACCAATTTTGGTATTTACAGTATGAAATATAGACACTTCACATTTTTGTAATTTGCAAATAGTCTGAAAATGGTAAAGCAGTTGTTGATGCTCTGATGAACTAGTTACAGACATTGTGCTTTCGTGTTTGGCTTTGTAATTGTATTGCCCAGCAAACAAATGCCATGCTTTTTTGTCACAAGCATTCAGCGACACGTGATCGAGAAAGCACTCTAAGGAAATGTTGCTATGTGTTGGTATTTGTAATTTGCTTTGTCATATATGGAATCAGTACATACAGTAAGGAAGGAAATTATCATAGCCTTGTAAAGAATCTTTTATAATTCTTGCTAGGAGCAATCACAACAGAATGGTAACACTTGCTCATTCTCATGTTGACTGCAGAAAGAACCCAGTGACTCATATTGTGCTTGAAGGTCCTTGGTTGACTTTCACTGTTTGGCAACACATCTTTTGATCAGTTCTTCTATTGCATTTATGGTGATGTGCTTTACCTCACGTAGCTCATTTGTCTGTTAATCGGGAATCATAGAACAACATTAAAGATTGATTCTAAATCCTGCAAGATACTTTACTGCGGAACATGGAACTTATCATCATCATCATCATCATCTACTACAGGTACACTGTATGGAGCCAAAAGGCTGGGCTGCTGGCTCAAATGGTTATTCCTGTATTTTTTAAAAAGTACCAATGATGACAGCAACGAAAGTAGACAACACTTCGCAGATATTTATACTTCAAATGTGTGTAACTGTTTATTCATACATTACTTATAAGTTGTTTATTAATTCATTATCTATTGTACAGTCTGTCACTTTGATGTAAGTAGGAATCACAGGGCATGTTTGTTACAATTAAGCAGTATCTAGGTAACCAAGGAGATTATGAATGTAAATGTGTGTATGTGTGAATATGAAAAGTGCATGTGTTTGATATTATAGAAGAACAGAGGGTGTTGAATAATGGGGAATAATTGTCAGCTACATAATGAGTTTGAAAGGGAACAGTAATATCCAGATGGTTAAGACTTTAGTAGGGAAGTGTAAATTTTAATCTGGTGTCCATTTGTACAGGCAGTGCTTGTGAAACTGAACCTGAAAGTCACAGGAGTCAAATTAAAGAACAGGAATTTGTTTTTGACACAAACAGACAAACACATGTTGAGGATGTATGCATGTTCGCCTCAGTTTATTGTGTCTAAACCACAGGTTTTGTTTTCTGCAGTTGTTGCCAATTTATATACGGGTGTAATAGTAGGTGTTCATGTGAAAAAATCTATTCAGAATGTGTGCTTATGTGACCTTATGAGGCCATTAATTAGTAGAGGTTTATTCTGTGGGTTTGAAGGAACATACCAAAATGTGATCAAAATCAGAAAGAAAAGAAAAGGTATTTATCATTGATAATTGTTAATGTGAAATCTCTTCAACTTCTCTAGCATTTAGGTTGTTCTGAACAGGAAAATGGGTTGCTGACAATAATGATCACTGCTTGCAAGTCCCGTGACAGGAGAAATCAAACAGCTTTAATTGTTAGTATCAATCTTTTGAGTGGAAGTAGAATGGTTGCAGCTAACTAGATATTCTTGAGGATTTTTTCTAGGCTGAAGTGGTGTTTTTTTCTTTCTATGTATGAATTGAGCTTTTTCTGTGTACTTATTTATAACAATGTTTGTATGTCTGTAAAAATATTTGTGGTTTGTATCTAGAAGAATTAGGGCTCAAGTTATATCGGATGTTACTACTGATGGTTCCCTAGTTTAACACAAAACCTTCAAGTTGTACCAGTGTACACTTCTAGCATGGATTTCTGTATTATGTGAATTTAGAAAAACTTTTAAAATCTAAGCCTTGAGTTATTTAGGAACAGTTTTACATTAGTAAAAGTTTGGACCCTGTCATCTTATTTGGGCTCATTTTGAGAAGTTGAATTTGCTGGTAACTATTACTTCTAAAATAGTACTATAAAAATACATTTCACTGTTAACTATTGCTAATGCTGGCCATGCAGTTTCTCCTTCATTTACATTGCCAATGCTTGTAAAGTTAATATAAAAACAATTAGAATTTTTTCTCTCTGAAATATGTTTTTTCCATTGTTAATTGCACCAGCCTTTGGCCCTCTGAGTCTTTAGAGAAAGAAATTCCATAATTGTCACTGTGTTATGAATGTGAAAGAATTTATTCATTTCAGAAATATAAATTTTCATGAGTAATGAATAGTTCATGTTTTAAAATAAGGGAAAGTGTTAAAATGTCTAAATTCTCATAACAAACTGTGAAAAGTAACAGTTCTGAGAAATGAATCTGAAACGTTTTCTTTGTTTATGCACTGGCTTACAAGTTGATTGCTAATAGAGGGGTGATAATAAGTTTCATTTAACTTGTGTATACAGTATTTGAATACCTGTAGATTAACCTATTCCATCCATGTGTGTCCATCCAGAGGACCCTTTGAAAAATCCGGCCAGTTTATTTTGCATTATGTACCCCACAATTGAGAAATGTCATTGAATGTTTTTGTGTTATGTTGTACAGCTTTATTTATAAATACAATTATAGTGAAGTGATGGGAGATTTTACAAGAAAAAACTGTCCTTATATTGTTACAGTTATAATATAATTCTGCAGTGGAGGTAGTGTATGTATGAGATTGCAGAATAGTGTCATCTAATTGTTATCACTAAAAAGTATGCGTTCCTCGATACAGTCATTAAAAATATGCTGTATTCAATAATCAGTAATTCCCATTTGGGAAGTTAATCTACTTCTGTTACTGAGCCAATTTTGGAAAAGTAATGGGTTGTGATATCTAACTCATTTAGTTTATACTTGCTCTGTGTTTTTCAGATCTGGAGATCAGAGAGAACTTTTTTCAGTGTCATTAGGCAATAACATAGAACTGATACATTCCTCACTATTGAGTTGATCATAAGATTTGTGTGATGTGGGTGACATTAGTTATAACTGTTTTGCATTTATAATTCTGCACTAGATGAGCTGTTCAGAAAATGAAATTGTTATTTTGTGTGCAAGCCCAGTCCTTGGGTTCTGCTTGTGCTCATTGTTTTCTGAACAGGTCTGTAATGCACTAATTGTGTCAATTGTCTAGTCAAAACCAGCAGCAAGATGCAGTATGCTTCTGTGAGACACTGTCCCCATACTATTAACATATGACATGCACTATTTACCATCTCGTGTAACAGTGTTGCTCGAATTTTATCCTCTTGAAAACCTATGATAATTACGTTAGTTTACAGTGCTGTAATTAGGGTTAGTGAAATGTAGCAAGTGTTGACGTGGTGATAGAGCTGATGCAGTTGATCATAACTGTAGAAGTTCTACAAGAGTAGTCACATATGTTGACAATGCAAGCTTAACATAAGTAGCATCCATATTTTACAATCATTTTTTCAGAGTTAATTTTCATGGAAAACATTCTTTAGTGTTAATTTTAAATCATTATATACATATGTATTTTATGTGCATGTTTGTACAATAGTCACAATAGTATAGGTCATTCCAGTTTCCATGTTGGGAATTTTAAACCAAGCTTTAATCTTGTAAAAAGACAACAATGTATTATAGAGATATTGTAAGTTATATAAATGACTGATTCTGATAGTAATAAAATACTTGACAATTTATAAGGTCCATTACTTTATGGTGCCATATTTAAGTGATTGTAAGTTGAGATTTTCTTTTGGGTTTTATTTTCATTAAAGAACAGGGAGTCATCTTACATCCAAAAAAAGAAGAAAAAGAAGAAGAAGAAAAAAAACTATTGTGACATGTCTGCTGAAGGCTGGAATAGTGGAACCAGAGAAGACACCTGTTGCTATGCAATGGCTTGCTAAACATGCCATAAACACAACAATAGAGGAACTGTTGGAGGTTGAGTCCTATGCGGTCCATGCAGGAGAACTGAAACCGATGGATGGATCAGTTCTATGTCTTAAATGAATATTAGCCTGCAGTAGCGAGTGGTAGCCTGTGGTGGCGAGACCCATCTAGGATTCAATGGCCAGGAGTAATTACCATGTGGACCTATGAGACAGTCGGCAGCAGATAAGAATGTGAACACAGAAGCTGAGGAATCTACAGTGTTGGGAGCCATTACCAAGCAATGAATGGTAAAGACACAGCAGCTGGAGAATATGTTGTGAATACTGTAGTGATTTGTAGAGCATGTGAATTAGTGATAACACTGTAATTAATTGCAGTTACAAGTTTCAGGATTCCAGTAAATCCAACTACCAAACCAAACCCCATGTTTAATTACTAAAATCATGACACTATAAAGAAAAGTACAATTAAGGCTGTGCCATAGCTCAAGCGGTTAGTCGCTGGCTTCCCACCGCAGCGGCCCAGGTTCGACCCCAGGTGTGGTCATGTGGGATTTGTGGTGGTTAAAGTGGCACTGGGGCGGGTTTTCTCCGAGTACTTCGGTTTCCCCTGCCAGTCTTCATTCCACCAGATTCTTCATCATCATAATCACCCGGGGCAGGCTACAATAGGCCAATCAGTGGCCACTGTGCTGAGTGGACTCCACCCCCCACTAAGAGAAAGTACAATTATCTGGGAAAATGGACATGTGGAAAATGTGGTGTATCTCAAAATTGAAATTCCCTTAGGATATTGTACTGACATGAAAATATTTCAAAAACTGTAACCATTAGATTTTTGTTACTGTTGCTGACATTATTCATGGGACACTCAGTAGCATGGTTGAGGCACTATGCTGCAAGCCAGAAGGTCACGGGTTCGGTTCCTGACAAGGTCACTGCATTTTACTATTGATTTAATCCTTCCTGCCACACTGTGGCCCTGGGGTCGACTCAGCCTCTAACAAAAATGAGCACCAGGAATCTTCCTGCGGGTAAAGGATGGCCGGCACATAAGGCTGACAACCTCACCTTGTTTGTGAGCTGACTATATAGAAAATGTGGGACCCTCGATATCTCACAACCATGTGGGCCTTCATGGCCCTTTACGAGGATGGCTTTACCTTTTTCTACCTTACTGATATTATTCACTTGCAGTTATAGCTTTCTGTTTTCTTGGAGCCATGGATTTGCTTCTTGGGCACATTCTGTAATGATGCAGCATAAATGAGACAGTTCTATGGCTGTACTGTAACTCAGTCAAACAATGATTACATCAGAAATAATCCCATGTTGTTACTCTGTGGATTTGCAAGCTTTGAGGTGTGTAATGGTTGCCAGATGTTACGTAGTTTATGGACAGTTAGTGGCTGTAATGATTTGAGATCTAATATTATATAGTGTTAGTGAAGTTTATAATAGTTGTGAGATATTGGGTTTTCAGACTTTATCCATCGTCCTGGTTTTTAAGATAACTAAGAAAAAAACAACGTTTTGGAAACTGGATCTGTTTCCATCCTCAGGTGAGGGAAAACACCTATTCTGTTGGGTCCCTTAGAAAGAGCTAGCCTCAATCAGTTTACTGAAGCACATGACACAATCATAGGAGACCAAAGGGAGAGAAGTGAGACTCTCAATATGCGGATCTGTTATTCTTGCTGACTGCATATGATGCCAATAGTAAATTAACAAGAGAGACTAATAATTGTGTGGCATCCAAGAAATATAGTATTTCTGGGAACAGTGTACAGTGATGTTGGAAGTATGAAGAACTGGCGTTACTAGGTGCAGATTTGGCTAGAAAAACGTCTTGTCCTAAAACAGGAAACTGTGAAGAGATGAGGAAAAAGTTATATTAGTGACAGAGAATTGTACATAAGAATTTTATCTGGACAAGTAATAAAGTTATTTTTCATTAAAATTTTCCAGTATATTTTTCTGAATTGATGGTGTAATCAGGTAAATATGGTTTTGTGATCCTATGTGACAGTATTCATGTCAGTATAAGGTGTATGGTTCAAACACCAGAATTTAGAGAATGTTAGCATAGCTAGAATTGTAGTCTGTATGTTAGTATGAATTATAATCTTTGTTTTGTGTGAATTTTGTCATATAATCCATGTTTTGTGTTCATTGCCCATTTGTTCCATTTTCAACATGTGTTTTTCCCCTAAACCATCCTCCTGTTCATGAAGATAAATATGTCAGTCATACGTGGACTTGAGTGCAATATTTTATCTCTGTGTATGATATCTTGTCAGATTTTTAGCTTGCTTTCCCTCCTTAAGGAAAGAAGTAGGTTTATGAGATTAGCTTGCTGTCTCTGTGTTTGTATGTGTGTGTGTCTCCTTTCACTGTTTGAACTGTGTTTGTATGTGTGTCTTCTTTCACAGTTTGACCCATCTCTGTGATTTCACATAATTTGGTATGAACTTTACAATATTGGAACCCATTCCACCCTCTTAATTTATAATGTCCTTAAGTTTTCAGTAATTTTATTGTCACAGTTTAAAGTGACTGTAGACAGGGTTTGGATTGGTGAATAGATGTATTGACCATTTACAGGACATAATTGCAAATGACTACGTGTATAGCACTACTGCTGATTTCTGCACTGCAGATCAATCCATGCTGAGTCTTCTCAGTTTGCTTTCACTGGTCAGTACTTCGTAACAACTGTCAGCAATGGCTGTACCTCTGTAATGTTTTCAGTAGACGATTCCTGGTAACGAATCTTAACAATCTTCAGCTTCTGTGGTCACGCCGTTGCCCACTGTTAACACTCCACAGCTGAACTGTAGTGCCAGTTGTCATCAAGATAACTCTTTGGCATGGACCACACAAAAAACACAGCCCCTCTCTTGTAGTAGAGGCTTATTTACTGTGCCGTTGCATAGCAACAGTCATGATGCATACCGCATAGAAAACACTGTTCTTTTGTTGTTGTATATGTGTATGTTGTGGGCATTAACCATCAATGACCTCTGTTTACAAAGTCACTGCTTAGCAACAATTCTATATGACACAGTATGATGGTCACGCAAACTTATGAGGTGAGAGCTATGCTTTTCACAACTTATTTTGAGATCTTGGAATGATATAGAATAAAAGTAAAATAAAAGTAAAGCTATCCCTGTAACAGGCTGTGATTTATCTGTGTTTGTTTTCTTTGGTTGTAAATTGGCAGTTGTGGTGCCACGTAAGGCCAGTCTGAGGCCCCGGCATAGCTCAAGCAGTTAGTCACTGGCTTCCCACCGCGGCGGCACGGATTCAGTCTGGGATCTGGTCAAGTGGGATTTGTGGTGGACAGAGTGGCGCTGGGGCAGGTTTTCTCCGAGTACTTCCGTTTCCCCTGCCAATCTTCATTCCACCAATTGCTCCACAATCACCCTCACCTATCACCTGGGGCTGGTAGAATAGGCCAGAAGTGGCTGCAGTACAAGGGACTTAGTCCCAGCCCACTAGCAATAAAGAGAAATCCTTTTGAAAATCAAAATGCACCTCATGTAGAACAAGTAATTTCATTAATTGCTCTGTAAAATACCATAGATTTCACAGTGTACAAAATCTGGCCTCATAACGCCAAGAAAGAGTAACGGAGATGAACAGATGTTCAGATTTTGTGCATCCATATTACCAAACAAATATTTTTGCCCACCAATGACATAATGAACTGGTAAATATTCGATTCTAGTGGCCCTGGTTGCTGCTGTCCACGCTCAACTGGGGCCAGTGCACTGCAAAGTGGGTTGTGCGTGTTCCGATGAATTTAAACCATTGTGTGGAAACGATCGCCTTACATACCAAAATGAATGCAAGCTGAGATATGCCCAGTGCGAGAAAGAAGGTCGTATATGTTTTGAAACTTAAATGCTTTATTTAGTTTAATTCTTATAATTCAAGTTGAATCAACACTCGTTTTGACGATAAAATGATGTTAAATAATCAGAAATTAAGGTCTCTGTGTATCGTATTCACAGGCCCGCAAGCCGTCTTCCATGGTAGCTGTGAAGAAGTTTATTTCGCTGTTCCTGCCCCTATCGTAACTTACGCGGCCCCGCTGCCTGCCATCCATTTCGGACCTGCTCCGGCCATATTGTCTCTCGTTTCACGACCAGCAAAATAATCGTCTAAACATTAAACATATAACTCAACTGATTATCATAATACAATTTATGACACTGGTATTCATTAATTGATGCAGAATAAATAATACTCACATAACGTTTGTGCATAAGAATTCAGAACCTGATTGAGGAGGAAATTAAGAGGAGATTGAACTCGGGTAATGCTTGCTACCATTCAGTCCAGAACCTTTTGTCTTCTCGTCTGCTGTCCAAAAACATAAAAATTAGAATATACAAAACTATAATTTTGCCTGTACTTCTATATGGACGTGAAACTTGGTCTCCGACATTAAAGGGGGAACATAGACAGGGTGTAGAGAAAATTTGGACGGAAGAGAGATGAAGTGACAGGAGGTTGGAGAAGACTGCATAATGAGGAGCTTCATAACGTGTCCTCTTCTCCAAGCATAATTAGAACGATCAAGTCAAGAAGGATGAGGTGGGCAGGACATGTAGCACGAATTGGGGAAAAGCGGAATGTATATAGGATATTGGTGAGAAAGACAGAAGGAGAGAGACCATTGGGAAGACCAAGGCGTAAGTGGGTGAACAATAATAAAATGGGTCATAAGAAAGCAGGATGAGATTGATTTGATTGATCTGGCTCAGGATAGGGACCAGCGGGGGAACGTTCGGGTTCCATAAAATGCTGGTAAATTCTTGAGTAGCTGCAGAATTGGCGGTTCCTCAAGAAGGACTGAACTGCGTGGTAAGTAAGTAAGATAATATCTGTGTACAGAATTTCTTATATTATTTCTGTTACGAGGAACAAATATTGGGAGCATGATTTAAATATTCTGAGTGGGGTGCATGTGATCATTTTATGCACATCACATGTTGTGAACATATGAAGAGTTTCATTTTGGCTGCTTCATGAATGGATATGGGCCATGTATTGACCCCGTGATTATATTCAAGTCTATTCTCATCTCATCTACGTGCACTTGTTTTTTTCTGTAGTACGCGATTAGAAAGTCGAAACTTGAAACAACTTTATAGGACCTACTAAAGAATTCAGCAAGAAAGAACTGCCGTTAATTTTTTTCTTTTAGAAGTTCAAGGGCAAAATTAAGGTTCATTGTGTAGATGCCATTGAAGAATTCTATAATACTCTTAACAGAAAAGCCATGTCGAACTGCGGATAATTTTGCAGCCTGTTACCGTTAACATTATCACTGTGATCAGCGCCTTAATAATATCACTCATTTTGTCTTAAGCAGAACTCTAAACAAGAAATGGTATAGTAAATTTGTCCCTGTGCTTAAATTAAATATTGAATTATGAAGACGTATGTGGTGGTAGAGGTACAGTTCCACGCATTTTAATTTCGACACTAGCTGGAGGTGAGTGGTCAGCTTCACGTCCTGGTCGCTTTATTCCCTGAGAAGGAGCCACCGGTATCCATCGAATGTGAGGTTGGCTGACCTCAGAGCCGATTTGGGTACTGTGGAGGAGACGAAAGAAACGTCTTGCTTCTGCAAGAAAACAAACCTGGATTCGTCGGTCGTCCAGCTCGAAGCCAATCACTTATCGAATAAACCAGTCCGGCCCTCTGTGAAAAGAATTGTAGATACTACAAATTAGAATTTTGAGTAGAAGTAGATATTCGTTCTAGATTTATTCTGGAGACAAAATCTATGGGCTCCCCTTGTGCCATGGTTAGTGTTAGGATTCTGTACTTGAAAATGTTGTGACCGAATCTCAGGGAGCAATTCAGTTCTTACATCGTTATAAATTGTTCGAAACTTATTTGGCTAAATCTACAACTTATCAAAATCTGTTTCAGAAAACGCGTAAATCAGAATGAAATCTATGTTTTGCACCGTGAAATAAATTGTTTACAATAAGCATTACAAATATGTAAAATTCAGTGTAAGATTTGAGGCTTTCACGGCGGTGACTATGAAGAAAGCAGTCTTCTGGGATTTGGCACCGTGTATATGTGGTGTTAACCGACGTTTCGGAGGAACGTATCGCCTCCATCTTCAGGGTAGAAGGAAAAAATATAAGAAATCCCCAAGCGAAGAGACCGTGAGAACCACGGTCTCTTCGCTTGGGGATTTCTTATATTTTTTCCTTCTACCCTGAAGATGGAGGCGATACGTTCCTCCGAAACGTCGGTTAACACCACATATACACGGTGCCAAATCCCAGAAGACTGCTTTCTTCATGTAAAATTCAAGTTTGACTTCTTCTAAAGTAGGAATTACATTGGACAAATGCGGCGATAAATTAAATTAGCCTAACAACGTTTGGTGTATATTGGCAGTATCGACTGCACTGTAATGATAGACAATATTCATCTGTGCCCTTTTGTTCCTGGCTCGGGTTACCAAGCGCGTTGGCAAAACAGTAACTATTCGGCTATTATTTACCGCTTCTGGCTGAGTTAGCAGAAGAGCATGATCGCACTACTAACACGAGTGCTGACCGCGTTCATATCACCGTCTAAAGACATGGAAGTGATGCTATAATACCACTGAGGTCTTCTTTAAAATTGCAAGTTGGCGAGTGAGTAATGTAGAATTTTACATTCCACTTTCTGTTACCTGGAAGCTAATGTTAGCAATAATGTAGTTGGAATTTGAATTGGCTCTCTTTTCACGAATTTTATATGCGTATAACACTAAGAGTTAGCACTAAAGGCTGTCTTGTAATTTTTTGTGGCTTATTTTCGATGATGCTTTCAGCATGTAACACATATCGCGGTCATTAATCAGTGGGTTATATTCCATATTTGTTTCGTTATGGTTTATTTAACTACGCTGGTAGTAGATCAGACTATACAGCAACGAGAGGTAGGTGGATTCATGAATGATGGATTGGAAATGATTTGAAAGGAAGTGTTCCTGGCCTAATCGAGGGACTATCCAGGTCTTTTGTAGGATGACCTGAAGAAGCCAACTAAAACCTCAATCAGGGTAGCTGATCTCCCCGCCCAGATTCGAAACCAACACTTACCGAATACAACCGCATAGCGTCACTGCTAAACTAACCTACTCAGTCGTGGATGGACTGGGGAAGACCACGAAAACAGTCGGGGTAGTCGATATCCGGCCCACATTCAAACCGAGGACCTCCTTCATACTAACGTAGAGCTTTACCTCTAAGTCAACCTGCTCGATCACATATGGATTGGCATATGCTTCACATTAAGTTAAAATCGAATGTTATCAGATTTCTCAAAGCCACATTATCAAGCAAAAACCAGGATATGAAGGTGTGAGCCTACTCAAGATGGAATGGACATAATTTCCTGAATATATGCTTTAAGATTCTACGTACTTCATTGGGCCTCATGTTTATTTATTGCACACTCAGCCCCATTATTTGGAACACCACATTGCCTGAAGACATTATAAATTTTACCTTACATTTAGTTAAATATTCCCCCACATCAAGAAGTTGAAATTATAGCTTTAATTTGTGTTATTTTTAAGTTATTAGATATAACTATTTATTTTACTTGACGTAAATTAGACACGACTTGTAGTCACTAAATTTATATCGGACCTACGCGAATCAGCGGCTCGTAATGTATTCTCTCGACATCGAATTCATAGAGATATATGCTGTAATTGCAGATATGAAACATTCGAGTGAATAAACATGATTCCCCCATTATGAGTTCACTTCTTGCCATTCATGTAACGAAAGCATTATTTTTTTTAATTCGCTTAGTGGGGGTTGGAGTCCAGCTGGGTCAACTCTGCATGGCGGCCACTGATTGGCCTAATGTACCTGCCCCGGATGGTTATGATGATGGAGAATTTGGCGGAATGAAGATTGGCAGGAGAAACCGAAGTACTCTGAGAAAACCCGCCCCAACGCCACTTTGTCAACCACAAATCCCACTTGACCAGACCCGGGATCGAACCCGGGCCGTCGTGGTGGGAACAAAAGCATTAAAGTGGGAGGCTAAGCAAGTCTCACTCTGTCAGTAAAGCGGGCAGATAGGTTCTCAACTGGAATTTGATTCCCAGCAGAGGTGGCCATTTCTGTCTTCGCCAACATGTCCACAGAGCGCCTGATGTTCAGGCAGCCATCTATCGAATAAGTACCACTAACTCTTTCTCCGGGGACACAGCGGCTGGAGCCTGAGGCTCTCCATTCTGTTGAGAGTGTATGAAAATTTATCTTCACACTCCGTCTTCATTGCGTGGTGTTAAGGCAAAGACAGAGCTTTATCTCTACCTCACCTATAATTACATCCCAGATATAAGCCTATATCCACAAATGTGTGACAGGCTTCACCATTAACTAGAATCTAGGCCCTACGTGTTACTACATGCTGAGACAGATTCTTGACTAACGTAGAACGTTGCTTGCAACCGCATTAATGAAATTATTTATGAAGCAGTAAAATAATATGAAAAACAAGATACAGGAAGCGACAATAACAAATCAAAATCTGATTTAGGAGGAAATTAAGAGGAAATTGAACTCGGGTAATGCTTGCTTCCATTCAATCCAGAACCTTTTTTCTTCTCCTCTGCTGTCCAAAAATATAAATATTAGAATATACAAAACTATAATTTTGCCTGTGGTTCTGTACGGGTGTGAAACTTGGTCTCTGACATTAAGGGAGGAATATAGACTGAGGGTGTTTGAGAACAGGATTTTGTGGAGAATATTTGGACCGAAGAGAGATGAAGTGACGGGAGATTGGAGAAAACTGCATAATGAGGAGCTTCATAACTTGTACTCTTCTCCAAGTATGATTAGAATGATGAAGTCAGGGAGGATGAGATGTGCAGGGAATGTAGCACGAATTGGCCTAAGAGGAATGCATATGGGATATTGGTGGGAAAGCCAGAAGGAAAGAGACCACTGGATGACAAAGACGTAGGTGGGTGGAGAGATAAGGAGATAGAGAAAGAGAGAGAGAATAGGATGGTATGGACCAGATTGATCTGGCTCAGGATAGGGACCAGTAGTGGGCTTTTGTGAACACGGTAATGAACCTTCGGGTTGCATAGAATGCTGGGAAGTTTTTGAGTAGCTACACAACTGGAGGCTTCTCAAGAAGGGTTCAGTCCCATGAGTGAGTGAGATACTAAAAGAGTTTTCTTACGAATTGCTTTGAATGGGTGTGTCAGTATGGTCCAGAACGCGTCTTACTTATTTCATCATGAAATGTTTAATGCAGTTAGCATCGTGTATGCGTCCCAATATTCAATTAAACGGTTTCGGACGAACGGACTATTAGGACGTACTACATCTTAATATTCTACAATCATCAAGATACTGTCCAATGAATCGACAGTAACAATGTCATGTGACCATTGGTTAGGGGGCAATAGGCCCAGTGACGTATGTATTGTCTTACCAAGGTATGTCAGTCGGACTACTGTTCGCCATTAAGAATATGGCAGTTGTTTTTCTGTTCTGCTACTGTGATGATATGATACCAATCAGTACGACAGGGCGTGGTAGCTTTTGGAAGAAAATTCAATAACTGTAAGTATATTATGAACACAATCAGGATATGAGGAAATTAACAGAAAAGTATTAAGAGTATTATCGCTTATTTATTTGCTAACCGATTGCACTAGCCGCGCGGTCTAAGGCATGAACTGTCTTCTCTCGCTCTAAACGTTGGGATCGTGGTTTCGAATCACACTGAAGGCATGGATGTCTGTGCGTTTAATCCGTGTGTAGGTAGCGGCCTTGCGACGGGCTGATCCCGCGTCCAAGGGTCTATACCGGTTCTGTAAAAAGTTCAGGAAACTGAAAAAGCGGCCAAGGCCCAACAAAGGGCTGTAGAGTCATAGATAGATATACGTGCTTAGGTCTATTTGTAGTCACCTCCGAGGAAGTACCGAGGTCTAGAATCAATTGAGCGTTATCTTCGCTACCTTACAAGCCTTCGTGGCGTCCTGGTTAAGTAAAAGATAAACTTTATTATACCGTCATTTATTTGTAATGGCCTATGCACTGCTATTACATCATTAAAGTAAACTGGCCACACTTCCAATAAGAATGCGTGCACTGTTCTTCTCTCGCGGAAGGATCCCCCAGAGGCTGATTGCGTTTCAGAGCCTATGTGACCTCATGGCCTGTCCCTCCCGGGCCTCGTATCCCTGTGTTCCAGGGCGGTCTATTTAGTGAGTGAACTGTGTAGTCTGTAGAAGCCGTCCCTGTGCTTAACTAATTAAGCACTACGCCATGAAAGCGTATGGGGGAGTGTATCTATAGATCCACGTTTTCTTGATCTCGGCACTAGTTGGAGGTGAGTGGTCAGCTTCACGCCCCTGCCGCTTTACCTTCGGGGAAAGTTCCTCCGGTACCCATTGGATGGGAGGTTGGGTGGACCCACGACGTGGAGAAGACAAAATTCTTGACCCTATTGGAACGCGAACTCCGACCCCTTTCTCGTCCAGCCTGTAGCCAGTCGCTATACCCACTACGCTATCCCGGCTCATAGTTAATGTTATCTCACAGAAATACGTTTCGACAAGGAATACTGAGATTGCTTCTTGTAAGTGATAAAAAATTTTCTCAGAAATTAAGTATATTTTTATTTATTGGTAACTGTTAATCGTCATGATTACGTAACAACTTAGACAGTTCCTTTATCATGTTTCTATGTGTTGTCACGTGTCCGGGCTTCCGGGGTTGCGGCTTTAGGCGATGCTGTTTATTGGAGAATTACTCGTTCACACTCACACTCACAATCACTCTCAAATAACGTCCTTTCAGACGAAGCGACCTGATTAGTCCGTCGTCTCTCTGCGTTTCCTCTTCAGCGGTTATCCTCTTGCACCGCTCTTCTCGGTGGAGTCTTCCCACTCTTGGTTCTTCTCCTATCTCTCCTCGAATCTGAACTGTCCTGTCACAATCTACCCTCTTAAGTAGCTCTTCGCGTACCGCTGAGAGAACACCTTGTCGAAGGGTTCTGTTTTCCGTGTTAACTAGAGTATTTGTCAGCGGGCCTATTCGTTGCCTAGGAATTGCTAGCTGTTGACTAGCAATAGACGCTGGCTGTCAGCGCAGTGTCTTGACAATGCGTTACTTAGGAAGTGACACTTCTCTATGCAGTGGGTTCACCTGTCACACTATGCTCTCTTCGTAAGGTACACAAAATAGCGTAGTGTATAAAAATATTTTAACATTCACAAATATTTTTTAATTTACGCCTGTTTTGTAACAAAAATTTAATGCTGCTTCTTCTTATCTACATTTTACTAGCGTTTATACGGAAGAAATTAATATTTCCTTCCCTCCAAGCTAAAATTGTTGTTCCACTTCTGTTCATGCAACAGCAGTGGGACGGTGTATTATACTGGAGCATTACGGATCTATACGGCAGAATCCTTTATCAGAAACTGACTGCAGCTCAGCTAGTCAAGAAATTCCCACATTTAATGGAATTATAATGTTGGCTGCAGTGTTAACGAACTTCCATTGATCCATATCTTGTGACATTTGAACCCGATCCAGGCACCACATCATATTTTTAATATCCATTTTAATATTATCCTCCTATTGACGCCTTGGTATCCCTAGCATTTCTCCCTTTCGAAATCCGTTAAGTGAACCGGGAGATAAAACAAGCGGACGGTTATGCCTTCCTAATCCTGGATGTGCAGCGAAGGTTTCGGTAGGTTTCTGCTGGAATTGTCCACCAAAGGAACCGCGCGTCGCGCTGAGGTGCGGGTTTGCGTCGTGAATACCGACACATACCCTACACATAACGGGAACAGGCCTACTGGAAGAGCGTTCGTGTATGGTTGGCTAATGCTGCATTGGCCCGCGAGCCTCTAGAATCCGGAACAGTACTTACCGTTGTACTGAGGAGTGGGGGAAAATGTTAGATATCGATTTCACACAACTCATTATGCGGTTCGTGCACATACAGGGGTACATATATGTAACTACTGCTGATGGGGCACGCGGTAGTGTAGTTGCTTTAAGCCGCAAGGTTGTCGGTTCGATTCCCGGTGAGTTCATTGGCGTTTTCAATTGCCCTAATCCTTCCTGCCGCACTATGGCCCTGTGGTTGACTCAGCCTGTAACAGAAATGAATACTAGGAATATTTCTGGGGGTAAAACGCTGCCGGCGCGTAAGGCTGACAACTTTCCGCCATCTGTGATCTAGAAAATGTGGGAGCCTCGACGTCTCATAACCCTATGGGCCTCCACGGCCTGTTACAGAAATAGCTTTACCTTTACTATTACCACCCCTGCTAGTGGCTCTATAGGCCAGTTTGGGCCCTAGTCGCCTTTTTCAACTTCTTAATCTTATATACAGACGGTAGGACTTCTCAGACGGGAGACCAGCCCGTAGCAAGGCCGCTACTTACATAGGACAACGCAAAGAGAATAAACGCATAGAGACATCCAGACCTCGAGTGGGATTCGAACCCACGATCCCAATGTTTGAGCGGGCGAAAGTATTTCATGCCTTAGACCGGGCGGCAACTGTGATCGGCGTACATATACCTACATGTGGTAATGAGATAAATACCAAAAAGATTGTCTAGCGATAACATTTTATATTTGTATTCGGAAGGTGCCTTGGTAGAATCTCGGTCGGAACACAAACTATCCTGACTTTTCTTGGTTTTCCTCAGTTCCTCCAAGCAAATACCACAATAATATCTCTGTTACATCACGGTCGCTTCTTTCCAGTGCCGTTCCAGTCAATCTGCCATCCGACGCTAAGTTGTCTGGATACTAAGAGCATCGTTAAATAATCCACAAGAAAGGTACATGGCAAACCGAACGTTGCGGTCAAGTGAACAGCACTCCTGCTTCATATTCAGGAGGTCCTGGGATGAAATCTCAACCCGGAGACCGACTGTCCTTAGTCTTTCAAGAAAAATTCTGGGATAGTACCTCGCATCAAGCCATGGCTGCTTCCTTCCACAACCATTCCAATTCACCACTTGCTGATCATCCTGTCTATCGGCACTATATATTCTGAGCTACTTAAAACGTCGTTAAATAAATCACAACTAAGCGCAATTAAATAAATAACAATTAATGTTACAAATCTCTGTTATTTTAGAGCACGTACTAAAATAAATGCAGTATTGTTTACATTAATATAATTTTATTTGAACATAATCTGCTGACGATGAGAGTATTACGAGAGGTGATTAATAACAATAATAGTAAAGCTGTCCCTGAGCTTAACTAATTAAGCACTACGCCATGAAGACGTATGGGGGAGTGGATGTATGGAGCCATACTCTCTTGACCTCGGCACTAGTTCGAGATGAGTTGTCAGTTTCACGCCCTGACCGCTTTACCCCCGGGGAAAGAGCCCCTGGTACCTATTGAATAGGAGGCTGAGTGGACCCTAGAGCCGGTCTGTACTGCGTAGAGAAGTGGAAATTCTTGCCCCCACCGGGATTCAAGCTCCGACCACTCTGCCGTCCAGCCCGTAGCTAGTCGCTATACCGACTGAGCTATCCTGGCTCCCTAATAACAACAATAATGAGGGAACCTTAAGGGAGTATGGACTGAAATTTTCTGGTCCAGGATAATGGCCGGTGAAACGCTAATGTTAACAGAATAGTGCTTCTCAGAATTACTGGATTTTTGGACATTGTCCATCATCCGGTATTCTAAAAACTAGAGAGTACCTTTCGAAAACTGGATCTCTTCCCCACATGACGTCTCGGAACGTCGTGTTCTCTTAGTTTTTAGAATACTGGAAGATGGACAAAGTCCAAAAATCCAGTAATCCCGAGTGTTACATACCATCGTCAGAATTCTTCACAATCTACGATAGTGACCCTCCGAGGTCAATAGAAAGTGGGAAATTTCTCGATCAATTGAAGACTGTTAGCTTCTCACGACAGACTTTGCTCCATGGAATCTTATGTAAGGTAGATCTATATGCAAATTCAACATTCTGCTTTCTGCTTCTCTTCCCTCCCTTGACCTGTTGAAGAGAAACTAGGGATACGAAATTTAGTCTGTATTCGACAATACGTATGTTAGACACAGATGTTAAAGCTATGTGAAAGTATTAGAATAGATTTTTTGGGGGTGCGATGTGAAACCGCATTTTCGATCTGTTATATTTCTATAACTACATTTTAATTTCCTAGTTTCTTTTTAAAAAAATTAGGTTGTACAGCATTTTTATACCATGATGCTGTTGAGGAGGGCTGTCACATCCCAGGCTAAGAGCGCCACTTCTGCCTCTCTTCGCTATTCTTTTGGTTAAGTAACATATTTCTGGACGCCGTTCTGAGACAACTGATTTCTGGCGGTTCCATTCCATTTATCTAGGCTTTTTGTTATAAAGCAAAAAGAACATCTTATGCGAATATCATATATGTCCATCTGTCTGTCTGCCCATATCTGTGTCTCTTTGTTCGTCTGTGATCTAGCCTTCAGCACCCCAAAATTGGTCTGATTTTTTTTAATTCGATATGGAAGAGTTTCACTTAAATTTGTGAGGCAGTTCAGACTTTAGCCTAATATGACACATAATAAAGCCTAGTTTCAATAAGGCCTTAAATGGAATTTTCCACGTATGAAATAATTCTATTCACTTACCGTATTTACGTATGTATAGGCCGCACATTTTTTGCCAAAAATTCAAGAGGAAAAATGGGGTGCGGCTTATATTCGAAATATTCGAAATCACACTTCATTTAAAAAAATTCTATTCATAATTAGTAATACAGGGTGTTCTACTCCTGAAATAATATTCCAAGAAAATTATTTTTTCTATAATTTCTGTTTGAAAATTGTGCTGCGGCCTATACACGCACGCGGCCTATACATGCGTAAATACGGTATTTTGTTTAAATTCAGTGGAATCTTCGGGGTCGAAGCATTTCGCTATACTTCGACTTTGAACATTAAGGTAGCAAGTTCGTCTGAAAAGTGGGTACCTACGTACTGAACTGCACAGTATCACTCCAAAAAGACTAATTTTTTAGAACGTAGCAAATATAAATGTCAATAGTCCTATGGGTGATGACTAATTACAGGCATTTAATAAAATAGACTTAACTGAATGGCATATTTGTCGAAGACAAGGAAGAGATGGTGTTAGTCCAAAACACGACCCTGAATTTTAAAGAAAAGAATTCAATTCAATCTTTCCATACTTTTTTTCCGACCTCACAAATTCATGATCTCTGCGCTATACTTCATAGCTAAATAAACCTCCACAATTTCGGATTAAAGTGTGATTACATTTAATAGATAGTAAGCAAAATTAAGGGCGGCGCCATAGCGGTTAGTCGCTGGCTTCCCACCGCGGCGGCCCGGGTTCGATCCCGGGTCTGGTCAAGTGGGATTTGTGGTGGACAAAATGGCGCTGGGGCAGGTTTTCTCCGAGTACTTCGGTTTCCCCTACCAATCTTCATTCCACAAATTCCTCCACAATCACCCTCACCTATCATCTGGGGCTGGTACAATAGGCCAGAAGTGGTCGCGGGACTTAGTCCCACCCCACTAACAATAAAAAAAACAAAATTAAATTCTCTGCCAGTCACAGTAGCCGCGCGGTCTAAGGTATGAACTGTGTTCGCTCTCTTGGACACTGGGATCGTGTGTTCGAACGCCACTTAAGGCATGGATGTTTGATGTGTGTGTATGGATTTATTCTGTTTGTGTTGTCTTGCGTTTAGGTAGCGGCTTTGCGACGAACTGATCATTCGTGCAAGGAGTCCTGTGGAACTGAATAAGAGGCCAGGGCCCTGAATGGGCTAGACGAGCCATTTTAAAAAACTAAACTATATCTCTAAATTTGCTGGAAATTTATTTACTGTCGGAGTTATAAGATGAGGATAGAACTAGGAGATGTTTACTAAATTTTATCTTATTTTTCAGCATCTAATCAGCGAGATGTCAATGAAAAAACACATGGCTATCCTTTGGACAGCTCTGCTGTTGGGGCATCTCTCTTATTCCACGGGTGAGAAGAAGGATGTGCCCCGGGAAGGGCGGGACACGTATTTGGATGCCTATTCGGACACACACGTGTCTCCAGATTTCCATGGCAGCTCTCCTAGTGTAGTGTTCCCGGGCCAAACTTACGGCGTAACTTTTCCCTCTTACAACACCCACGGACCCAACATCCATCCGTTTTACGATCCTCCTTCGGGACTATCGGGACCATCTGGTGCCTCAGGACTATCAGAATACGGTGCCCCCTTGTCACCAGTGTATGGGGCACCCTATGCTGCTCCTGACCATGGTTTCAAGGGGCTACCAGTAGGTCTGGACTTTGCGACTGTGTGTAAGATCATTCTCAAAGTGCTCATTTTTAAGATGATCGTAAAGTTTATAGCCGTAATTTGTGTCTTACTCTTCCTGCCCAAATTAGACTCCGGAGGTTCCTCTGCAGGAGACAGGAAACTTCTTCTCTCCAACGAAGGTGAGTTAGAACATGTTACAGAAGTAACAGAGAATTGCTCAGCAAGGAAGCAGCGTATATTTTATTCAGATTTCTCATTGAGCATCTTCTTCCGGACGTTTGAGACTCATATAAATCGGAGAAATCCGGGCCCTGCTAATCACACAAAACAAATCTGTTGCAGGCTCAGCCGACAGTTTGGAAGGTCGGCTTAACAGGCTGACTCGCCTAGTTCTTGAGAGTGTTGACAAGAATTCAGCCCTTGAAATTGAGAACAACTGCGCAGAGGACGCACGCTGTAGGCTTAGGCGTGTAGCCGAGTACGTTGATGGCCACAACTCAGTCCCTAGGTGAGACTCATCAACAGACTAATGTCTGACCTTGCATAATTTGGAAGTTTATATTTTTACTAGAATTTTCCGTAATTTTTCGAATTACATAATTTAATTTCTATGGAAATACCTTGAAGAGGCACAATTTCTGTAATCTCCAATTCAAACATATTGTCACATGTATGAGTGACTATAGACGGGGTTTGAATTGGAGATTGTATTTGTTGATAATTTTGAGGTCGTAATTATAAGTAGCTATAACACTATTGCTAATTTCCACATTTTACAAATCACTACAGCAAACGCTAAGTCTTTTCCATCTTCTGTATCTCCACCAGTCGTTCCCTGGTAATGGCTTCTAACAGTGGGGATTTTTCAACTGCACCGACGAAGTCTTCTTTACACAGACTCTCTTACAACTCTCTGCCATCTCACTCTGTTACAACTGACTATCTTCTAAACTTGTTTCCGTTATAACATCTCGGCACAGACCGCGTAGAAAACACCATTCGCTCTTGTACTCCAATATCTTCTTTGAGAACATGTTTGTTTTCCAAGGAGTTATTCGTTAACGGCTGCGTATACTTGCTTACTAAGGGTCCGTTACCTAGCAGCGAATGCTGTTTTGTTGTTTGTTTCGAGGCGTTACCTAATAAAGAGCCTACACACTACAATGTTCATACTTTGTCACAAAAAACTTCGAATCTCAAAAAAGGACCAAGGTCGTAAAAGTATCCAACGCATACTTAACAAAAAGGCGCATTCCGCAAAAGAAATTATAAATGAAATGATGATAACAATGCTCATCAAATTGGAACTCTACACTGTTACTTGATATTTAAATCAGCCATAAGTAAAAGGGTTGGTGTATGAATGAATTAACATTAGATATTACGGATTCGCAGGTCCCCGTTATTAAACACATTAGAAAAAGTGTATATAAATTGCCCAGTACGTGCTTCATAGTAATATTGTAATAGAGTAGTACATTAAAAAAATATAACTTATATAATTTCAACGCAATCTAAACTCATTCAACACTTTCTTTGATTTTTTCTTAATTGCAATCATTTGTTGAAAATATTGAAACAATTGTTTTCTCATAGGTTTACCTATAATGATCGAGATAAAGGACTCTGTAGTTTAATCAATTATTTTTCAATTAATTGTATCTTTATGCACACGTAGACCAGTAAATTCATGTAGGAGGAGGTTTCGTTTAATTATCGTCGAGAATAAGAAACTTCGATAATCTTCAGGCGTGTTTGGAAGATTGTTAAATTAAGCCTTACGGAAGAATATAAAATATGTTTGTTTTGTTTTTCTCTACAAAATAATTTGAAACATATTTCACTCCAGTAAATATTTAGCCGGTTAAGATCGAGACACGCCAAAAAGGCACGTGTAAAGGTTCGGCCACACAGAGCGCTACGTACGCTATGTTCGCTATACGAACAGAAATATATTTCCCTTTATTGCCAATGTGACTGGCCACACAGACTTCCGTACCCTACGTTCGCTATGTTCCCTGTTACCTGCGTCTCAGAGTGTGCACAGCGTACGTAGCGTACGTAGCGAACATAGCGTAGCTCTCTGTGTGGCCGAACCTTAAAATATCCGTTATTCTTGATCGATTTTAATTAAGATTGAAATGTGAAGACGAAATTTATTAGACCTCCCTAATATCAAATTTCATCAAAATCCGTCAGCGGTTCCCTAGTTATTTCATGCATGTAAACAGCTCGACGAACGAAGAATTCTGTCTTCCATGATATAATGCCGTGTAGTCCGCTGAAAGTCAAGCAACATTTGAAAGGAACACTTTGCCTCCATCTTCAGAGTTGAAGAATAAACTAAGCAAGAAACCAGCTTGAAGCAGGCTTATTTTTCGACCCTGAAGATGAAGGCCACATATTTCTTCCCAACTTCGGTTGTCTTTGAGCGGGCTACACGGCGTTGTATCCCAGAAGACAGAACTCTTCATAACCACCGCTGTGAGAACCTCATTTCCTACACAGCGCTATATCCCAGAAGACAGAACTCTTCATAACCACCGCTGTGAGAACCTCATTTCCTACACAGCGCTATATCCCAGAAGACAGAACTCTTCATAACCACCGCTGTGAGAACCTCAGATTCTACACGGCGCTATGTCCCACAAGACAGAACTTTTCATAACCACCGCTGGAGAACCCCACATCCTGCAGACATACGAATAGTCAGAACTATTTCAATAGACACTCCGCAGATTTTCGAATGCATCTAAAATAACTGAAAATGAGAAATTCATATCTGTTGGTCCGGTCGTATGTTGAATCTCCGAAATTACGAAAGGATTTCCATTAAGTTCCGCGAAGAAATCTTTGTATTCCATTATAATTGAAATTACCAGGCTTGTTTCCTATAAAAGAATCTTACCTGACGCTACGCGAAGCGCACGACACGTTCCTGCCTCATCTGCTTTGTTAAATTCTTGTTCTAGACTGCTCACCATGTTCCTGCTGGAGTCTTCAAAACAATATCACAGCGGAAGACAGGTTTATCACTGAACTTCACTGTCAGGCCACCAACTAGAAACGGAGCTGCAAACAATTACACATGAAATTATCAGCGCCATCTCTGCACATCCAAATGATGTGAAAACAAGGTGGATTTTTACATAAAGTATTCTTTGCAGCATAGCTCATCTGTTATTTATTTATTTACGTATTTATATATCATTGTTTGCCCGTCACGGGAGCCGAGCGGTCTAAGGCATGCACTGTCTTCGCTCGCTCGGAAGCCGGGATCGTGGGTTCGAATCCCACTCAGGGCATGGATGTTTAGTTTGTATGTGTGCGTTTTTCTGTGTTTGTGTACAGGTAGAGGCCTTGCGACGAGCTGATCACCCGCCCAAGGAGTCCTACCGAATGTCTAAGATCTAGTAAACCTCCATGAAACTGAGAGTTTCATGGAGGTAGGCCTAGGCCCAAATGAAGGCTGTAGCGCCAAAGGGAAAAAGAAATCATTGTTTATTTACTTATATATTGAACATTATAAAATAAAGAATTGAACATAATCTGATAATTCGTAACAATTATTTGGCTAATTTACTTCTTTCCATGAAGGATATAACTATATAAAACGAGTGGACAGGTAAAACATTAACTCTCTAGACTCGTTCTCGAAAGATGCTCGGTTCGAGTCTTGGCCGGGACACCGACTACCCTGACTATGGTTTTACTCAGTACCTCGACTAGGCTGCTTCCTTCCAACTCCATTTCATCATTCATATATCATCCTGCCATTAGACGCTATGTAGTTTACCTACTGACAGTCATGAAATGACACAAAATAAGACATAACTACAAGGCAGAGGTTACACACCTGTGTTAACAAGGGAGTGGGACGAAAGGGGTGAAATCTGTGTCTTGCTGTCCGTTTCAATGCGAACCTGACCTCTCTGTACACGGAACATCCGTTTTCACAGACACGAGTATAAACATATTATTTGTATGGATCAAATGCTAGTCGGTTAAGCTCAAGATGTAGCATGCATAGGGGAGATGGTAAATGCATACAGAGTTTCAGTTGGGAACGAGAAGAGAGGATATTACTTGGGAAACATGGGCATATGTGGCAGCATAATCTTTAAAGAGATCGTAAATAAACAGGATATAAGAGCTTGGATTCGATTCATCTGCTTAGAATAAGGACCGATGATGGCTGTTGAGGAACTGCCGGTTCCATAAAATGCGGGAAATTTCTATATCATGGAACCAATTGAAGTTCAATTTATATACCCTTGCACGTATAGTACACATATATATACGTACATTGAGGTAAGGTAAAGCTATCCCTGTAACAGGCCGTGCAGGTCCATATGGTTGTGAGACGTCGAGGGCCCCCCATTTTTTAGACAGTCGGTTCAAAGATGGCGGTGAGGTTATCAGGCTTACGTGCCGGCCGCCCTTTACACCCAGGAAGATTTCTGGTACTTATTTCTATTAGAGACTAAGTAGACCCAAGGACCATAATGATGCTGGAAGGATTAAGTCAAAAGAAAAATCCAATGATTCGGACCCGCGACCTTCCTTGCCTCAACCAACTGCGGTACAGCTCCCCGACATACAGACATAAATGAGCCGGGGAAACTCAGGTTAGTGATTGGCTGCAGTTGGCGACAAGGTTTCTATTCTCGACTAGGGCACAAACTCTTTCCTTCGCCACTGTGTCCAGGTGAACTCTGGGACACAGCCCCTTAACAGTGAGCACCAGGGCCGTCTTCATCTGTGTCTATGGGATCAGAGCATGAAGTTAGCCACTCACCCCACCTGCTGCTTAAGTTAAGTAGACGAGAATCTTAATTCTCACTCTCCCATCCATGGTGCTTAATTTCTAAGCCAGGAGAATCAAATGAAATAATTAGCGGGTGTATGCCGGGGAAATAGAAGACGAATGTGATCACATTTTTGTAAATCGAAGAATGACTTACTGTCATGACAGTAGATGTATCGTAAAGAGTCACGTATCTGTCACGGTTTTCAGTTTCGTCATCACTGTGCATTGCTTGTGACATAGTCAAGCCGCCAGCATTTGCTGCATTTATGAGCCTCACTTGTAGATGTCAGCGTGAAAGACGTATTGTTAAGAAAACGAGAAGAGTTTACTAACAAACAAGGAATTGCTTATTTGTGACGGGAGGAGGAGTCCCTAGCAATGAGAAGCCAGCAGCTGCTGTGCTCACGACTATCAAGTTCACGATTTCTCTCGATCTTGGTAAGAATAATTTTGTTTGCTGCCTGCTTTCCTTATTCAGTTATAAATGGGTTATTTACTATTATTCATTTTTCATGAAACTGTACATTAATGTATTTGAGAAATAATCATATTTTACAGTCAATTAACTAACTAACTTCCTCGAGCTGAGCCCTTCTCGGGAAGCCGCCATCTATGCGGTTATTCAAGTAGTTACAAGCATTTTATGGAATCCGAAGGTTCATTACCGTGTTCACAAGAGCCCTCCACTGATCCCTATCACGAGCCAGATCAATCCCATCCATACCACCCCATCCTATTTCTCTAAGATCCTCTTTGGTATTATCCACCCACGTACGTCTTGGTCTTCCTAGTGGTCTCTTACCTTCTGGCTTTCAAACCAATTTCTACATGCATCCCTCTTCGCCCCTATTCGTGCTACATGCCCTAACCATTTCATCTTCCTTGACTTGATCAATCTAATTATATTTGGCGAAGAATATAAGTCAAGCCGTGCCTGTGTTCAGCTAATTAATCACTACGCTATGAAGGCGTATGGAGGGGCGGATGTATAGATCCACATTTTCTTGATAACGGCAGTAGTTGGAGGTGAGTGATTAGATTCACGCCCCGGCCGCTTTACCGCCGGAGAAAGAGCCCCCCGGAACCCATAGGATAGGAGGCTAGGTGGGTCAGAACCAGTCTGGACAACAAGGAGAACAGAAAATTCTTGACCCTACTACGACGCGAGCTTCGACCGTTCGGTCATCCAGCCCGTAGCCAGTCACTATACCGACTGAGCTATCCCGACTCTACACTTGCAATCCATTGCATGTATTGAACACAGGCTTTACATAATACTGGAAGCATGTATCGTCTATAAGTTACTTTGTGTTACGTTTCAAGTTTTTATGCATTCAGCCGTTTGGAGAAACTTTGTGGGGTTCATTGCGTCCTTAATGCTGCGGAGGTTGGCTTCACATGCATTGAAATACAAAGATGATCGACAAGGGCTATTGAAGGAGATGGCAGAAGAAAATTATCCTGTTCTGCCTTGAGGTCTGAATGCCGAATTGTAACGCAACTGTCGTGGCTGACCATTAAAAGTAACTGGTTACCCTGTGTTCCAACCAGGGACACTCCGATTAGACCTACACATTTGTTTAGTGTCCAGCAGCAGCGTTCAGTCGCTTTGTCGATAGGTCGAGAGGTCGATAAATGGCTCTTAATATAATGGGACCTCTAGATAGCTAGTTCAAATCCACCTTGGTCTGGTCCTCTATTTCACTGTTGCTCTGCGATCATGCAGTCCTTGTGATGGCCTAATTCCCACACCACCTACGGAGCTTTTCGTTAATGCTAGTGGGGTGGGACTAAGTCCTTTGTATTGCGGCCACTTCTGGCCTAGTTTACCAGCCCCAGACGATAGGTGAGGGTGATTGTGGAGCAACTGGTGGAATAAAGATTGATAGGGGAAACCGAAGTACTCGGAGAAAACCTGCCCCAGCGCCAGTTTGTCCACCACAAATCCCACTTGACCAGACCCGGGATTGAACCCGGGCCGCCTAGGTGGGAAGCCAGCAACTAATCGCTTGAGCTATGGCGCGGCCACCTACGGAGTTTTGTTTTTTGAACTAAGAAATCTCTGCACTGGGCAGGTTGGGCTCTTAAAACGTAAAGAAGAAAACACGAATCACTGTATAAAACCTGTATCACATTCATGTGATGTGAGTGAACCAAGTCCATCTCTTGCAATCTGTTAAATCCATCGTAATTCATGCTGTTGCATTAATGGGCGTCTTGTCCAAATGAGGACACACTTGGTTTATCAGCATCCCATGACTGTGACAGTTTCTAACGCCACAGCCCGCGTCTAACTTTCACGTTCTACATTGCAAAGGTCTATTCAATCATTACTCCAAGGACGGACTGCCAGGCCATCAGGATATACCGTATTTACGCATGTATAGGCCGCGTGCGTGTATAGGCCGCAGCACAATTTTCAGACAGAAATTATAGAAAAAATCATTTTCTTGGAATATTATTTCAGGAGTAGAACATTATTACTATTATTACTAATTATGAATATAATTTTTTTTTAAATGAAGTGTGATTTCGAATATTTCGAATATAAGCCGCACCCCAGTTTTCCTCTTGAATTTTTGGCAAAAAATGTGCGGCCTATACATGCGTAAATACGGTAGTAATACTGGCATACGCAAAAACCTTTCGCAGAAATTCCCCATATCTCCTGTTCTCTCCCACCCTGGTCCGGTTGCAGGACCACCGTAACCGAATCTGCAGTGCAAAAGCGATACATGTTAAGTCCACAGCTGGATCCTACCCTGGTAACGGTATAATTCATAAACAGATACGTAAGTCACTTCATGGCGTAACATACGCAACACTTCTAAACTGCAATACATATTCATAAGATTGTGACAGAATGTAAGTAGCTCCATTTTAAGAAAACCTCAAAGCCAGACTCTTTCACTAGTGTGTTCGAGTGCGTGCGAACTCAGTCACAACAGAGTTCATATATTTGCGTTATTCTGACAATATGAAGGGCTCTCAAACATAATCTGGCCAGTTGCCCATAATGCGCAAGGTTACGGGGGGGTTCCGAATGCAAATAATCAGCGGTACCTGGCTGGAAATATTGTTCTGTGTAAATGGCAGTCGGGCCGGTCACGGTAGCCGAGCGGTCTAAGGCATGCACTGTCTCCGCTCGCTCGGAAGCCGGGATCGTGGGTTCGAATCCCACTCAGGCCATGGATGTTTGTGTGCGTTTTTCTGTGTTTGTCTACAGGTAGAGGCCTTGAGACGAGCTGATCACTCGCCCAAGGAGTCCTACCGTATGTGTAAGATCTAATAAACCGAAGTGAAACGGAGAGTTTCATGGAGGTAGGCCTAGGCCCAAATGGGGGCTGTAGCGCCACAAGAAGAAAAAAATGGCAGTCGGACCAAGGCCAGTTTTCAGTAACATGGAGCAAGGAACCCAAGCAGTGCCCGCTCAAAACTACAGAACTTCTGACATTTGCTTTTTATTTTTCACCGGAACATTGCTAA